ACAGGGCCTCACTCCTGTCAGTAACCGAGCCGCAGCATTCTGCAGTAACTACAGACAAGGGAAACTCTTCATAAAGTGCATTGCAGTAATCCAATCTTGATGTCACCAGTGCCTAAACCTACTACTGTTTGTTGGTGCATATACGTAAGTGGATACCCTGTTGTAGGCCAGATCCGTAATACAGTATGCATAGCTTTGTTTTTATTATTTAGAAACTTGTTATTAAAAAAAATGGTTGTTTTCCCATTAGTTTGATTTTTCCTGGTGTGCGATTGGCTGCGGACAGCCAGTTCAGTGACTTTCTGGATGGACTTGGCCCTGCACAGCTTGTTGGTCGCCAAACACTGGCAACACCGGCAATGGGTAAGAAATTAATTTTGTTTATATGGCTGCAATTGGTGGGGAAAGATGGTTTCCCATGAATTACCTTACTTCTTTGTATCCTTAATTTGCAATACATGGGTTTTTCTTTTCCTCCTTAGGCGATATCCAGGTTGGAATGATGGACAAAAAGGGACAGTTGGAGGTGGAAATAATACGAGCCCGAGGCCTTGTTGTAAAACCAGGTTCAAAGACACTGCCAGGTGAGAGAAATATCCTGAACCCCAAGCACATGGCAGCACATGAACATTCTGGTTCAGAAACTATTCTAGCCACGATAGCCAAAGGCTTGTCTCATAGGCCACCTCTATACAACTATTTTTAAAAAGCAGATTAATTGAACCTTCCAGCTTCTCTGATATATCAATTTCATATATTAAATGTAGAAGTATTTTAACTATGTAGCTTTGACCCACGTAATCAATGGGCAAACGTATGGCAGTTCTTACTATTAGGGACCAGGATGATTTCCTATGAGACCAGCTGAGGTTCAAAGATTCCGCATCAGAGCAACATCTGAGGACTGGAGGAAGATTTCTAACAGCCTTGCTCTCTCGATTTGGTGGTAGATGGAACAGCAGCTGCCCAGTGTGAGGAACTTAGCCTTGTAGCTTTGGCAGCTGTTTCAGCTGCAGAGTGATGCTGAAACATTTGAGGACTGAGAGGAAACAAATACATGTTTGCCGCTGCTACTCCCCCCACCCCCTAGTAACTCATAACTACTTTATTGCATTTTAAATACATTGTAGACTATCTCAAGAACCTCAGGTAGTAGACAGGGTCTAAATAACTCCAAATAAAAATACTCTTAGACTGATAACCCCTTAGGCATACACAAAGTAGACCCACTGAAATCAATGGGCATAAGTCTTATTCTGAGTGTGACAAATGTTGGGTTAGTGGCTTTCCTTCTGGTTGTCCTGTCTGAGAACAGGATGCTGGAGTAGACCTTTGGCCTGATTCAGCAAGGCTGCTGTTAAAGTTCTTACGTTCCCCTATAGGGAAAGGGCTGTAGATCAGTGGTAGAGCTTCTGCTTTGCATGCAGAAGGTCCCAGGTTCAATCCCACACATCTCAAAGTAGGGCTGAGAGTCATTCCTGCCTGAAACTTTGGAGTACCACTACCAGCCAGTATATGTTCCCAGGCATCTAGAATTTCATTACAGTCGTACCTTGGATTCCAAACGCCTTGGTGCTCAGACGTTTTGGCTCCCAAACGCCGCAAACCGGAATAGAGTGTTCCGGTTTGTGGACGTTCTTTGGAACCCAAACATCCGACGGTGCTTCTGCGGCATCCGATTGGCTGCAGGAGCTTCCTGCAGCCAATCAGAAGCCACGCTTTGGTTTCCGAACATTTTGGAAGTCGAACAGACTTCCGGAATTGATTCTGTTTGACTTCCGAGGTACGACTGTAACTGCATTTCTTAATACTGAAAATCACAACAAACTTGCCCTCTTTCCTTTATTCTGCCATGAAGCAATACAGTGGTACCTCGGGTTAAGAAGTTAATTCATTCTGGAAGTCCGTTCTTAACCTGAAACTGTTCTTAACCTGAAGCACCACTTTAGCTAATGGGGCCTCCCGCTGCGGCCGTACGATTTCTATTCTCATCCTGAAGCAAAGTTCTTAACCTGAGGTACTATTTCAGGGTTAGCGGAGTCTGTAACCTGAAGCATCTGTAACCTGAAGTGTCTGTAACCCGAGGTACCACTGTAGTGCCATTAATTCTTGAAAATCAGAATTGTCAGTCATGCCAGGACGAAGCTGTAAACAATAATAATTGACTGTTTTATGTTTTATTATTACAGTTGTATTAATATTTTCTCAGCTAAATGAATAATTACTGAGGCTGTTTTCTATATAGTGTATAGAAAACTCTTCAATAAAGACTGCAAAATATAATAAATAAACAAACATACCTGATTTGCTTCATTGTGCCACGGGAGGGAGAGAACCGAAGCAGGTTGGCTATCTAGAATGCCTTGGGAATAAATGCTCATAAATGAAATGTATTAGTGTGTGTTTAATTAAAGTATTTATCAGTTAAATGTCAGGATTTTGCATAAGGTGCTAAAACTGCATAGCTAATGTGCAAAAACTGGTGACTAACAGATCTTTATATTTTTCTCCCCAAAGCACCATATGTAAAGGTGTATCTATTAGAAAATGGAGTCTGTATAGCCAAAAAGAAAACAAAGGTGGCAAGAAAAACGCTGGAACCTCTTTACCAGCAGCTGTTGTCATTTGAAGAAAGTCCCCAAGGGAAAGTTTTACAGGTAATTTGCACCCTTAGCCATGCATATCTAAAACCCTTCCATTCTAGCATCATTAACTGAAATGCCAAAGTCTGACTGCTCCCTTATGCTGCTTTCTCACATAGCTGCCTCTTAAACTCTATTATTCTAAACTAAATCTCTGCAGATTAGTATTTTCCTGCAACACTAATTTTGAATCATATCCCATCTTACTAACACAACAAATCTTTAAGAGCAAATAGCCAGTTAATGAATAATGAATCGCAGGTGCTATCATTCTTAGTGTTTTATTTATTTCTATCAAGAAGATGCATCCAGTGTTTGATATTCCGTATAATTTGAGTGAGATGGCTTTATATTCTGTGCACTTTCTGCTGAGACAAACTGAGAGCTAAATCCAAGAAATGATCACTGAAAATGTTATGCTGGCAATTCTTAGGGATTCATTTCGCTCCCCTCTATAACAAAAGGAAGGTCCTGCCATTAATATGTGGCCAAGCAGCTCCTCAATTCCTGCTTGTTTCAGTATTAGTGCCTTAGTATTCTGTGAACTTTGGTGGAAAGCAGATTTGAAGAATATCAGAAATTATGGCAAAATTTAAGTTTGATCTCAGGGCAGATTAATAACACTATGCACAGCATGGTAGCAGATAACTCATAAACTGAACACATGCTGGATTTTGTAGGATTTACTTCCAAATACATGTTCATATCAAGTTGCTTTAAACAGAGAAGAAGAGAGGGGTTGAAATTCTGTCAGGCTCAGCTCCAAAGGGTGTGTGTGTATGTGTAAATCCTTGTTTGTACATGAAGTAGAATAAAAATGAGGCATTTGAGGCTATTCTTGCCACAAGCTGGATTCTAAAAGTCAGGGTTATCTGGAGTTTGAGAGACCTCAGTAGGAAGATTAACAAGAGAAGAGTTCCAGAATATGTGTAACAGCACTTGGATCCATGCACAGTGATTGGGAGCCCAGCCCAGGTTTTGAGATTCTTGATCCTGATTGGTCTCTCTGAGCAAGGACACCATTTGTCACATTGCTCACCTTAGGAAATGGCAAGATTCTGAAACTTCCCATTTGTTGATTCTAGATCATCTTGTTAATTGACGTGAAGATTCTACTTCATTTTGCCCTGCTCCTAAAACCTATGTCTTCTTTTTTTAACTCAACAGATTATCGTGTGGGGAGACTATGGACGCATGGATCACAAATCCTTTATGGGAGTGGCACAGATACTTTTAGACGAACTGGAATTGTCCAATATGGTGATTGGCTGGTTCAAACTTTTCCCCCCTTCATCCCTAGTAGATCCAACTTTAGCCCCTCTTACGAGAAGGGCTTCCCAGTCGTCTCTTGAAAGTTCAACAGGACCTTCTTATGCTCGTTCATAGCAGCTGTGAAACTGTTGTCATAGCAACCAGCGTTACAAAAAAAAATTAACAGGTCGCAAACCCTGGTAACACTGCATGCTAAATGTTGTGTCTTCGGAGCCTGTTTCTAGGGCTACAAAAGCGATCCTGTGTTCTCAGAGGAAGTTGCACACATTGTGCTCTAAAGGAAGTCCTCAGGTGAAGGAGTGGAGCTGGAAAGAACTGAATGGTTTGGAGTTCAGTGACACTCAAGTTTTAGTCCAATCTGAAGCCATGGATTAAACTCAAAGAATCAAGCTGTCTCATGCAACAAGAATCCCTTTCAATGCCACATCTATTTTCTTGCTCCCTTTTCTTTATCTGCCCCTTCTCCTCGTCCCCACCCTAGCCTGGTTATGCCACAGAAATATGGAGCTACCCAAAGAAGCTATGCCACAATCGGAAGGATGGAAGAAAAGAGCCATTAAAGGAACGCCAGCTGTCATAGCAGTTATTTGCAGCAGAGGAACCTTGCCTTATCAGAAAGGTTGAAGTCTTATAGTGGCAGGCTTCATAACTCCAGCTACTGCTGGAGTCAACTCCAGTGTGTGGACTCTGAAAAATAAAATTCTGTGGCTATACTGTACTGTATGAAATTAAAGAAACTTTTTTGCATGGACACAGATTATGCTGAACACTTAAATTATTTTCTTGGGGCTGCAACTTGCAAAAAAAAAAAAAAGAATAAATCAGCCATTTTCAACAATTTATATTATTTTTAAAAATAAATTTCACTAGTGCATGGTTTTAAAAGGGAGAGAATGCAACAGGGTGGTAAGACACACCAAGTTTATCATTCTTTAAACCAATCATGGTCTGTGTTTTGGCAGACATAAATGAAAAATAAATAATTTCTAGCAAATATTTAAAATTACGTTTATGTGACAAGAAATAAGTGTAATATATTAAATTTATTTAAATGTAAAAGGTACAAGCCTTGTAAAGTTCAACGATATGTGCAAATTGTATACTTCTTTTCCCCTTCTTGTCTACACCTCCCTCCTTTTGCTCTCTCATTCCCTTCCTACCTCCCAGGATGATCATTATACTCTGAAACCGCTACTTTTTGACTTAACTACTCTCATGCCCCATATTTGGTTCAGGGTTGCAGATGATTCTGCATTTCTGAAATCTTTGAGAGGAAAAGAATATTGTTTAAGAACTTTTTTCAAGCATGTTGAAAAGAATTTTGCAACATGGCTTGGGGAGTACATTACAATAATTCAGCATGTATTTGATAAAAAATTTGAACTTTTTGCAGTTTATTGTACAGTGCATGGAAACTTATTTTCTTTTTTTGTCACCTTCAAATTAAATTCTACAGCAAAATACTGGAATCATGTGGCCATTTGTAAAATGTCTTCAATAAATTTGTTTTCAGCACCAGCATCATTCATTCAAAGGTTGAACTATCATTTCTGGATGGTCTTAAAGAAATACAAGATGTTAGTCTTGCTAAATATCAGCATCTTATAATTTGCACTGAGCCAAACAAATTATTACCCATTTAGGGTCACAATAAATAGCAAATAAGCTGTTCTGTTCAGTTTTTATAAACTATGTGATGGCAAATCAGTGAATATCAGCCTGACATTAAAAGTCACAATTCAAACTGCAATCCCGCATCTGTCTTTCAATTAGTGGTATTTACATGCCCTAAGTGATGGCAGGATTTCACCTGCTGATTTTTAAACGCCTTAAATAAAGTACATGCAATTTACTAATTTTTTGACACCATCACCAAGAGCCTAAATGCAGATACCACAGGTATTTGAAGAAACATACACATCTGTCTCCTATGTATCAGATAATTTAGTACCACTGGAAGGAGGGGTGGAAAGGTGGGGGTATTCTAAGTCCTGATCTCTTATTATTTCCTGATGAAAGGGAATGTAACTTGTTGATGTTCAAGTCCATCATCCTTTTCTCTGTGTCTTTAGATGCCTTTAATACATACCTATTGTTTAATGTCTAAGTGTTGCAATAATATTTGAATATACACTGTTTAAATTAAGGCCATGCACACAAGTACTCTGATTTTGTATGAAAAATCTGTAGTGTTATCCCAAAATGTACATGAATCACAGGATGGCAAAAGAAAAAAAATAGGTGTCCCTTCTAAGGCCTTTTCTTTTATATGGTACAATTTGACATAAATCAAAATTATGAGCACAGTCCATCAAGTACATTCACGAACCATGCGCAAGCACCATGGACACGGATGCTAAAATGCCTGGTGATTTGCACACATGCAGCTATTTAGAATTCCCTCTGTATACTAGTGGGGGAAAACTCTGGTATGGAGATGCTTCTCTTCTGAAATGAAGGGAGAAGCACTTGCTGATGGGATTTCCATGCATCCACAAGAAAATTACTAGAGTGGAACGACTGCTCCCCCGCCAAACTTACATGTATTAAGTTAAAGAAGATTGGTAAAATTTTGGTGATTAAATTATTTCATTCACCTGTATATGGCAACCCATGAATGCTAAAGACATACCTTTGCATTATCCTTTAGGAGTAAAACCATTTTTTAAGACGTATGACTCTCTTCCTGATACTGTGACATGCAGTCAATGCATTCTTTTATGCATATTCCTATTATTAAATTATTTCTATTTGAGACAAGAAGGACATGACCGTATGGAAAGTCTGTACATACCTGGTCATTATGCAGTATTTATTTTAAAAGTTGATTGTATTTTTTTAAGATATTCACATGTCTGCAACTCTACTTATAATTTAGTCATGTAAATAGCACTCTTCCAGTGACCACAGCTGTCTTGTACATAGTCTGTTTTAAAAGTAAAGGGAATTGACATTGGGGGAGAAAAGGGCAGATTAGGCCTGTTAATGAACACCAACTAATGTAAATCAAATTCATTCTGGTGATGGTATTTAACACTTTAAATAAAACATTTTCTTTACAGAATTTGTAAGTGATTCTTTTTCTCATCTCCCCCACCCTGCAAAAAAAAAAGGCGTTCATGATCTTGGAAAGCTAAAGAACAATGACTTGAAATTTTGCAGGAACATTTCCTCTGCAAGACCCATTGAAGTGGGTGGGAGCACTGATGACACCATTCTCATTTTGTGGAGCTTGTGAAGTCAATTCTTTGGTATCTGTACCTTTTCAAAGGTTGCTGTAAAGCAGTGTTTCCCAAACTTGGGTTTTGAGCTGTTTTTGGACCACGGTTCCCATCATCCCTGACCACTGGTCCCACTAGCTAGGTATGATGGGAGTTGTAGTCCAACAACAGCTGGCGCCCCAAGTTTGGAAAATACTGCTCTAAAGTCTTGAAATATCAGCATGTGTTATTCATGAGATGGTGATTCTGCAGTTGCGTGGCAGTTTCTTTAAAGTACAGACATAACTGCAGAGCATTGGTCTTGGAACTAATGACAGTGATGTGGAAGGCTCATTAAATAAACTCACAAATTATTTCTAATATGTACAGCTTAATAAAGCTCTAAGCCTTAATAAGCATATTTGTGCAATAATTGGGATAACTAAACAGCATGCACAGAGAACCAAAGAACAAACTTGGAGCTGATTAAAAACTTCCATGGCTGTCAAATCAGCTAAAGCCTTACTGTTCTGTGTATAAATTTACACAATGTGATGGAAGAGAATGCAGCATGTGACTAGAAGCAGCATGCATAATACAGCCTACCTAGAGTCATGGCAGTGTGTGTTTAGTTGTAAGTGTTTTAAGAACATGTTTAGTGACCTTGTTTTGCTTCTATGGAAGCAGCAACCTTCCTATTGTTATTCAATCAGATGCAGCAGGCTGGAAGCTAAATAGTATCTTACTGTTTCATGCATAAATGAACACCCTTCTAGAGCAACACATTTGTGTGTTGATCAGGCAGTTACTGCTATCCCCATCTCAGCAGTATTCCTAGATGAATTCTTATGTCAGACTGCTACATATGCTGCTTAGGCATCTATAGGCTAGATCAGCAAGGAATTTGCTACTGAATATTTTTGAAACACTGATCTTGTATGGAATTGCTGGTCATAACAACAACAACAACGATTCAAATCAGATGGTGAACTACAGAAGACTGTTGAAATACATATTCTAGCGGGCATTTAGCTGAATTCTGATTTTATTATTTTAACTGATTATTACTTTCATTGTATTGAGTTTTTCACCGTAGAAACAAACACAATAAAATAATAACAGTACTAGGACAGTTAAAAGTTAATAGCTGCTAGAGGGCCCATCTGCCTATTAAGACAGCACAGGAGGGAACAGAAGGAACCTGAACTGGTTTTAGTGTTACTGGTGTGATGGCTAACTGTTGTTTGAGTCTCTTGGCCTGCACTGAAATAGATCCATCCCAGTCCCTGCCACTGACAGGCCCAGCAGACATGCCCTCCTGCTATCCACGCATTTGGAGCATATCAGAAAGGGCTTTGGAGATACTGAGGTGTACATACGCAGAGCTGCAGGCAAGGAGAGTCCCTGGCCCATTCTGGGGAGCAGGGGAGCTCTGCACACGTACATCAGGACATGGAGAACCCTCTTACCCCAGCCAAATGCTCAGGCAGGGGGAGTTGTGGCCGCTGTGCAGATTGCCAGTGTAGTGGAGCCAGTCTACATGACAAGCCCCCTCACGCATTCCTTCAATGAGTTAGGGGGCCTGCACCTTAACTGTGGTGTTCAGGTAACGAATATGCAGTAACAATGGCAACCTTTTTATTTACTGCTCTCTGGTACATTGCAAGCTAATGTGCTGGTCAATTAGGACAGCAATTGTTTGATTTTGCATTCATTTCCTTTTTGTTGGATAACACTGCAGTAGAGTGAACTTGGCTAACTGTGCAGTAAGTGATTCTGCTGCCATTTAATTCATGAAAACAAGTAGAATTCTGCAGCTGCCGCCAACAGCTGAAATTACAAACGGGGAAAAACAAACTCCCCCAATAACAGGAATCGGCAGAGGCAGCTCTGACACAGCCTCGTGAAGCCTGTTCTTCCAACCTACTTCTGCTGCGTCATTTGTCAATTTGTCATGCCCAGATGTCAATGAGTCACAGCTAGTAGCTTCAACTGACCTATTTTTGCCTTTGTCACGCCGCAGGATCCATATGAACGACGCGAAAGGGTTCAATGCAGTTCTGTGGTCGTCATTGCTAAGGATAAATGTGAGTATACCTTTAAGGGCACCTCCCATAGGTCGTTTAGGAAGTTAGGCCCAAGCAGCAGGCAGGCCTGGAAGCAGAGGCAGAAGGCAGCTAAAGGAGAGAAGGCCTGCTATAAGCAGTTCTGTAATAAAACCATTTCTCGTTCAACTCCTCTGACCTGCTCATCATTAAACAAAGGACATCGCAACCATACGCTCATCAAACATCAAGTGACTGCACCGTGTGACTGTGGGTGGCAAAAATGTATCGTGTGGTAAGACTACTGAATGTATAGATCCATCCAAAGAGAAGCCGACTTCAAATTCAATGAAATTAGGTCTAATTTAATAGGGAGACTGAGGGACCAACCTAAGGAATTGACCTTGAGTGGATTCCCCCAACTACCTTGACCTCACCAGAAGTCATGGGCTGCAGAAAGCTTTCTGTGGAAAGTTGTTGGGGGCCGCACTCAAGTAGTGGGTGTGCCCAGATCCAAAAGTGATTGGTTGCTTTAGAATTGTGATTGTACTTTATATTTCGCTGGCTTTTAATTTGAACAGTTCTGAGGACATATTTAACAGGGGGATATAGAAATGTCTATACGGTGGTATCTTGGGTTACAGACGCTTCAGGTTACAGACTCTGCTAACCCAGAAATAGTACCTCGGGTTAAGAACTTTACCTCAGGATGAGAACAGAAATTGCGTGGCGGCAGAAGGACGGCCCTATTAGCTAAAGTGGTATCTCAGGTTAAGAATAGTTTCAGGTTAAGAACGGACCTCTGAAACGAATTAAGTTCTTCACCTGAGGTACCACTGTATAAGTAAATGTGGGTGTGGTCAGGCCCTCACACAGCCATGCACCCTTAAAACAATCACACAATCTCTCTCACTAAGGCAAACCCAGAGGACTATTTCCCACTGAAACAGGCACGCCCCAGTTTCACCTTCCCTTTACCCCTGACCTTTTTTTTTGTAAAATAAAAGCAAAGGGTTTTGAAACACCTCTCACCAAGCCCCAGCAGAAGAATGCAAATGTGCATTTCAAGTCCTGCCTTAACATCTATTCAAAGTCTCAAACCTCAAAATGCAGTTGAATCCTGAAAAACAGCTTGCCCGTATTTGCAAAACTCATGGATGACTTTGGGCATATTGGCAAGAAACACAAATCTACTTCTCAACCTAGTCGTTCCACTCCCCATGTTATTGCAAAGAAAGGAGCGGCAATTGCACACTTTGTACAACATCAAACAGCTGGTGGTCAGCAGGGGATCTAGAGTAGAACCCAGGTTTCATCCACTGTCTCTGGCTCACATACCAGGGCTTTCCCACCCCATAATATATGTGTGTTGTCTGTGCATCAAAGCTGGGGTTTTCAGAAGTGTGAAAAATTTGCTCTGCTGAATATCTGATTGTACAGCAGGAAATCATTACAGCAAAATCCATGCTTCAGATGACCTCTGAAACACAAGGCCCAGCTTAGAAATGGGAATGCAGAAGCATAATTGAGATTCCTAACTGAAATTTTCATCATTCTGAACATTCAGACCAGCTCTTTCTGCAATAACATATTTGGGTTTACCAGCATATTATTTACGGGCCTCATACGTTGAGCTTATGCTTACTAACACAGCTTGACTCCAAGCAGAAAGAATGCAGCCATTAAAGAAAAATATAGCATAAGCATGTGCTGTGGAATTAAATGCTAAGCAGGGAGGGAAGCAAAATCTGTTTCAAGTGTCTTGCTGAAGAGGTTTCTTTCATCAGTAAATGCAGCAGAAAGGGTGCTTGCCAGGACCCTTATCATATTTACCTGGAAGTAACTGACATTGATTTCAATGTCAGGAATCCTGTTTACAGATTATATAGCTTCATGTGGCCTGATCCTTAGAGTTTGAAGATTATGAGCCTGTGGGATGGGCCTGTCTGTCTTCTGCTTTAGGCTGTGGACTAGATTAAGAAACCAGATTCTACAGTGTCCTGCTCAAAATTCAATAAACGCAAGAAGAATTAGGTAGTGACTTAGTTCAAGTACAGTACAAGGAATGTTGTTAACTTCTCTACTGTTGTGACTGTTGCGGTCATCTGATGAAGTCATCCTGATAGTTATGGATGTAAGCTGGCATTGTTTAACTGTATACCACTTATGCCTAAATCAAAATATTGTTTTAAAAGATATATCCCACTTGTATTGAATCTTCTCCTTAAGAATCTATTTCCTCTCCTTTTTTCTTTTTGTTCTGCCTGGAGTTCTGCAGTACAATTAATTTTTATGTAAAACCTGATCATCTTTCAATTTCAGTTTTCATGTTTTTGTTCTAGTGTTCTAATCAATATAGAATCAATAGCTCTTATCTTAACAACCACATTCTCTTCAAATTGCTTAAATTGGTCATTTAAAGATTAAAATTATGTCACTAATCATTCATTAATATCATTAGTTGTTAGTGTAGATACTTACAGATCAACCAACCCTTTTCTCCAAAGGCTTCTACAGGAGATTCTGTAAGATAAAGCCTGTTCTTTTGAGATATATAAACTCCAAGCTGAAAAATACCATCCTTATAGATAGGTTAAAGGTAAAGGTAAAGGGACCCCTGACCATTAGGTCCAGTCGTGGCCGACTCTGGGGTTGCAGCGCTCATCTCGCTTTATTGGCCGAGGTTAGAGACCTATATATTAAACACTGAGCTGCATCTATTTATCACATTGACTTGGTAAGAATGAAATTCATTATCATTTCCACAGAGTATAATAAAGTTTAATATGAAGAAAGATTGGCATAGATATAATTTTGAATTCATTGTTAGCCTCTGAAAAAGAATACTAAGAGGCAAATATAATCACCCCAAGTCTAGTTCTTGTTTAGCTTAACAAAAAAACTTATATGAGTGAATGAATGAATACGTAATTAAGGGAGAAAAGCAGGGGACCTGCATACAATCTAGACTAGAGGCAGAAACCAATGGATATTCAATAGCTTTTTTTATAAATAAACTTCCTTCACGGCATGGCAGGGGATCCAGTTTGATCCGTGAGGCCATTTTCATCAAGCCACACCCACCTGCTCCCATTACTCCTGCACTTCATTAATACGTTCAGGTCAAGCAGTTTATGAGCACCATGGTCCTGCAGCCTCTACACTTCTCTGTACCCCTTTCCCACAGGAGTTCTTAAGCCCTCTGTCCTGACAGCACAAAAAGACAGCAATGTGTTTTACTGAGGCTGAAAACATTTCAGGTTGAAGATTCTTGCTTGGGGCAACTGAAACTTATTACCTGAAAGCAAATGCTTTACACAGCCATATTACTGACTTGCTGAAATAAGGCAACCCAGAGGGAACTCCCTAGCTCTGGTTTGACAAGCTGAAAGACATTCCTGCTAGCAGGTTCTGGCAGTAAGCTGAAGGGAAGCTAGGGGCTCTCTGCTTGCTACTTTCAGCCTGAGATCCAGACTGACTGACAGAAGGGTGCACAGGAATCTGGCCACAGAAGACCTTTGTGTCGTCCACATAGGCACATTCATGTCTGGCTATGGATGCTGCCTATCCATATTACGTTCCTTTCATTGGAAAGCATAGTCAGACACACATCTGAGAGCAGGAAATGCAGTGTGGATAGAACACCCCACCCACCAGACATGGTCATGGTTCTGCATTACAAGTTTCTGCTCTGCAGGAGTTCTCGTTGTCTTTCATCCCGTTCATACAGTGGAAAGAAACAGATGATGCTTTAGCAAAGGAAGGGCGATGATAGGATGCTCGCCCCATAACAGAACGTAAGAATTGCCTGTTGGATCAGCCTAGTGGTCCATCTAGCCCAGCATCAAGAAGACTTCAGGTATTTCATTGGTACTAGTTACAGGTAGGTAGCCGTCTTGGTCTGCCGTAGTCGAAACAAAATTAAAAAATTCATTCCAGTAGCACCGTAGAGACCGACTAAGTTTGTTATTGCATGCACACAAAAGCTTATACCAATAACAAACTTAGTTGGTCTCTAAGGTGCTACTGGAATGAATTTTTTAATTTTGTTTCATTGGTACTGTTATAAATGGGCAAAACCTCACCACTTTGTTTCCAGGGAGGCAATACAGAGGATAGGGGGAAAGAAAAATTATATAATAGGGGCCACGACTCAAAACTCAGGTGAGTGACGAAGCAGAACCACTAGGTTCGGCATGTTGGCAACAAGGCAAATGACTCACAGCTGGAGTTTTTTGCACAAAGCCTTGATCATTGGTAATTCTGCCCATGAAAGGTACAGCAGGAGCCAATTAAGCAGACGAGCCAATTATTAGGTGGCTGGGAGTCACCTGAAACAAGAGGCAGCAGATTCTGATAGAGATTCTACAGGAACTTTTAAAAGGGATTTTTAGCTGTTCCTTTTCTTTTAGCCTAATTTGTGGTAAGGTCATTGGGGGAAATGATGAGGGATGCTGCACACCAGGGGTCAGAGTTGATGGTGGCATAGAAATTCTTTAGTTTCCTTTTCCTTCACCAGTGATAATAACTTTTCAAAGACTAAATAAATTCTTATTCAGGTTCCATGTGGTACTAAGGAAGACTGCCACCTGAAGTTTGAAAGAAGGATCACACCTGACCAGAGGCATACTTAAGGTAAGCCAGGTCTTTTAATTGGAATTGAAACAATATTTAATGCATATATGCATACTTTTTAATGCTTTATTATGCTGAGGGGGCAAAGACAGATTTAATGTATGATTTAACTGCGCCCTTTTACCTGGGGCAGAGCTGATTTTCTGGACCCTGGAAAACTTCTTGTTAGTATACCTTGCATTTTTCGGGATTCTCCATGATTTCTGGAAGTTAAATTTGTGAGTGGCAAATAGATACTGTGCAGAACTGGGCACAGATCAGAGTTTGCGGGCTCTACATTGTCCTTTTTAAAAATAGAACCCTGACATCTAGGTGCAACCAGTTTGGTGCCCGGTTCAAGGTGCTCAGCTCACATTAGTGTTTAAACGCTAATGTCTGATCTATTACCAAACCATTAAATGATTTAGGAAGCAATCCTATGGCAAGATCCACTGGTTTGAGTAGCTTAGGGTGCAGTGGGTATCCAGCTCAGCTGCCATTAAGTTCCCAGCTCTTGGCCCAGCTGAAGATTGCCATTGTACCCAGCTCAGTTCAGCCAAAGCTGGCTAATCTGAGGCCCCTGTAAATCCACAAAAGGGGTGTGTGTGCCGGAAGCCAGAACAGAGAGTGAATACTCAGTCTGGATCCTAAGCCTGTTCAGCTTGGTCACATGACCTGGCAACTGGCCATAGAACACTTATTTTAAAGTCTTATTTTCTCTTTGCCAGGCTTAGGCAGAGCTGAATGGGAGTTTGAATCTGGTGTAGCTTCATGCTGGCTTAATTTACATTGGTTTGCTTTACAACAGCTTCTTGTGCGCAGGATTGCTCCCTCAGCCCCAAATAAGACCACCTTCTTTCCTAAAGACACTCTTGGCTTTTAGGAATATCTGTGGGAACCCTCTTGGTAGTTCCCAGATAAAAACACACAGGATTGCAACCTTACTACACAGCCCTAACCATGTCTACTCAAAAGTAAGTTACACTGAGTGCAGTTGGAGTTTCTCCCAGGAAACCAGGCACAGAACTGCAGGACTCAGAGTAGACCTATTGAAATTAATGGACCGAATTAGTCACATTACTCTGAGTAAAAAGTAGTTGAATACCACCCTTGAGTTGCAATGTTAACCCCACTTATCCGGGAGTAAGCCCATTCAGTTAAATGAGGCATATGAAGAGATGTGGTTAGGATTGCAGCCTGTCTTTGTTGCAGTTGTGGAGAAAGACTTCAGAAAATTAAAGCAAACATTAGACATAAACGATAAAGCCTCTTCTACACCCCCTACTGAGTGTTTTTGAAAGTAATTAAAGAGAGGCTGCTGTTTACTTGCTTTATTCTTACTCAACTTGGTTTGTACCTTCAGCAGCTTGATTTGCCATTGTGCCTTCCCTATTTTGCAGCCATTCGTTTGACATTTGTATACAGCTGGAACGCTGCCTCTGTGAAATAGGTGTGCAGAGTTCTGTACAAGATGCACGTCTTGTGTAACATCCAATTACAGTGCAAGTTCCCATACAAGATGGGGAGTGAGAAAGGGGAAATGCCAGAGGTGGCTTTTATGCAGCTTGTTGTACAACTAGAGTCCATTAGCTAATGTGGAGGAGGAGGAAATCTGCGACGTGTCAGTCACTGGCCAGGGTATAGTATATAATCCCCAAGCAATCTAATTTGTGGCATTTCCTACAAGCCTACAGACAATAAAAGAAGAGGACTGAAATGTCCTCCATGTGGGCTTCCTTCCATCAGTTTAGTGCATTAAATTAACAATAATAATAATGCTTATAATTGTGATGTTCAACACCTTGGCAGACAGGAAGCAAACAAACAAGTCTATTATTGATAGCCAGTCAGTTTTTGCAGCCTGGCTGTTTTGCTTTTGAAACGATGCAAGGGACATACAAGCTGAGACTTCTCAGCCTTTGCCTAGGGAAGTAGATAGATGCTTCACAAACAAATACAAAGAAGTGATTCTCATCCCAGACCTGGGAACAGGGAGACTATGGAACCCAGAAGACATAGGAGATCTGTACCTGGGTCTCTGGCTTTTTGTTCATTTTAAAATTGGCACAGGGAGCTCTTAATCTGAGGGCAGAGCAGGCATGCAGGATAGTAAGAAGCAGTCTGAGAGTAACTGGTTGCTCATAACAAATAAGCTTGGCTCAAGTCTGAGATATTATAGGACCATGTGGAAACTATTGAATCCTCATGCCACCTAACTGCTGAACTGGTAGCTGCCTGCAGTATAATACCATCTTTAGCCCAACAGCACTGGTGGCATCTATGTGCAACAGAAAGTGGAACTGGCCACTCTCTTGCTGGTATGAGAAAGGATAACATGGTAGATTCTTTTATTCTTGAGCTCCATGGTAGAGAGCTTCCACTCTACCCTTTCCCTTTTTGCCGTGGGTGTTTGTGACGGGGGGAGGGGTTGGTTGTTTTGTGCCCCCCCCCCATTGTGTTATGGAAGGACAAACATTAACAAAAATCTCTGAAAGATTTCAGACCATATGTCTGGCATTCACCACAGCCAAGTCAGATCCTGTATAAAAGCTGTGAAATTCAGCCTTAGGGTTCTTCAGTGGACAAATAAAATCTGTATGTCTTTCTGATGCTTTACTCTGTCATTGCTAAATGCACAAATAAAGCAATCTGTTAAGACATTATTTCTGAAATGCATTACCCCATTCAATACATTGAATTGCCATAGTCTCTTTTTGCTTCTCTTCAGCACCATGCCATGGTGTGTGAGGTTCAGTCATAAGTTGGCAGCCTGTACTTACACATTATAGACTTCGCCCCTTTCTGGGCAACCTATGCTTCTAGCAGGTGTTTCTGTGGATTCTCACCCAATTCGGTAGGCAGACACTGGTGGAACGGGAAACTGAGGAACCTTGCTGCTCTTTCGAGAGCTCTTGGGCCAAAGAGCAAGTTAACTGATGAAAAGAAACCCTTGGGCATATTTAGATTCTTGTGGCATCTTTAATAGTGACAGAAGCATTATATGACACAAGCTTTCTTGGATCACACTCCACATCATCAGATGCATGTAGTACAATCCTAAACTGGTAGGCATATGTACACACATGGTTGGAGGAACAGAAAGAAGGGAGGTATGGGAAAAGCAAAATGCCATGAGAAGAGAATAGTTGCAGTGAGAGTAAAAGAAGGTTGTGTTGGTGGTAACACACATAACCTGGCATGCATAAGCTCAGCAAGATGTCCTTTATAAAAAAAGTATAAATCATACTTTTTTGCTTATATGCTGCTCCGCTCTGCCCCACTTTGTCTTGCAAATTGTTCTGCAGATTTGAAGCTTCTCTCACCCTACCTGCGGGGTTAGCCTGTCAGCTGCATTTACTCCAATGCTCTGAAAGCACCACTTAGCACATTTCTATTAGTTTAGAACTGTAAAAGTGCTTCTATAAACATTTTAGAACGGCACGTCACAAGAGCTGTGGTGCATTCACCGGCTGATCTGAGCTGACCCTTTCAAAACCTGCCCCGAAACCTGCTTCCAGAATGTCTCTATTTTTGGGTGGGATTCAGTCGCATACCGTCAAATTCAGGTTGAGCAATTAGAGCTCATTGGAAGATCTTGTGCAACAAACCCACTTCCCCAAAAGATCAGACTTTTTACAGTGAGGAAAGTTACAAGAAAATGCACTGGGAAAGTGTGGGATAACTGCAGGGTCATCCAGCCTCCCCACAAATAAATCAGATTAAAAGCTCATTAAACAGTAGTATAATCTGCCTGCAAACAAATTGGGATGAATGCTCAATAAACAGGGCATCGAGAAGTGCCCTAGCAAGGAGATTGTTGATCAACACAGAGCAACCAGCTGTTTTCAGGTCACCATGCTGTGGTCGTAATAGATTTAGCCTTTTAGCAGGCAGAAAAGGACTGAGAGGAAAGGAAGACAGGCTGGCTGGCTGGCTATATTTCAGTAGCCTACAGCTGGGAATCAGTGGACCAAATAAGCCCCTATGTCTTTCTAAGCTAGTGGCTATTGTGCTTTCAGACCCCAGTCAGCCAGGAAACATAGGTTGTTTCCTGAAGTTTCTCTTTCTCTTTTTGGACATGCAGATTAGCAAGATGAGGCCTTTTGGGTCTCGTGCAGCTATGAACGTATCAGCAAAAACAAGTGAGTGGTGGAGAAGAAGGATGTGGCCCCTGCCTGACACCCAGTGTGATGTAGAGCTCAGAATGCTGTAAGTTCAAATCCCGCTAAGCTGCAATTGTCACCAAATAGCTCTGGACCGGCTACTATCTCTAACCTAGACTACCTTACAGGGCTGCTGTGAGAATAATGGGAGAGGTTGCCAGTGACCTTTTGGAGTGACCACACAAATGGAATGGTAATAATAATACACATAAATGCCACTGTAGACTAGGGCACATGACGTGGTGTTGTGTTGCAAAGGTGTGGAGTTAGAAGTCTGGATTTATGGTATTAACTTCTCAGTGCCTCAGAAGCTGGAAACGGCCTTGGCCTGCCTGGCCCTCTAAGAGCAGCTGCTTTTCAGGGCTCTGCTTGCTCTGCCTGCGATGATGGAGTTAGGCTCTCCCCCTTGTCCTTGGAGAGGCGCGTGTTTTGCACCGGGAGAGTAATTGATATTATTGCCAATCCTGACGCACTGCAAAGCGAAAACAACACCCTGGCAATGCTTGCTTGCTTGCCTTAAATGCTGTTATCTAACAACAATGCTTCCAAATCCCACAGCCGGCCTCTTCTTTTAACACGTGCAGCACTATCTGACTGTCTCTGTGTCGGTTTGCAGCAGTCACACTCCCAGGCACATGCGGAGGAGCTGCTGCTGTGTGCTGCGGAGGTTTCGGCTCTGCTTATGTATTGCTCCGAATGTAGCACACCATTAAAAAAGGAAGTGGGGGGCGGGGGGAAGAGCGGCAGATGCAGTGGGGATGCTCAGCTGTGCAGGGCTTTGCGAAGAAGCCCAGGCTGCCTTTTCCAGGTTCCTTAAAGCCCTTTGAGATAATCACGGGCTTTAACACTTCACATGTCTGCTGCTTCCTAGAAGGATGTATTGCCCTCAAATCTTCATCTGAACTCAGAACACTTTGCAGTGTCTACATACGTACGTACAGACATGGGTCACCACAGGGAGCAGGGCCAGAGGGCCAGTCCTCCTGCCCTGGATGAACCATAATCCCCACATTCCCAATTTTCATTATCAAAAAAAGAGTAAGTTTGTGGTATTTGTAGAGCCTGAGATATGAAGCAATTTATTTTTTTATAAGATATTTATTAAAGTTTCAAAAATAAAAAAAGAAGTTACAATAATAATAATAAGAACAAGAAAAAAAAGAAAAAGAATAAAAAAAGAAAGAAGAGAATACAAAATGCAAAAAAGTAAAAACAATTAAAAACAAATCAATCTTTCCATATTTTGTCTTTCATTCACTTGTTTCCCTGACCTCCTCACACCTCCCCTTTTTTTGTATTCCAGTTCAGTAAGTTAAATTCAGCAAATCCTTTCCCTCTTTGTTTTTATCTTAGATCTTTATCTTAATATATAATAACTGTATATTCTCATCTGTTAGCAGTCCATTTTTACATACTCCTTGTAGCATTGCTACTAAAAACCCCTTAGCTTCATTCCAACATCATTCTAACATTCATTAATTTTACAGTATTTCTGTAGATAGTCTTTAAATTTCTTCCAATCTTCTTCCACCAACTCTTCTCCCTGGTCTCGGATTCTGCCAGTCATTTCCGCCAGTTCCATATAGTCCATCACCTTCATCTGCCATTCTTCCAGGGTGGGTAGATCTTGTGTCTTCCAGTACTTTGCGATAAGAATTCTTGCTGCTGTTGTGGCATACATAAAGAAAGTTATATCCTTCTTTGGCACCAATTGGACGACTATGCCCAGGAAAAAGGCCTCTGGTTTCTTCAGGAAGGTATATTTAAATACCTTTTTCATTTCATTATAGATCATCTCCCAGAAAGCCTTAATCCTTGGGCACGTCCACCAAAGGTGAAAGAATGTACCCTCAGTTTCTTTGCATTTCCAACATTTATTATCGGGCAAATGATAAATTTTTGCAAGCTTGACTGGGGTCATGTACCACCTGTATATCATTTTCATAATATTCTCTCTTAAGGCATTACATGCCGTGAACTTCATACCTGTGGTCCATAACTGTTCCCAGTCAGCCATCATAATATTATGTCCAACATCTTGTGCCCATTTAATCATAACAGATTTCACTGTTTCATCTTGAGTATTCCATTTCAACAGCAAGTTATACATTCTTGACAAATTCTTAACTTTAGGATCTAACAGTTCTGTTTCCAGTTTTGATTTTTCCACCTGGAAGCCAATTTTCTTGTCCAAATTGTATGCCTCCATTATTTGATAATAATGAAGCCAATCTCGCACTTTATTTTTTAGTTTTTCAAAGCTCTGCAATTTCAATTTATCTCCCTCTTGTTCCAGAATTTCCCAATATTTCGGCCATTTGGCCTCCATATTGAGCTTTTTCTGAGCCTTCGCTTCCATCGGTGACAGCCACCTTGGAGTTTTATTTTCAAGTAGATCCTTATATCTTGTCCAGACATTAAACAATGCTTTCCTGACAATATGGTTTTTAAATGCTTTATGTGCTTTGACCTTATCATACCACAAATATGCGTGCCACCCAAATACATTGTTAAAACCTTCTAAGTCCAAAATGTCTGTGTTTTCAAGAAGCAGCCATTCTCTCAGCCAACAAAATGCGGCTGATTCATAGTAAAGTTTAAGGTCTGGCAGGGCAAATCCACCTCTTTCTTTTGCATCCGTTAGTATTTTGAATTTTATTCTGGGCTTCTTGCCCTGCCAGACAAATCTGGAAATATCTCTCTGCCACTTCTTGAAACAGTCCATTTTGTCCACAATTTGCAGTGTTTGAAACAAAAACAACATTCTTGGCAATACATTCATCTTTATCGCAGCGATATGGCCTAGCAGTGAAAGCTTCAAATTTGACCATATTTCTAAGTCTTTTTTCTCTTCAGTCCAACATTTTTCATAGTTATCCTTAAATAAATTCACGTTTTTAGCAGTCATGTTGACCCCCAAATATTTCACTGTCTTAACCAGTGTTAATCCTGTCTCCTTCTGAAACCTCTCTCTCTCAATCGCTGTTAAATTTTTCTCTAAAACCTTAGTTTTTAACTTATTCAACTTAAATCCTGCAACCTGACCAAATTCTTGAATCCGTTCTATTACTCTTTTAGTACTAGATTCTGGCTCCTGTAATGTCAATACGAAGTCATACTAAGACTTCCGGGGTGGCGCCATCGGTAATGGCGGATTCCCTCTGACTCGGAGGTACCGGCTCTGCGGGAATCGGGTCTGTACCGCTACGGCGAAGCGGGGACCCTTCAAAAATCACAGGCGGGTGAAGCCTGTGAACGTGGGACTCGGCGGGCACCTTTCGCACCCCCCCCAATTCGCAAAGGGACCCAACTACGGGCTCCGGAGCCAAGCGGGGTGAGTGGCGCGGTGCTGTGAGTCAACTGCTTCTTCCGCGGAGCGAAGCCGCACAGCCGTTACCGGAGAGCGCTGTCTTCTTCCTGTGACAATTCGACTACAAAAAGCAACTACCCGTGAGTAGGACAAATTGGAAAGAAAAAAAAGGAAGAAAAAAAAGGCTTAATTTGGCACCGAAGCGGGAAGGCATAAACAGGAAGTCCGCCTTCCATTTCTTGTAAATAGACTAAAGCAAAGAAGCTGTAAGCTAAAGACCTGGAAAGTCGATCGGGAAGGACTAAAATCCAAACGTCAAAATAAGTGATTTCCCCCCTTGGTTGCAGGAGAGGAGGGGGAAAAGGTTTGAACTATATTTTCCTGCAAAAGAGAGGGAAGGAAGTAAGAATCCACTGCTTAAAACCTGGAAACGGGCTGCCAATGGACAGTAAGACTGCCGTATTGCGAAATGCGCTGTCTGTGAACAGAGTACTTTTTGACAGCTAGCTCTGCAAAGGAGATATATTGTTTCTGGCTGTCTCCTCCTGATCTTAAAGTGACTGAGAAGTAACTGAAATTGAAATTGTTGCTTATTTGGTGAAATGGGGGTTTAAAAAGAGTTATTTTTTAAAGCAACAAGTTTTGACTGTTACAGTTTCCCCCCCTAGAGGAAATCTTCGAAATTGTTACAACAATTGGGCTAGGGGAATTTTCCACTTCAAAACAAATTATAGCTGTGGGATTGACCTTGTGTTCCAGCTAAAGTGTTATGGCAGATGGAAAAGAAAAAGTAGATCTGTTCCAAGACAAAACAATGAGGTCTGGGAAATCCTGGCTGCAGCGAAGAGCATCAACATCTGGCCCTTCTGCACCATCAGCGGCTGCAACTATACAATCTAAGTCAAAAGGCATGGCATCTGAAGATGTTTTAGCACTTGCACTAGGCAAAATAAATGAATCGCTGGAAAAATTAAGTAAACAAGTGGCTGAAGCATCAACTAAAATTGATCAAAACACCATAAGCATTAACAATCTGGGACAAAAGGTGAACACTAATACAGAAACTATAGAGAAATTGCTACAGGAATCTACTTCGACCCGACAGATTGCTGAAGAAGCCAAGGAAAAAGCAGTTGCTGTAGAGGAGAAGATACCAGCCCTACACAGGCAACTTGAGGATCACAGGTCAACACTTTCTATGATTGAATTGAAGGAGAAACAAATGAACTTGAGGATCAGGACTGTGCCTGAACTAGAGAAGGACAGTCTGACTGACTTTCTTGCGCAGGAATTTGCAGACTTTTGGGATTTAGATTTGGAGAAGGAAGAATTTAAGATAGTGAGTGCTTTTAGGCTTGGAAGAGGGGGGAAGAAGAGCAGGGTGAGAGACTGCTTGATTGCCCTCCGAACAAAAGAGGAGAGAGAGACAAAATTTTGAGCCTGCACTTTCAGAAGACCTTGGAAATACATCAGTCAAGAGTGGAGATTTTAAAAGATATTCCGAAATACCTTTTGGATCTTAGGTCCAACTACGGAGACTTGGTTGCCCTGTTGAGAAGTAACAGAATCATTTTTAGGTGGGAATTCCCCCAAGGTCTATCTTTTAGCCTTAAAGGAAGAAAGATAAAAATAAGATCAGTGGACGACAAAGAAAGATTTTTGAAAGACCACGGAGAAGACCTGCAGAAAGAATCTGGAGAAGAGCTAAGTGCATTGGACAGAGAACCGACAGACAGAAGACCAAAACAAAAGCATCGGACAAAGGACTATTAAAAGAGGAATACTAGATATAGCTACATTACCCTTTGGATTGGACTCCTCAGAGAAAGTGACAATAACACCACTGACAGAACAAGAACAAACACTTGGTGCAGTTGGAGGAAAAGCAGAGTAATTACATCATGGCTTTGCAACTATTAAGTTGGAATACTAACGGTTTGAATTCCCCTCAAAAAAGGAAAAGAGTCTTCCATTTATTAAAACAGGAACAATTGGACTTGATTTGTTTACAGGAAACACATGTGGTAAGGCTACACAGAAAAGTATTGATCAACAAAAGACTGGGTCAAGAGTTTATTTCATCGGACAAAGTCAAAAAAAGGGGAGTAGTGATTTACGCAAAGGAAAGCCTATCACCGAAATTTATATTTAAAGATGACCAAGGAAGATTCGTGGCAATCGAAATTCAACTACAAGGAGAGAAATTCTTGATAGTAGGAGTTTATGCACCAAATGAGAGGAAATCAGATTACTAAGGATGGTAGGCTACCGAAAACCTTCTTTGAGATGACTGACAATTTGGATTTAGTTGATATTTGGAGAACAAAGAACCCCTTGGGTAGAGAGGGAACTTTCTTCTCTGAAGCCAAAATGACATGGACAAGAATTGACCAAATTTGGGTAACTAGAGGACTGGCTCCAAAGACAAGAAAAGTGGAAATTTGCCCTAAAACCTGCTCCAACCATAATGCTGTAAAGATGGAGATGAAACTAACACCAATTGGCTCTTTCAGATGGAGGATGAATGACACCCTGTTTAGGGATGAAGAAGTGATTAAGAAGGCCCAAAAAACCTTGAGAGATTATTTCGAGATTAATACGAATACTACTGTTGAAAAAAGAGTAATCTGGGACGCAAGTAAAGCGGTTATGAGAGGGTTCCTGATACAACAGAATGCAATAAAGAAGAGAACCCAAAATGAGAAGAAAGATAAAATTCTGGAGAAAATAAAGGAAGGTGAGAAGAAATTGAGAGTAAAACCAAAGTTGCAAGAGATTTTGAGAGAAATAAAGTTACATCAAGTACAATACATGAAAATGATGAATCAGGAAATAGAATGGAAAATTAAACAGATGAGACAAAAGACATTTGAGTCGGCCAATAAATGTGGGAAATTGCTGGCCTGGCAAATGAAAAAAAGACAAAAACTTAATACTGTTACAAATTTGGAAGTGGAAGGAAAGAATATACAGAACCCAGTGGAGATTAGAAATTGTTTCCAGAGGTACTTTAAACAACTATATACACAAGGGCCACAGAAAGAAATTGACATAGATCGATTTTTGAAAATAAATGGACTACAAAAAATCTCTCAAGAAAACAAGCTAATGTTGAATTACAAAATAACTGAACAGGAGGTAGAAGGTGCCATCCAGAATATGCAATTGGGTAAATCTCCAGGGCTGGACGGTTTAACTTCAAGATACTATAGATCTTTGAAAAATTGGATAATACAACCACTAAAGGAAGTTTGTAATGAAATTTTGGAAGGGAAAAAAGCACCAGAGTCGTGGAAAGAAGCTTACATTACACTTATACCGAAAACTGAGTCTGAGAAGACACAGCTTAAGAATTACCGCCCCATATCTCTGCTTAATGTGGATTATAAAATTTTTGTAGATATTTTGGCTAAAAGATTAAAAAAAGTATTAGTGGAAGAGATACATAAAGATCAAGCAGGCTTTCTCCTGGGCAGACACTTGTCTGATAATATGAGAAACATAATTAACATTTTGGAGAAATTACAAGTGAACGTTAATACCAAGGCAGTTTTGATATTTGTGGACGCGGAGAAAGCTTTTGACAACATTTCCTGGAGTTTTATGAAGAGGAACCTACAGGGGATGGGGGTTGGTCAAGGTTTTGAAAATGGTATAAGTGCAATATATTCTGAACAAAAGGCCAAACTAATTGTTAACAATGTGGTGACGGAGGAATTTAAGATAGAGAAAGGGACACGACAAGGTTGCCCAATTTCCCCATTGCTTTTTATATCGGTCCTGGAGATTCTTTTAAATATGATTAGAAGGGACCAATTGGTTAAGGGTATACAAGTCGGAGCCAAACAGTATAAATTGAAAGCATTTGCAGATGACTTAGTATTGGCAATTTATTTATTTTTTTGGTGCGAAACTAGCCTGTTCTCTCCTTTCAGTGTTTGTACTTTGTACCCTTGCCCCACCTCCCAAAATTTCCTGTAGATGTACATGCACACAGCTGCCGAAACGATTCACCTGTCTCATTGCTTGGACTACATATTGCTTTTCCTTAAATCCCTACCCTTCTGTCCTCTCCCAATCCCAGCCAGTGAATTGTGCTCATGCAGCTCCCCCACTCTCACCAATCTTGAAAGCCTCGCTGCTAGACAGGTTTAATTAGCCAGGCTGCTAAGGAGCATAGGAAGCTACCTTATAACCAAGCCATACCATTGGTCCATCTTGCCAGAGTTATCTGCACTGACTGATGATGGCTTTTCAGGGTTTCAGACAGGGAGCCTCTTCCAGCCCTGCATGGAGATGGAAGGGATTGAACCTGACTGAGACCTTCTGCATACAAAAGCTCTGTCACTGAGCTACTGCACTTCCCCGACTTACATCTGGCGGTCCTGCTCTTAGAGTGCATGCTTAGTTCAGAGATGGGTTAAATAAAAGTGTTTGCCTAGTTCTTCTGTATCATTGTTATTAAACAGGGCATTGCTGCTTGTATCATACAACTTAAAAACCACTGTCTGTGGAACACTGTTTTAGAGTGTCATCTATGCCAGCCTTGCCCGGGGTCACACCCTCCAAATGTCTGAGGTTGCAATTGCATCAACTCCAGCCAGCATAGTCTGACCTATGCTTTCACCCAGACTCATTTAGGATATAATTTTCCAGCTGCAGTGAAAGATTTTAGATGGTTTGCACTGCATGGAAAGCCTTTACCAGAACATCCATCTCCAACCTCCTGCTATGTTTTGGACTACAACTCCCATCACCTATTGGCCCTGCAGGCAGGAACTGATGGGGGATTGAGTCCAACCCATATGCAGGGCATCAGGCTGAAGAAGGCTGTGCTAGAACATATATTACATAGACACAATGACAGCTGTGGCAGCCTAACATGCCATCCACCTCATCCTGATTCTCTAGCGCAGCAGTTCTCAACCTGTGGGTCCCCAGATGTTGTTGGACTACAACTCCCATCATCCCTGAGCTCTGGCCTTGCTAGCTAGGGGTGATGGGAGTTGTAGTTCAACAACATCTGGGGACTCACAGGTTGAGAAAGGCTGCTCTAGCGGTTTAGGCTGCCTTCTGAATGTGCACGATTATGCATGTCGCAAAAATTAAAAACTTGGGGAGAATGTAGTGGCATCTTAATATTTAGCTGCAAAACAATTGTAAAAATGTTCCCGTGGTATGAATCAGCATTCAGCACTGTGCAGACTGGCAAACACATTCTGTTCTGCTTCCCAGGCAGTTACTTGACCTTAATTAACTCTAGCATTTGCTCTGAAAACAGGCTGTGGAACACTCACTTTGGCACAAAGAAATTACAAGCATGTCTGGCTGCGATTCCTGAAAGATGGCGCATGCTTGGGTTTCTGTCAACACCTGAGATCAGTCAACACTTGTAGGTATTCAGTGATTGCGAGCATGACTGAATGTGTATAGAATATTTTATAAACATCTATTATTATTATTATTATTATTATTATTATTATTACCCTCATTTTATTTCTAGACCACCCTGACAATTGCAGGACAGTACACAGAAATGCATAAAGTAAGAATAAATACCATGCACGCTTAAAATACCATAAAGTACATCATGCAGCAGACATAATCTCAACACACTCTGTATATCATGTATGGTATACAGTACTATATAAATTTCACCTTAAACCCTTCAGATGGCAACAGAAAGAGAACAGTTAGGGGATAAAGTGTACCTTCAGTGGGAGAGCATTCCACAGTGGGGTTCTTATTTCAGAGAAAGCCCTGCTCTGTGTCACTGCCTGGGTGAAATCTCCCTTCACCACCAGCAGCTCCCACCAGGGATCTTAAAGGCCAGGTTGTAGCATATTGGGAGAGGCAGCTCATCAAATATTTGGGTCCTGGACCATTCAAGGCTTTATACGCTGAAGCCCAAACCTAAAACTGAGCACAGTAAGCACATAAGCAACTATTTATGGGGACGACTGATGAGCGAAAGACACTGTCCTTGGCAACCCTGAGATTGCTGGTTGAGAAAAGAACATGAGAAGAGCCTGGTGGATCAGACCAATGGCCTGCCTAGCCCAGCATCCCGTTCACACAGTCGCCAACCAGATGCCTATGGGAAACATGCAAGCAGCATTCAAGCACAAGAGCCTTCTCCCCTCCTGTGGTTTTCAGCAACTGGTACTCAGAAGCATTGCTGCCTCCAAATGTTGACGCAGAGCATCGCCATAATGGTCCATAGCCATTGAGGGCCCTCTCCTCCATGAATTTGTCTAACCCTCTTTTAAAGCCATCTAGGTTGGCGGCCACACCACCTCCTGTGGGACCAGGATTTTCTGGTCACGATTCACTGCAAAGCTGCTCTTCAGAAGCCCCAAATGGATGGCAGGCTGTGGCTTCACAATGTCAAGCCGTGGAAAGCTCTCTTTCAGAAGGTTTGTGGAGGCCCTTCTATCCCTGCTTTCAGATTTTATTTTTTTGAAACAGATGCACTTTTCATGCAGGCTGATTCCCCATAGCTTTGTTTTATAATGCTACTGTTTTAATAGGCATGTTTGCATTTTCCCACCCTGAAAAGATCAATGCTTTGTGTGTGTTCCAAATGAACCCTACAAGGCCAGGAAAGCTTGCTGAGAATCACCCACTCTGCCTTGCCTCTACCTCCACCAAAACCATAGGAACTTACCTTTGCAGGTAAAGGACAAAAAGAGAGGTGGCCGTGAGCACTCTCACCCCTGTTGGTGTGTCACTGGAAGGGGAAGGGAGAGGCAGAGGTGGTACTAAGCAGGATCTGGGCAGACACAGCCCTAATCACAGCAAGTATGTTTAGTCCAGTCTTTCCCAGATGCTCACAACAAGCTTTGAATAAGTTAGTTGTTTTAAAGCCAACTTTAAAAAATATTTCATTTATGCTTATGATGCCTTTGGAGGAGGGGCCCACGTGGAGCCCAAAAGCAGCATATAAATAATGTATCTAAATGGCTTGTCCCATTGATTTTTTTAATTATTTTTTGAGGGTCTGAAGCATGGCTAGATTTGGCCCCACACCCCTCTTTGCAACAAATGATAAATACTAGTAAGATATCTGAGAAAGGATGCAGGAACACCTGGGGGAGGATCAAAATGAATTTTTCCACTAATTGCTTTCTTGCATCAGTTGGCTCAGCCCTTCACTTTTCTAATATGGTCAAGTGGGCAGCCGTATTGCATGACATGGGCTGTCACTGATAAGGCTAGCGGTAATCCCTGTGATAGCAGAGGCTTGAAAACAGTGGTTTCTGGGATACAGGCTGTATCTGGTTCACATGTTAACAATTATTAGTTATGAGCTCCCACCCCAAAATGATCGAGAACTGCTTGCATGTCAAACAAAATGGCGGGATATAAGTGAAATAAGTAAATGTGTGATCTGGTCACAATATGGTTTGGTATCCTGGCTCCAGGGAATGGCCAGAATTCACATTCTGTGACCCATGATGAACTAGCCACGATGGCTATGTTATACCTCTGCTGTTGAGCCTGTACACCTCTGAGTGCCAATTGGTGTGAATCACTGTTGGACGTGGTTCCTGCCTGCCAACTTCCCTTAGAGATCTGGTTGGCTACTGTGAAAACAGGATGCTGGACTTAGATGGGTCTGTGACCTGATCCAGCAGGGCTCTCCTTATCTTATTATGACACTGCTCTATAGCTTAGATAGGTGGTGAATTTAAGGAATATGTTCTTAAACAGAGGTATGGAGGGTCTTTTAAGATATTTGTTCCTGCTATTTTAAAAAAGGAAGCACTGTAATGAGTGGATACTGGCTTTCCTTTAAAAAATAAAATAACCCAAAGGGTAGGCAACAGTGGTTAGAGTGGTTGGCAAGCAACAACAACCAGGACTTATTGCAAGCATTTTAATTTATTAAACGGAACATTGGCTGTTGACTTAAACAGGAGCAAGATTGTGCTCATCAATTGGAGGTTAGCAGAGGTTGGCGATTCAGCTAATTGAGGAATCTTCACAGCACGCCAGGAAAGTCCTTCCAGGACTGACATTGCAGCACAAATACTGGAAAATGCAAAGTGTCCAGCAACCTTGGATGTTCCAGACAGTGCTTTGCTGGAAACAATATTTCAGTGCAAGCCAGCCAAGTAGCTATACTAATGACAGGTAATGGTTGGGATGAGGGCCTGAGCAGAGCATTTAGCTATGCATTTCAATACTAGGAACCAATCTGATTGCTGGCATTACTTCGATTTTTGTTGTTGTTAATTAAAAAACAACTAAAATTTCAGACGGCTTGGGTATTGACTAGAGACTTTAGATTGGACATAGTCTTCTTCATTATTTACATTATTTATATTATATACTGTGGCGCCATCCATTCTGACTCATATTCTTCCAGTTCCTTAGAACTCGCTTCTTCCACAAATATTTTACTTCTGCCCAGGTGGAAGCAAACTTTGGGATTGTGTAAAGCCAAGATTCACCATCCAGAGCCTGGGGGGAAGGCCATAGCTCAGTGGTAGAGCACCTGTCTTGAATGAAGAAGGGTGCAAGTTCAAAACCCAGTATCTCCAGGTAGGGCTGAGAGAGACTCCTATTAAAAACCCTGGAGAGTCACTGTCAGTGTAGACAAAACTAAGTTAGATGAGCCAATGGTCTGACTTGGTATAAGGCAGTTTCCTATCTTCCTTTGTGCACAGTGTGAGATTCAAAATGGTTGTGGAGCCAGTTACATACATCTCCCCGTAAGCCATCTTTCTTCTTCTTTGGCAAACAATCGTAGCCGAGTAAGATTGTCTTCCATGAACACGGTCTTAACAGTAGGTGACTGTGGAGGCCAATTCTAGATCCACACATCCTTCCACAGTGGGGACATAGGTTTCCTGGTGGGAGTTGATCACGGTGAGGGTTTGCCAAATGTATCTTCCTCTTAGCACATTTTTCCCTTGCATCCTGAGTTTGAGCATCTTCAAAGTCCATGATGCCTTTGGTAAAGCCTGTTCTCCAACTGGAAAACTCGCAGGCCAGTGTTTCCCAATCAATTGTTGGTGTTTATACTACATTTTTAAAGATTTGCCTTGAGAGAGTCTTTAAACCTCTTTTGTTGACCACCAGCATTACACTTTCCATTTTTAAGTTCGGAATAGAGTAGCTACTTTGGAAGATGATAATCAGGCATCCGAACAACATGACCAGTCCATGTTGAGATGATAGCATATAACAGTACAAACCCTACCTATAAGTTACAACTGTTCATGAATCCTAACTGTCTAATGTGAGAGACTGAACTGCTTAGGCAATGGAACTTTGCTAGCTGTTTTCTCTGCAGCAATCTGCTGTTGAAGAGGCTAGCAATGTATTTTAACTGAATGCTGACTTATCTCTTTGGCAGTGGAAGCTGCTGTAACAAACAAATGAAACTATGTCTGTCTTTTTCTCCTCCTCCTCCATGTGTTCATACCCACTGGATCCTGGTCCCCACCTGCAATTTGTCCATAAGTGCAGCCTTTAAAGTCTGCTTTTTTGAGAGTGGTGGGGGAGGGAGTAATAGCTGTTATTATGAAAGATCATCTGTATCCCATGTGAGCATTAACAATGCCACAGTCCCTTAAATGCACTTCCTTTTTTATGATACATCACATTTGCAGAGCTAGGAAAGCAGAACTCTTGGTGTGATTGTTCCAAATCACTAGCAATAACCTTCTGGAAACAGGAAGTTGTCTTTAGCCTTGGTTTTCTGCTTGGTTACTCACTTGGGCATTTCCAGACACTGCTTTAGCTCCATAATGTGTAGAGTTTGGAAATATTCATGGAAACAGTTTGTGGGCTGGTACAGGATGAGTCCAGGATGAGTTGTGGAGTTCATTCCTGTCAGGGCCAGCCCTACCATCAGGAAGTGTGAGGCAGGAGCCTCAGGCAGCATGTGCTGAACAACCTGCCCTGAACCTAGCCTGCTGCCCTTAGCAGCATCTGGTTGGCCACTATGAGAGCAGGGTGCTGGACTACATGCCTAGAATGCAAAGGAGGTGCCATCTTTTATTTGCCTCAAGCCGCAAAATGTCATGGTCCAGCCCTGATTACTGTAGTAGTAGCACATGGCTGCCTCAGCTGAGGGTCTTATCCTTCATGGCAATGCAGTTGTAGACCGACAAGTCCCTCTCATTTCTAGAAGCTTTTTGTTAGAAAGGTTGGCTCTACAATATCCCAACCACCGCCAGAAATATATACATATAAAATACAGTACAAATTCCGCATTCAGTACTAGACCACACAGCTGTCGCTGCTGCTGCTACCATTAATGCCATATGTAAAGCAACAAACATTAGTTGCTTCAGATTTCTTGTGAAGACGCCCTTTTGTCCTGGGTTTTCCCTGACCCTAAGTCTGGACCCTTTTAAATATGTTTTAGTCTTCTGAATTTCTGTTTTAATTTATCTGTTTTTATCTGCCTTCATTTTGCTGTGTTTAGGTTGTTTTAGTTTTAATGTTTTAATGATATATTGTTTGCTTTTTAGACCGTACATTGCTTGGAGATTTTTTTAAAAAATATTAAGCAGTATATAAATGCTTTTAAATAAATAAATGTAACAATGAAGCAACAATGAATAATCAAGCAACAATAAATATCCAAAACAATACACACAAGTCCATAAATACATTGGGTGGTGTTCAACTACATTTTACTCAGAAGGGTTCCATTGAAATGAATGTACATAGTTAAGGTAGTTAATAGGTCTACTCTGAGTAACACCTTATTTATTATTATTTTATATAAATTTTATTTTCAGTTTTTCGGAAGTTTATACACCTCACAAACACATACATCCAATACAATTGCATATTTGACTCCCCCCCCACACACTTTTGAAGTTCATTTTCTAATTTAGATTTTATAACACTGCATTTTCCACTTTACTCTATTTTTAGTTATTCTTCCATTTATCTTAGTACAATTTTAGCTGCTTGATTTAAATTAATCCTACTAATGAACTTGCTTGTTTGCCAGGGTTCCCCCCCCTTTAATACCCCCCCCCCGGTTTCTTATTACAGCTGTCAGTTTTGCCATTTCAGCATAATCCATCAATTTAATCAGCCACTCTTCCTCAGTTGGTACAGCATGTTATATCCACCTCCGGGCAAACACCATTCTGGCTGTGGTTGTGGCATACATGAATAATTTTTTAAGGTCCTTCGGAATCTTTATATTCACTATCCCTAACAGAAAGACTTCTGTTTTTTAAAAAAACTAAAGTAATGCTTTAATGCCACCCATTGAATTTACTGGGACCTACCTGAGACTAACGTAATTGAGACTAACAGCCATTTGTTGTAATTAGTTTGTTAAATTTACAAGTAAGATGTTGGCAACTCCCTGAAGACAGCATATGTTTGTTCTGGGTATTAAATATGGCCATGGTTTTGAATACCTTCCATTATGCTAGTCCGGTTACTGATAAACCTAACCAAGCTTTTGTAAAATGCAGGAATAAACACTTGCAGACCACAAAATCTCTCACACACACACACACACACACACACGTTAATTGCTTTTGGCAGAACATGTCAAGAAAGTTGAGAAATTACTAATAAACTGTCTGCTCCCTGATACTAACAGGATCACTAGCATAAGGAAAGAAATATTTTGTCAATAGGACAGTAAGTGCACAGCAATTGCTTGCTTAGAATGAAATAACTAAACTGTATGCACTGCTTCCGTCTCCACTGGCCTTTCCATTATAATTAAACATAGCTTGACATACATATCACTGCCATGCATTAGCTTTGCTTACTTTGTTCACACAATCAAATGAAAACACTGTGTTCCAGTTCCGCACATGCACCCTGATTCAAACCATATTACTGGTCATTATCTGATGTCAGCAGCATTGTAGCGCAGTGCTGGAATCTTAATGTCTTGTTTTGTGACGCAACTTGTTTTGTGACACAGTGGGTGCTTCCAGACTCTGCATGTTTACACAGAAGTATTTGTACTTGAATTCGTGTGGTAGGTTTGGCCTGATGGCATCTGAAGGCAAGATTGTGTTGCAGGGAATGAGTCTATATCTTAAGAGGTATATCTATCACACAGCCGAGGAATGTTTTAGCACACCTATGAGTGTTTAGTGTCCCCCAGTCCACCTTACCCAATAAATATCCAAAGTATTTGATAACATTTCCCCTTCTTAAGACAGAATTTAGGTACCGTCCAGCTCCGTGATTCTGTATTTGGGGTTTCTGAGGAGAACTAATAGGGTTGAATTGGATTCCCATCTTCACTTATTCAATTTACTTCTCAGGTTTTACTCTGTCGAAACTCTATTAAGTGCATTCATCAAAACCACCCATTCTTTCCATCAGAGATTACATAAGCACTGATGGAAATGCTGGTCGATACATATGAAAGCTAGGACATTGGTGGGCAGGTGCTGAGCGCTATTTACAAAAAGTCTCATAAGGAAATTTATATCTCAGCTACTTAACTAATAGAAGACCCATTCAAACTTGGATTAGTAAAGAAAAAACCTTCCCCGAGCTTTCAGTCAAATTGATTATCTTTCTTTGAGTGTGCAGCAACCCATACTCCAAATATTTTAATCTTAATTTCCTATACTGGAGGTGGTTTGTAACAAGGTCTGTTCCAAAATACGATTTTTGCTAACTCATGTCTTCTTTGGCGATCAGTAAGATTGTCTTCCATGCACATGGTCTTAACAGTGAGTCTGTAAGTGACTGTGGGGGCCAGTTCTCGATCCACACGTTCTAACTCATGTACTCTTTACTCAATTTACAGAAGTTAGAAGTACTCCTTGCATATTTTTAAATTTTTTCTAAGGCCACCACACAAATGCACACCCTAGTGTGCACAGTCTCTCTGGGCGTGTTTGTGCTCAATGTATTGTGCTGCTGTCAGTGTTGACAATAATGAGCTAAGTGATCTGACCTGGCATAAAGCAGCTTCCTGTGTTTTATACTGGGATGTACTGGGATGTCTATTTGTATGCACATCCCACTTACCCTAGGTCCAATTCCACAGGGAGAGGGGACTTGGAGAAAGCATATTTTAGGGTGCAGATCAGATGATGATAATCCTTCGCTTGCTTGGGATCTGGTTGTTGCCTAGCAGCAATCCCACTTGCCCAGTGACACCATGAAGTGAGCAGGAATGAGAAGCTGAATGGCAATGATCCCTGGGAGACAGTGATGCTTGGCAGCGACGCCACTCCTGCCAACACAATTCCCTTACTTTTACACCATCCCTAAACTGCAAAGATGCAATCCGCCTTGCAGCTTAAAGGATCACAGTGGAATTAGGTTTCCTTTTAGCCTAAATGCCAGCTCTTTGCTGCCAGAATTTGTGGGTAGCAAAGAGGGGGGAGGCAGTCTGCATTTACAGCACTTCTCCCCCTTAGTTTTGAGGAGGCTATTTTCTTTATTCATTTTTTTTTCATACCTAATGCCACACTTGCAGTATGTAGAAAACCTGGTCTGGCCTTTCCACTGTTTCCCAATGCTGTGCATTCAGATTTTGAAAATGGGACTAATGATAGACAACACACAAACAACTTGGACCCAGGTTGCCTAAGTGACTGCCTTGCCCTTTATATCCCAGCCCAGCAACTGCTCTCCTCAAATGGGGCACTTCTGAGAGTACCATATGCTCCAGGGTGTGTGCTTAGCTTATAAAACTGGGCTTTTAGTGCTGTAGCTCCAGCCACTGGAATAAGCGGCTAAAATTAAGACAGGTACCTAGCATCATGATCTTTAAGTGCCTACTGAAGATGCTTGTTTAAGGGGGCTTTTCCTGAGGTATGACCCAGTCATTTTGTACATCTGCAAAAAAAAAAAAAATGGTTTTATTGCTTTTATAATTTGTAAAAATTATTTGATTGTTTTAGAGTTTGTAGAGTTGGTTTTACTGGGTTTTATCCAGTGCTGCTGTTCCACTCACACAACAGACTTCCGTTCATGCAATGGTACTTTCCCCACGTCTCCCCACAGCCTCTTCTGCACCCTCAAAATCTGCTCTAGACAATTGGGGGCTCCATCTGGAACAGATTTTTTTGAGGGGGAGAGGAGATAGCATTGCATAGCACTGGATGCGACCCTTTGTTTTTTTAGAACATGGAGCTTTCGTGTTTTATTTCATATTTACCCTGTGTACATTTTGATGGCTTCAGGATGTGAAGTGATTTGTATATTTGTAAAATAAAGAAGTACTTTGGTGAGAATAAATATAGCAAAGAAGGGATGGTTCAGTCCTGGCACCAGGAAATAAATGGGAGGATCTTGTTTATTTTGCATTTATATCCCATCAAAATGGAATACATAGTTCTCTGCTTCCCACCTTTATCCTCACAGCAACCCTGTGAGGTGGGTTAGATTCAAAGACAGTGACTGAGCTAAGGTCACCCAGTGAGCTTCGTGGCTGAGTGGGGATTTGAGCCCTAGTCCAACATTCTAACCACTATATCACACTGGCTCTTAAATAATAAGAATTATTGGTTCCTTAACAATTTTCAGTTGACATAAAATTTTAACCCAAAGCAATGGTTTTTACAATCCACTTTGCATCTGTTTCTCCTGAATCCTTTAAAAAGCATTTGGGGTTGTTCCAGAATTTCTAGTTGTCACCTTTAATTCTGCATGGAAAAGAGGGCATCTTCTTTTTATTTGCTCATGTTAGCGCACGACTTTATTGTGTTCTATTCCCACTCTAGCTCAGGAAATGAGATACACCATCACTGCATTAGTTTAGCCACTAGTGGCAAGGGGAATAATTTGCATTAACCCAGATACTGCTGTGAAACTGGCTTCTAGGGAACTGTATTTCTTGGCAATTTATAATCCATCAGATGTACTCTGGGGACTCGGATAATTGCACAGAAATGCTCTGTCTAACGTGTAGATTTTACATATTGCATGCAAGCCACCGATACAGAATGCGGACAGGGTTATGAATCACTGACCACTCAGAATTTTAATGCCTTTTACATTGATCCTGCTTCCAATGAAATCAATGGGGAAGCTATTTTAAGGCACCTTGAGAACTTAATGAACTGAGAATTGCTGTCTTCGGGTGGTTGCCAGATCTGGGCAGGCTAGTGGTAGGGCTGGTCCAATATATCCTGCCATCCCCAAGTTGCTGCACCCGCAGAATCGGGGAGGAGTGCTTAAGCATCCCTTACACCAGCCTTTGCCAACTTGGTGCCCTCCAGATGTTGCGGGCAATGGCTCCCACCAGCTGTAGCCAAGTGCATTGTGCTGGCTGGTAATGGTGGGAGTTATAGTCAAAAAGATCAGCAGGGCACCAGATTAGCGATGGCTGCCTTACAGTGTTGCAGAGGGTTATGACCATAAGGAGAGAGACAGAAGCCTTCACATCTCTTGACCTTCGGCAATGAGAAACCTACGCAATCCCTTTCCATTCTCATTTTTTGCATGCTGGCTGGGAGAAAGAGGAAATCCCCATTTCCTTCAGTCCAGGTGTGAAGGAATGTTAATGGCCGCACCGTTTAATGTCCTGATTCTGTTGTTGCAAAATGGTTTAGAGTTTGTTCTGAGCAAAGCAAAACAAAGAATGGACTGCGGTGCTCATTGATGCAAAACTCTTCGTTATACCTCAGTGCATTTTGGAATAAAACACAGTCCTTCAGGTTCAGAAAAGGACACCCAAAATAACCAACGGGATGGAGCAATTCCACTCTGATTTTGTTTGTTTAGAGAAAAGACAAATAGGAGGAGAGGTAGACAAAATTATGCACTAGAACTTGAGGGGATCCAGTGAAGCTGAGCGTTGGAAGATTCAGGACAGCCAAAAGGATGCCCTTTTTTCACACATCACATAGTTAAAATCACTCCCAGAGAATTAGACAAATTCACAGAGGATAAGGGGTTACTCCTCCCCTAAAAACTCAGGTTCACTGCTTGGGTGCACTCCTGGATCCACCCCATGAGTCTAAACACCCAAGTTTTGGAGATGACTGTATGTGTGTTTGCCTGTTTAAAACTAGTGCATTAGCTGTGCCTATTCCTAGGCATGTCTGACCTGGACATGGTGATATATGCATTAGTTACATTCTGTTTGGATTGCTGCAATGTGCCGTTGGGAAGCGTCTGGGAATTTCAGTGGGTCCAAGATGCTGAGGCCAGGTTGCTGACCGGAGCCGTTTACAGGTAGAACAGAAACTCCTTGTTAACAAGAGCCCCACAACAGTCCGTTTCCAGGCACAATTCAAAGTGCTGGTGATGGCCTACAAAGCCCTATACAGCTTGGGTTCAGGCTCTCTGAAGGACTGTATCTCCCTGTATGAGCCTGCCTAGGCTTTAAGAACATCTGGGGTCGCCTTTCTCTCAGTCCCGTCACTGTTTCAGGCACGTTGGGCTTTTACACCATCCCTAAACTGCAAATAGGCAATCCACCTTGCAGCTTAAAGGATCACAGTGGAATTAGGTTTCCTTTTAGCCTAAATGCCAGCTCTTTGCTGCCAGAATTTGTGGGTAGCAAAGAGGGGGAGGCAGTCTCCATTTACAGCACTTCTCCCCCTTAGTTTTGAGGAGGCTATTTTCTTTATTAAAAAATAATAATTCATACCTAATGCCACACTTGCAGTATGTAGAAAACCTGGTCTGGCCTTTCCACTGGAGTATTTTCAGCAGCTACTCCCAGTTCATGTAACTCCCTTCCATGTTTCCTTTTGCCAATAGGCAAATACTTTAAAAACAAAACAAAACCAGGTCTTTTGGGCCACTAACTCTGGCTATTGTGACAGGGGCTTCGGGGGGCGGGTGTTGCACATTTCCTTTTCTTTAATGTGTTTTTAAATGGGTTTAGGTGTTCAAATTCAGTGCTGTTTTTAATAGGGCAACTTGTTTTTTTTAAAAAGAATACTTGAGCTGATCGATATGTTTTTAGTTGTATTTGCTCTTAGTTGTTTTTGTTTATGTTGTAAGCTGCTTTGGGTCCTGTGCTGGGAGAAAGGCGGGATAGGGGGGGAAATAGCAATTTAAGAGCTTACTGTTCACAGCTCTTTTCTTCATTTTGGTAATGTATATCAGTGCTTGATTTTTTTGGAGCAGAGAGACATAGCAGGACCTTAATGAAACCCACAGTTCCCACCCCTTATTTCCCCATAGCCATATAATTTTAGGCATAACATAGCCTCCTCCAAGTAGCCTTAATAGAAAAGTAGCTAAGGGGGACACGTCCACTTTTGCACACATTGTAATTTGAGCATTGAGGTAAATACATACAATATAGAAAGGTAGAATCAAATCATTTTTCTAGTGCTTTCCCCCCTACAACTCGATTTTTCTTGCCTTCGTTTCAGTTTAAAAGTTAAACATTAAGCAATATAACGCACACTCACTGCCACCGCCACCCCATCCAACGCTGTCTCCTCCCCCTCTCCTCTTCAAACTGCATTTCCAAATGCAGAGCACTGGTATCTCCAAAGCAGATCCTCTGGCTTTCTTTCCTCCCTGAAATCAGAATGCTGAAAAAGGCAGTCACCAATTAGCTGACTTTGCTCAGACAGACTCATGCGGATAAGAACAATAAATGTAATTGGTTTCAAGAGAATGTGCTGCAGCCTGCAATAGTCTTTGGCAGCATTAACTGTTGTTCGTTCCTCCTGATGCACCATGGACCACCCGGCGAAACCTTCCCTGAGACAGAACAAACACCAGTGAAAGGAACCAACGCTGCGTGTTAAGACAGTAGCAGCTAAAATGTCTCCTTGCCTCAGTTGTGCATTAATTGAAAATCCTACATAAAGCAAAGCCAGGTTGCTCAGGGGGCATACGAGAGAGCTCTCTGCAACCTGCATCAGTGAATATTTGGCAGAACGCTTGGTTTTTGTGTTGGAGACAAAACTGTAATTATGCTGTGCATGGCATTAAAAAGAATCAAATGTGAAGAAAAGAGGTCAAAAATGCAGTGGGTACTGCGGGCTTTCCTTGATGTGCACACAGAGCTGCACTGCACCAGCAGGCAGAGGTGAAGTTTGGGGCGGCGCGGAGAATGGTATTTATGGGGGTTGTTAATCAAGGCAGTGAGCTGGCAGCTCCAATCCCTTTGTAGCGGTCACTCCTGAACAAGTTTTATATGCCAGCTCTGCCCTCCAATACTCACCGAGGTTACTGTTTATAAACTCATTATTAGGGGCTAACAAGGACATACATACTTAGAAAGACCTGACAAGGATTATTATGCCCTGCCTAGCCGTGCCTCCATTTCCATCTTCCTCTTTCCCTGGGTCGGTTCTAGATTGTAAGCCTCTTTGGGTGGGGGCTGCCCTTCATAAAACAACGTGTACATAAAGGTCCCGTTGTTGCTGCTTCTGTTAGATGGTATCCAGCTAAGTTCTAGTTGGAGTAGATCCCTTGAGATTGATAGACTTGCTAGTCTTAAATCCACTGATTTCAGTGGATCTGTGCTGAATGTGACAAATTCTAATCAATGCCAAATACTAATCAGTCTCCTTGGTGGTGGTCATGGTGTTCCTATAGACCTGGTTCCTACAGACCTGAGAGGGTCTGTAGGAAAAGAGGTGGTCTCTCAGATTTTGGGGGCTAAATTGCTGAGGGCTTTAAATGCTAGCATGGGCACCTTGAATTACTGCATTAGTGTTGTGGTTCAGTGTTCTTATGTTTGGTTGGAATATTGAGATTGCTGCCTCAGTTTTTGCAGTTGGTAGTCCAAAGGGGACAATATTCATCCATAATCCCTAGCCAGAAGTGACTATTTGCACTATGCCAATTGTCAAGTCACTAGCCAAATGGGCCACACTAGGAACAACAACATTTATACCCTGCCCATCTGGCTGGGTTTCCCCAGCCACTCTGGGCGGTTTCCAACAGGAGATTAAAAATATATTAAAACATCAGACATTAAAAACTTCCCTAAACAGGGCTGCCTTCAGAAAGTCAGATAGTTGTTTATTTCCTTGACATCTGGTGGGAGGGCATTCCACAGGGTGGGTGCCACAACCAAGAAGGCCCTCTGCCTGGTTCCCTGTAACTTTGCTTCTTGCAGTGAGGGAACCACCAGAAGGTCTTCGGAGCCGGAACTCAGTGCCTGGGCTGAACAATGGGGGTGGAGATGCTCTTTCAGGTCTACTGGGCCGACGCGGTTTAGGGCTTTAAAGGTCAGCACGAACAATCTGAATTGTGCTCGGAAACGTACTGGGAGCCAATGTAGGTCTTTCAAGACTGGTGTTATGTGGTCTCGGTGGCCGCTCCCAGTCAGCAGTCTAGCTGCCACATTCTAGATTAGTTGTAGTTTCCGGGTCACCTTCAAAGGTAGCCCCACGTAGAGCACACTGCAGTAGTCCAAGCAGAAGCTAACTAGAACACACACCACTCTGGCGAGACAGTCTGCGGGCAGTTAGGGCCTCAGCCTGCGTACCATATGGAGCCAGTAGACAACTGTCCTGGACACAGAATTGACCTGCGCCTCCATGGACAGCTGTAAGTCCAAAATGACTCCCAGGCTGCGCACCTGGTCCTTCCGGGGCACAGTTACTCCATTCAGGACCAGGGAGTCCTCCACACCCACCTGTCCCCCTAAACTTGGGATGAGAGTGCCCAGGGCCTACTGGCATGGGGTGGGGTGGGCTTGGTTCAATTTGGTTGAAGCTGATAATAAATAAATGGAATAAATAAAAGTTGTTATACTTTCAGGGTGTGCATGGCATGTAACTAGGAAAAGTTGAAGAGAGCCCCTCAAAAAATTAGCAGAGGTTGATCCTCCACACACTTGGACTAAAATCCATAAATTACTTCCACAGAAAGAAGTTCTGCTCCATAATATTTCACCTTCAGATCCTTACAGGGAAGGCAGTACTGTTATGCTATCAGGAAAATGCATTATTCAACTCACCTTTGGGAGCATATATACAAGACTCTGAAATGCACATAAAAACTGCCTCACGTTCATCTTTCAATCATTCCTCATCTCTGTGTTCGCCTGAGGGAAAGCTTAATCTCTCTCCTTTTAGAATGTTTAGAATAGTTATTGTAGTTTACCAAAATCTAAACAGATTTCAGGCTGTCATCTGACATTTTAGGTTTTTGCAGAAAGAAATACTTTGCTGGGTATCTTCATGATCTTTCTCAGAAGTGTCCTCTGATGGACCTTCTTCTACATCGTTGGGTCTCTGCTGTGTTTCCTGGTGACCAACAATGGCGGTGCTTCAATTGGTGAACAATCCACCATTTGAATTTCCCATCATGCCTCTGACATAGCATTTGCTCTGGGGAATTGTGCTGAATGACCAAACCTTGGGAATTGTGGGAAATCATAGAGTTGGAAAGGGACCCTGAGGATCACCTAGTCCAACCCTCTGAAAATTAGTGGCTCTCAGACCAAACTGCTGGGCCGTGACAGTGCAGGTGGGCCTTCCATGGTGCTGAGGACCACAAGAGTTCCCTAAGGGTGCTGGTTGTCGATGCTGGTATTGGGGGGAGGGGGGCTCAGCAAATGCCCTCTCCCTGCCTTCCTCACTATTGTTTTTTGGAATGTATGAAGGGCAGCTCTTAAGTCTGTACTTCTTACTTGCTATCTTTGCAGTGCTTCTTATGAGGCAGCAGGATTTTTGCAGGGAAAACAATGCAGGTTGTATTGACATACTGATATATGTCTGGGGCACCTTCTAATGCAACATTCAATTACACTCTTGCATTCAGCACAATCTAGACACTAGTGTGAGTTATGCATGCTGTGTATCCCTTTTCGTAGATGCCCTTGAGATAGCAGGGGCAGAGCCACACTGTGGGTGTCTGGCTTGCTCCAGTGGTGAGCCAGCATGGCCCCTTGCTCCAGGGTTATCAGCACCTGCTGGAGGAGCCAGCTGCCAGGAAAATCACACTCCAGTAGGATAGTTGTCTTCTTAGTCATTTTATTCATAGCAAATAACATTTCCCCCCAGAATGTATTTATTAATTGCAGAATATATTTAATAACGAAAAGCTGTGCATTGGGGGTCAGCTTGCATCTAAATGGGTGGTGCTGTGGGTTAAACCACAGAGCCTAGGGCTTGCCGATCAGAAGGTCAGTGGTTCGAATCCCCACGATAGGGTGAGCTCCTGTTGCTCGGTCCCTGCTCCTGCCAACCTAGCAGTTCGAAAGCATGCCCCAAAGTGCAAGTAGATAAATAGATACTGCTCCGGCGGGAAGGTAAATGGTGTTTCTGTGCGCTGCTCTGGTTCACCAGAAGCGACGTAGTCATGCTGGCCACATGACCCGGAAACTGTACGCCGGCTCCCTCGGCCAATAAAGCGAGATGAGCGCCGCAACCCCAGAGTCGTCCGCGACTGGACCTAATGGTCAGGGGTCCCTTTACCTTTACTTGCATCTAAATACCAGTTTTAATGCTCATATCTGTATCATTTTATCATTTGCATATATTTGACATAGACATTAACGATGGTGTCACTTTTGAAAACCATTTTGAGTCTTTTTTTTTTTACAATCAAACAACATAAACTTTTAAAGAAAAAAATAAGCAAACTTTAGTTTGATCCTTACTCCATTTTAACAGCATGCTCTTGAGCAAGTTTATTCAGAAATCTGTCAATGGGTATGCAATTTTAGGATTGCACCCTTAGGATTGCAATCCTATCCGCACTTTCCTGGGAGCAATCCCACTGAGCACAGTGGAACTTTATGGAATAAACATGCATAATATTTTGCTAGTTGTCTCTCATTCCAATTTTAGAAGTGGTGAAATGGAGTTTCTAACAAAAAGAGATTTGTCAGTGAGTTCCATGCAGTTTCAGAGCCCATTATAGACTTTTGTTCTCAAACATGGGGATGGCGACCAGATTGGAGGGATCAGACATATTCAAGTGGGTATATCAAGATATGAATAGGATCACACAATTTCCATTAGCTATGATAGTGAAGTTGAACCTCCATGTTCAGAGGTAGTGCATGCTGGGTTCCAGATGCAGGGAGGATAAAGGGTAATCATCACTTTAACAGCATACCTGAGAGCTTCCAAAGGCGTATGTATTGTTCCAGGACATGTGTGGAGTCTTATTCCATGTATACACCTGATCAGAAATCCATGAAAGCAGACGGAATGGGAGAAAATTAGTTCCACCTAAATCATGTTGAAATCAATAGGACAAATCAGCCGTGACTAATTTAAGTTCCATTGTTTTCAATTGGTCTTAGGTGCCAATAACTTTCTCTGCCTGGGGCTGCTGCAGTTTGTCCTGGGAGTTCACTTTCATTGTCAACAACTAGTTCTGTGATTTACCAAAGATTCTAGCTTCTTCCCTTTATTTCCCCAAACCTTGGAAGCACTTTCAGTTATGGTTGACGTATATTTCACTCCTATTCCCATGATCATGTAAGATGAGGTAGGGAACTTGATCATCCCAGTTATACATTCGGTTGTGGATGAGGCATTCCAGTGATCTTATCCTGTTTGAGCTCCATTGAAATGATTGCACTGCAAATTCTTCTTCCCACATTTCTCTACAGGAGTATTGCATGTGGAATTGTGCCTTCTTCACACAACCCAGGGCACATATATGTGCATTTAAGCGCCATTGAAATCAGAGGGGCTTTAAGCACGGCAAACTTCATGCTGGATTTTAGTTACTGCGTTTTTAGGTTTACACTTAAGAATTTTAAAAAGTGGGTACCCAAAACTGTGAATGAGATGGAAATATGTTTAGAAATGTGTGCATCGTACAGTTATACACACTGATATTGATTGCAGCAACCTCTTGAATGTGTCCTCAGACTTTGGATTTTCCTACCAGATGGGGCTTGTCCAGCCCCCTTGTTGATGGTCTTCTGCAAACAGGCAAAGCCCTTCAAAAAATGGAAATATCCACTTGGCCTGCTGGGTTGTTTTGTTTTGCTCTGCTGTATTTAAACCCACATTTCTCATTTAATTGTATTTTAACTAGCTGCCATTTTTATCTGCTCTAATCTGTTTTTATTGTCATATTGCTTACTTGTTGGTGATTTGATTATTTTTTATTCTGCATGTTATTGTTGTTTAGCTGCCGTGAGCATTTTTGATGGAAACGTGGAGTGTATCTATGTAACAAACAAAATAGAGTAATTTTCTTTCAGTCGCATTCACACCCAGTTTCAAAGCAATGCCGTTGCAAACTGTTACAAAACAGTTGCACTTCTTCTTTATCACACAATGAAATGTTTCTCAAGGCATGTGACTCACACTGAGGAGCAGAGGGATGTGGGAGGAGGATGCACATTCATTCCACCATAAAGCAATTATCATAAAAATTCTGGTCCTCCTTTTAGCAACAGAAGAGGTCATTCCACTGCATCTCCCTTCAATTCTTCAGCAATTCTTAAGCAGTTCCTGTTATTCCAATATATATGATGGTAAAAACAACCACAATGTTCCTCTTATTCAAAACTATTAATAAAGTGGTAACTAAGTAGATTTTCCAGCTTGCTGATAATCTAAACCATTTGCTGAGTAATATTCTGTTTCTCTTCCCCCTATTCATTTATCAGAAATGTTTACAGTGGTACCTCGGGTTACAGATGCTTCAGGTTACAGATGCTTCAGGTTACAGACTCCGCTCCGCTAACCCAGAAATAGTACCTCGGGTTAAGAACTTTGCTTCAGGATGAGAACAGAAATTGCAGCGCGGCGGCAGTGGGGGGCTCCATTAGCTAAAGTGGTACCTCAGGTTAAGAACAGTTTCAGGTTAAGAATGGACCTCCAGAATGAATTGAGTTCTTAACTTGAGGTACCACTGTACTTATTCATTTTCCCATCGCTTTCCAAGGGGGTGGGAAAGTCTCAATAAATAAATGCAATAAAGATATATCTTGGAATCTGACTGAGTTCCTTTACTTAATGCCTTGAGTCTCTGTGTTAACTTCTCCATCATTGTCAAATTCCAGATCTCGTGGTACCATCAAGGAACAAAGGCTGATGGCAGTTCTTGGCGATCACAAGTCATGCAGCAATAAGAAGAAAGGCCCACAACATCTTTATACATTACTGACATAGTCTGCCCTTCAAATATGTGCATCAATGCCAGTTGTGGATCAGAGAGGAGGGATTGACAGGTAATTTTGTTAATTTCCTTGAAGTCATCTTTCCAGAATGCAGCAAAATCAGGACACAACCACCACATGTGAAAAAATGTACCCTACTCCTCACAGCCTCTCCAACAAAGTGGCAAGAGTGTATTATTCTGTGGAAGGTGTAGGGAGTGAGGTAGTAATGATAAATATTTCTTAGCATTCTCCCTTGCCCTAGCAGAGGTGGATTTGTCCACCTTCATGTGCCACTCTGAACATCATCTTTTATTTGTAAGTGGAGATCATTATGCCAAGGAATTTTACCTAGATTGGCCACAGTTCTTAATGCAAATAACTTCCCCATTTTACCCACATTCTGTTTCAGTCACATTTATCGTCATCAAAACAAGAACCATCTCAGAATGGTCTGACGCATTAGGTGGGTGGGTTGAACGGCTGGGGTGATTCAGCATAAACTTCTTTGCAGCACTAGTCAGTCCTTCCCCGCACAATCAAGAAGCACCACTCCATGAAAAAATCGTAATGTGCCTTGCAGGAGAATCTGTAAGTAAATCTTGAGAATTATGCTTTTTAAGCAGGCTGCAAATGAGTATTAATGTGGTTTGTTTTATAATATAGTTTTAATCAATAACAACAAACAACAAGAATGTTGGCTGCTGGTTACAGGGTACAAAGCTGAGTCCAGCTATGAATAAATAGAAGGAAGGAGGTGCAAGAATATTCAGAAGTCTCAATGCAGGGGACCAAAAGGATCTAAGGCATCAGCATCATATCCATTACAAATTGGATTCGCCGAGTCCATCGCCTTTCCAAAAAGATACTTGAGCATCAAGGTACTGCCAGAAATGCATAGAGTAACATTCCTGCTCCCTGCCCCCTTTTTCTATACTGGTGTTAAGAGTCCCAGCCTATATGTTCCAGTATGTTCAATATACTTATTACAAAGTAAGCATACATAGGATTGCAGGCATGCATTGCAATACAAATGAAGTTACCTCTGAAATAAGTCAATAGGCTCAATCGGACTGGCTTATTAGTAAGTGTGCTTAGGATTGCATGATTAATCAGGGGCTGAGAGAATTCGTCTGTTTTGGCCAACAAGGCTGTTTTGCTTGTTGCAGGACCTTGGAGCCTTTGGACACATTCAGGGGAGCAGCAGCAACATGGGTAACTATTTGTTCAAGACAAGTTACCACCAGTGCATACAGGCTAATGTGAAGGTTGCTGGAAACAGTGTATTTCAGCCATCAAATGTCTGGGTGAACAGGAACTTTATAAAAATCCCTCCTAAAAGTTGTTAATGTGGCAGGCAGATGCACCTCACTAGGAAGGGCATTCCACAAACAAGGAGCCACCACCAAGAAGGTCTTGTCATACGCCATAGATAGAAAATGTATATAAAAGAGCAGGGAGAAAACCTTAGGGACATTTGCTGTACAGAAACCAGGAGGACACCATCTTGTTAAATGGCTGCCTTTACTGTGATTTGCCATGTAAATTAGTTTAGCCTTCAGTCAAAGCCAAGGACAAAAGAGAGAGGCGTTGATGGGCTTCCCAGGTTTGGAGCACCTTCTTATAGTCTCAGGGCTGCTACAGAAAAATGTGGTTTTCCAGCCCACCACTATTATTAACTCCTTCACTAATGATACTCTGAACAGGCAACTGGGGTGGGGAGGGAGGAGAGATGGTATGGGGAAAGATGTTCTTCAAGGCCCCTTGATTTCCAGGGTGTAATCTTTTGGAAAATTCCTACTCTTCTTCATCTCTGTTTTGGAGCCAGAGCAGATAGTAATACAGGCACATGAATAATGATAAAAATCCACAAATGGGAAGTATATTAATAATCTTAAGATCTGTGTCTGTATAAACATCCACCCCACTTCCTAGGAACCTGCTGTGTCTGAGCTGAAAACAAAAGATAAAGTTATCCTTATAAAATAGTATTTGTTAAGGCAACAGACTCTCATTACAGGACAAAATTGGAAAAGTTTATCTTATTTAATTAGAATCTGATTGATTGTGTTGTGTTAAAAAATCTAATATGCATATAAATCAGCTCTGCCTCTTTAGAGAAAACTTGTTATGTGGAAACAATGGGAGCCAAGTAACAAGTGAAAGCTGGAGTTGTGTTGCTTGGTGAAATATAAACCATGTAGCTGATGTCTCTTAAATGCATTTATTTTATTTTATAATAAAGAGAGATGGACTGATTGTCCCAGTGGCATTTGGAAGTAGGAAATATGGCTAAAAAAAATACTATTGAAAGTATTGTGTTGAATTAATTCCCTCTGGTTTATTTCTTTTTACACTGAACAACAACCTGGATTAAGTGGCAGAGTAATCAAACAACCATTTGCACCATCCATTCAGCTTCAGGGTACAGCCACCCCTTCGAAAAGGGTCAGTGAACTCCCATGATAGGCCCCAAGGAAAAGAGATTCAGACAGTCTGAGGAATCATCATGCAAGATGCCCAAATGCCCTGGACGTAGTGCTCCTTTCTTGCCTCCAAGATGTCAGCTGCCTATTCAACTCCTGCTTAGCTGAAATTAGCTTGATATCATGTCATTAGTGCAGATCGCCTGGATATATATGAGAACTGTGCTGGTAGGTCTTTCAGTTTTGAGGAATAAAGCATAACCTCCATAAATTGCTTAAGAGATAAATTTGGCATCTATCTGTTTTCATCCCCAGTCACCATTACTGGCTCTCCAGCCCCTTGAAGAAAATGACTTCTTTTGCTGCGTTTGCTCAGCACATATGGACACATCTTGTGGGCGAGAAGAAGTCTGGCTGGAAGGGCCGGTCGTGCCTGTTTGCGATCTGCAGCTCCGTCAGTTTGATAGTGAATGTGTTCCTGTTCCTAGCAGGGTATTCCTTCCTAGCGGACTACCCCACATTCTCTGCAGTCGCACCCCCATTCCTCTGGATTGCCCTTTCCATGGGTTTGTTTCTGTCCAGGCACCTGCGATGCTTTGCTGCGCTTTTCTTCCTTTCCTGTGGCCTGCGCGAAGGAAGGAATGCCCTGATCGCTGCCGGGACTGGGGCGGTGGTAGCTGGCAACATCCAAAACATCTTCCACAACCTAAATCAGCTGGTAGACAGCATCACTTGCATCCTTCAATCGCAGCGTTTCTCCTTCCTCGGCCGCTACATCGAAGCGATTCGGTGGATCTACAATCAGAGTAAGATCTTGGGCAACCCGTTTAAAGATGTTGTGTCAGTGAAGGACAAGCTGAATGTGTCTTACGCTGTTTCGGACGAAGGCTTGAAGCTGAGGTTGAGTGAGACGAGGCTCCGCATCCAGAACATTGCCAGGCAGATCTCCTCCATACTAGCCCTACCGCCCTACCTGGGCAAGAAAGTGCTCCCTCTGCTGGGGGTTCTTTTCATCGTTCTTGGGACATTACACTTCATGAGGAAATTCCTGAGTCCCCACAACATCAAGTTTAAGAACACTTACATTACGAAAGCGTTTATTCGCTACGATGAGCGGCAGCGGCAGCGAAGCAAGCTCTGCGTCCTTCCCCTCAGCAAAGAAGAAAGAGAGCTGTACACAATGGTTCCATCCTTTTGCCAGACCCAGAAAGAAAGGAAATGCACAGCACGCTTTTTTCTCCCTGTGCTTGCTAACCTTTGCATCTGGGCTCTCTTTGCAGCAGTAGATTATTTGCTTTACTGGCTCATTTTTTCAGTGAGCAAGCATCTCCAAGATTTCCCTGAGCTAGAGGTCCATTTGAAATTGTATTACCATGTAAGTACCTTAGCTACAGTTACCAGCACTTTTCTTGGGCTTTTATTGCTTTAGATACAAGTTTTCTGCAGAGTAAACTTATGCTAAAACACAGCGCAGAAAGCCTTGAAATGAGGTTGGGTGGTGGAACGGCGCAGGCTTTAAAAAGTCTGTACGTATAAAGCAATGACAAAACAGCAAAAGGCAGATTGGAACGTTGGTTATGCTGAGTGTTCTGTGTGACCAGAGGAAACAGAAGTGCAAAATTTGGGAGGCCTCTTTTGGGTGTCTTGTTGCAGCAAAGGCTCGAGCATGATTTGCAGGCCAAAGACCTCCAGTTTAATCCCTGTCATTTCCAGTTTAAAAGATTGCTAGTAACATGGCATGGGAAGATACAAGATTTCAGTGACTGGCTGCTGAATCATTTTTAGGACTGGCAGAAGGGGGAGGTTGGTACGTGGCCTGCTAAGCCAGGAGAGCTTGGCAGAAGGACCTCTCTGCTTATCTAACCCCGTCAGCTGATGCAAGTGGGATTTATACTTATCTGCCCTATGTTATAGTGTGCCAGGTTGAACTGATTGCCATTCGGGAAGAAGAGGGAATTATCCTCAAGCTCGGAATAGGTGTTTGGGAATAGTGCTATGGGGCTAATGCAGGACTGGCATCAGGACCTGGAACTCCTGTGCAGCTGCTGCCGTTGCTCTGCCTAACCCCCCCCCCCCCCAATTTTCTAGTTGCCATGTTAATTTCCCACAATGCCTTCAGCCCAGCTCTAGGGCTTTTTGGGAAATTAAACAGGTGGCTAGACCCAGCTGCCTAGTGCTGCTCCTGTGATTTGAACCTCCAGAGCTGGCAGAAGAGGAGACCCACCGGATCTCCTGCCACCCCCTCAAACCTGAAACTGAGGGGGAAGAACTGTCTTATACTGAGTCAGACCAGTAATCCATCTAGTTCAATATTGCCAACACTGAACTGACTGCAGCTCTCTTGTGTTGCAGGCATGACTCCTACCTGGAAATGATGGGGATTGAACCTGAGATTTTTTGCATACAAGGTTTTGTTTTGCAAGCTCTGTCACTGAGTTGCAACCCTTCCTTTAAAGCATCCTTTCCCAACCTTGGGTCCCCAGGTGTTGTTAGACTACAACTCCCATCATCCCTTACCACTGGTTGTGCTAGCTAGGAATGATGGGAGTTGTAGTCCAACAACACCTGGGGACCCAAGGCTGAGAAAGGATGCTCTAAAGATATGGTTAATGAATTGGAGCTTCTTTTTTCCATACAGTGCAGAATGCAGAGATGGAGGAGCAGAATACTTGGGTTGACATTGGGCAAAATGAGCATTGAGGTCTCATAGAAAGGGTTAGCCAATTTTGGGTTTTTTCCCCTGCAGATGCAGGCAGGTTGGCCAGAGTCAACCCTCACTTGTGTGACATGCTATCAGATGATCCTCCATCAATGTGATAAATTTATCCTGTTTTTGCTATCTCATCAAATTGGTTCTGTGAAGTAACTACTTGTGGGTTTAAGTTTTTCACTGGAGGAAATGCACTTCAGATATCCACCCCACCCCTGCCAACAGACTCCAAAGAAATAGATGGGACAGCTTGCAAAATGGGATCCCAAGAACTGTTATATATCTTATACACTCCCTTGGAACCCTCAAGAACTAAAGTATTTCTAATAGACATCCAGACATTTGTCTGCTTTAGTAGTACAGCCCAAGTTCTTTCCTTTTGCGTTGAATTTTTTGCTCCTCAGCAGGTGAATTTCCCATTACTTCCTCTTAGAGCTGGTTGTGCTGAGCAATCAACTTTCCTCTCTCCCCTAAAGAAACCATTTATCCAAGAAGCAATTATAAGAATCTCAGGTGTTCCAGAGAGCAGGGTATTTGAGTTCAGCAACATAACTAGTGCTTAACTTCCAATTACAACAAAACAGGAAGGGATTTAAATAACACCTGCTGTTGTGTGATTGGACAATGAAATTTCCTTTGCTGCCTCCCATGTGTGTGCCAGGTAATTTACTCCCCAAAGGGGAAATAAGGCAAAAACTCTGTGTATGTATGTGTATTTATTCCCAGTGATTGCTATCTCAAATTTCTCCCATGCAGTACATCTTAGGAAGCAGTCAAAGCCACAGAGCAAAGATAGGCTTTGCCCTCCCATGTCCGATCCCCATTCCCCAAATTAGGACTTGCAGATATATTTCTGCTTGCACACCTTAAGCTGCATTGACTGAAGGTAACACCAGAATGTCTGAGAAAATATTGGAGGCAACTGGAGCTGGTAACACATTGATCCCAGAAGGCTGTTTTTAATGCCAATCGTCAGGACTGGGGCATGTGAAGTGATAAACACAGAGTACTTCTGTGCATAGGCAAAGTGCCCATATATCTCCATTGAGCAACCAGAAGCAGACACTATATATCAATATGAAAGGGCATGTCTACTAGGTGTCAGGTGTGTTTAAAGTGAGTGCAAGCCTTCCAGCACTAAACTATCTAGCAGATTCTTGCAGACTTGGGTCACAAGTCTAGAGCAGGCTTCACCAGCCTGGATGATATAGTGGTGCAGCAGTTAAACTGCTGGCACATTTGCAAAGCTAAGCAGGGTCCAGTCTGGTTTCCAATTGGATGGGGGGACCACATGTTGAGATTCCTGCATTGCAAAGGGGTTGGACTAGATGACCCTCAGAGGTCCCTTTCACCTCTACAATCCTATGGTTCCTATGGTTGTTCGACTACATGTTCCCTCATCCCTAACCCTTCTCCATGCTAGCTCAGACTAAGAGGAGTTGTGGTCAAAAATATATGGAGGGCACCAAGTTGGCTGGATGATGCTCGTGGAAGAATTTCCATGCTGGATGAAACCAAGGGTCCATTTAATCCAGTGCTCTGTGGTCCACCAGATATAGCAAAGAAATTGCAATATGGTGTGATGGAGTTAGCAGTGCCCTATTACTCTAGAGGTGGTGGTTGCTTTTGGGGAGGTTCCCCAGAATGCCCCAAGTGCTGTATTGTTCCAGGGTGAAAGTCATAATGTGGTGCTCATAGGTACACCCACAAAGGTCTTCTCTGAGGCCCATAGGGACCATTTGCCCCCCTACCCACCACTGAAATTTGCTTGAAAGAAGCCTTTGAGTGTAGTGCTTTGAATGTTAGTGCAAGGGTTTTTGCCTGTGCAATGGAAAGTCCCTTCTCCCTGTGTGCACCCACTAAATCTGTTCTGGGGTTCACCCAACCCTCCAGAGCAGATTTGGGGGAGAATGTGGGATGCCTGCTAGTGGAGGAGCAGAGGCAAGGTCTATTGTGAATTGCAAATCCTTGCGCTAACAGATTAAGTGCATTGGAAACCATCATTTGTAGCCAATACATTCCCCCCCCCCAAGCCTGTGTTTGTGTGGCTGTACTGCGTGTATGTTTCCAGCGTGTGCGCACACATGTGGTTGTGAGTGAAAGGTTGATGTGTGTGCATGAGACCAACAGTTTCTCTGGTTTGCAAATATGTTCCCAGGCATGGAGTAAGGGGAGATAACAGCCTACAACGACAGCTGCCAATTCTTCACTGGAATATTGTAATGTCTAGTGAATTCTGGGCAAATGAGATATGAATGGGACAGTGAAAACAAACCCATTCATATTTATTCACTCATTTGTTACTCATTCCTTTTGAAGGAAGTTGAACCAAATGGGCTCCATTCAGGTTTCCTGCCCCCCTCCCCAAATCACACGCCTGCAGAATTCACTGCCACAGGATGTGACGATGGCCAAACACTTAACATGGTTTCAAAATGACATTAGGGAAATTTATAGAGGTAAAGTTTACCAAGGGAAAATCTTTAAGATACCTAAAGGAGTTTCCAGGTTGAAAGAGGCGTATCCCACTGGGCATCGATGGGGGGTGGGTGCAGTGTGGGGTTTTGTGTCCCCATGTCCTGTTGTCCGTTTCCAATAAGCATCTGGTTCTCCACTGGTGTCTGCTTGAATAGGCGAGGTGTGGGGAACCTTTGGCCCTCCAGATGTTGCAGAACTACAACTCCCATCCAAACCAGCAAGCACGGCCAGGAGCCAAGGATGATGGGAGTTGCAGTTCAGCAACATTTAGGGGGCCAAAGCTTCCCTATACTTTGAACAGACAGAGCTTTAGTTTGATCCAGCATGGTTCTTACATCCTTACCTAAGGCTGTCTCAGCTACTATGTATGATGATGCTTTAAGCATTCCTTTAAGCATTCTCCAAATCACACATCTCTTGCAAGCTGGTTGTCAAAGGGACCCTACTGGTTTAAGCAATTGCCTAGAGCAGGTTTGACTCAGTAGTTAAGCGACTGTTAATATCCTGTAGGAGACTTGAAACACACAGAGACCCTGGAAGGAATTTCACTGCTGAGTTGCAATGCTTCTGCTTTGTTGGCTTTGAAGCATCATGCATCAGGTATTTCATAGGAGGAAGCAATGCTCACGCCAACCTCTTTTTAATTTTTTTCTTTCACTTCTCTTGTGCAGAAAAATTCCGACAAATTCATATTCAACCATGGGGAGATTGTGGACAATAAGACTTCCTTCAGCAGTCCTCTCTTTGAGCATGCCTGTATTCCCAGACCAAATGTTCCCCACTCAGCAACTTGGATCCAACTGGGTGTCATCATCTTCTTTTTAACAGTGCTTGGGCTGTGCGTCTCTACATTTACGCAACTTAAAATCCTAGTGGCAACATCATTCTATCCCAGCACAGACGTGAAACGGATAAAGTATCTGCACTCAAAATTATTAAAGAGAAGATCAAAGCTCCCCGAGAGGAATGAGAAGAGGAAGCTGAATTTGTTTGCAACGGTAAGTTACAAACAGCATGGAATGTGGGGCTAGCTTGGAAGCTAAATCTTAAAGCTTGATCCTAACCCTAGAAGCCTGTAGGTTGTTCTCTTGGGCTTTTTCCCCTTCCTGCTTCTTTTCCAAATTAGTGGCCACATGAAAGCTTGTACCCAGAATGGCTTTGTTCTGGAAGTCTCTCATGCTAGCTCTGGGAGATTCCTGCAAGATCTCTGACAGCCCTGCAAGATCTCGTGAGACCTTCCGAGAGAAATTATGTGAAATTAAAAGCTCTTTCTGCACAGGAAAACTTGGCATGGAAGAAGTTTTTAAGTTGTCAGACTTGCGTGTGTTTAATTTTTGTGATTGGCCACCAAGTGCATAAAGTTGCAATCACACAAGTTAAAGGTAAAGGGACCCCTGACCATTAGGTCCAGTTGTGGCCGACTCTGGGGTTGCGGCGCACATCTTGCTTTATTGGCTGAGGGAGCAGGCATACAGCTTCCGGGTCATGTGGCCAGCATGACTAAGCCGCTTCTGGCGAACCAGAGCAGTGCATGGAAATGCCGTTTACCTTCCCGCTGGAGCGGTACCTATTTATCTACTTGCACTTTGACGTGCTTTCAAACTGCTAGGTTGGCAGGAGCAGGGACCGAGCAACGGGAGCTCACCCCGTCGCGGCGATTTGAACCGCCGACCTTCTGATTGGCAAGTCCTAGGCTCTGTGGTTTAACCCACAGCGCCACCCGCGTCCCATAAATGTGTGCAAGTTATGAGTCAACTATATATACACCAAACTCCATTTGGATGAAGGGGAGTGGATGTTTAGCTACCATCTTGTCTGAGAAGGGTGCTAAGCCACTTGCCCGCCCCCCACTTCTTCAGAGAGGAAAGAAGAAACATAAATTGTTCTAGACAGAGAAAGATGGTAGAGAGGGCACCTGCAAATTCATTGTAGGCACTCACTTGTAAATATAACTATATTTCCTCTCCTCCTCAGTTACATTTCTGGTTCCCAATCCTCCGGGCAATGAGGAGTTCCAGGAAGAAACAAACAGAGGTGGCAAAAGTCGGCAGCGTTTAACGACGCAAAGAAAATCTCTATGAAGAAATCCATGGTTTTACAAGTGAATAAACGGTCTGATGCATTTGATTTTTCTTACATTCATTCACTTTTCACCTCTGACTCTCACCTTGTCATTCAGCTTTGAAGTCATCAAGCTGTACAGACTTGTCGGTCTGACACCCTAAGTGATACCACTGCATAATTCACATATTTCTTTCTGTACCTGCCTCCTCCCTTGCATCTTCTAGTAGGAGAGCTCAGAATTCTTTGCTTTCTTTCTCTTTTCTTTTCTGCTGCCTTTGTCTGATCTTTGCCAATGTTCTTTTCTGTGGGTGGATTTGCTCCCCCCCCCCGCCTGGCACTATATATCTATCATCACCCAAGTGTCATCAGTCCCTCCAGCCACCTTCCACTTCATGTTTTATTTTTCACAGATGAAAGAACTCTAGCTTTCGACTCAACATGAACGATGCAAATTTGAAACGAAGGGTTTTAGTTATTCAGAACCAATTAGGATTACTGGGTTTCTTTCCTAATGTTGCTTCTAGTGGTGCTGTGACCTCATTCCACACACACAAACTCACTCCATCCTTGTGTACACCAGTGACACTGCCTATACAGAGGCCCCTCTGACTCACCCATTCCACCCAGATTCTAAAAATGCAGGACTTCCTCTCCTTCCTCTTTTTTTATAAGGGAATGAGATGTTGAATTTGATGTGGGGAAAAATCCCCTAAATCAGATCAGCTGCAGTTTGAAAAATTAATGAAGACCTGACCCAGTTGTCTTGGGATGGCAATCAAAACTGGCAAGGTCCGGAACACTGACACTCCTGAAGTATGACCTATATGTAATGTGCAGAATGCCTGGAGGGTTGCTTGTTTATTTTTCTCCTTTGCTTTGCTACAAAATCCAAAGACTGTGAGTAACTCATTTCCCCAGAGAAACTGCTCCAGACTTGCGTTTTGCCATGACCATGGTTGAACTGTTCATTTCTATGGTGGTAGCGTTAATTTCTACCACTGGTAAATTTTGCAGATAGGAGGGTGGAGTGTTCATGGGCACCAAGATTGAGACACTAGGACAGTAGTAGGGGGGAGCTGAGTATTCATCTCCATAGGTGGGACAACAGAGTAGATAATCCCTTAGTGGTACAGTGTATAATGTGGCCTGTGTTGAATCCCAGGTATGTCTAGCTGCAGGATTATAGAATTGGGAGTTATTAGCCATTATGAAGCTTATTTGTATTGAATCAAGCAATTGCTTGATTATGTTAATTTGAAGTGATAGCCAGGGCATGTGTACTAATAGATTGATATTTTTTTTTGCAAGTTAGATCAGCCTCAGATGAGCTCCGATGGTGTTGTGCCAGTGATTCCAACCCAAAACAAAAAGAATCACAGTGCCAGTAATCTACCTACAAACGGGAAGCATGTGACTATCCACATACAATTGTGGTAATAGCTTTTATCACAGTAGGAGAGTTCCGTGATGACTGGTGCAAGGCTGACTGCTTTCCACTTAATCGTGAGGATTACTACATAATACAGAGATGGGACTGGGGCATGGGAAGCCCACCTCCTCCGTGTCCTCATAGAAAATCACAATGGACCTCAGAAAAGGTTTGCATGGTAATATAAATGCACTTATTTATCTAAATATAAATGTCTGTAAAAATTGTAGAGGAAAATAGTCATTTATGAATTGAGATAAAATGCTGATGCATCATACAGAAATCAAAATTGCAGACTAATAGGGCTCCAGAGTAGGTTGCAGAAGCAGGGCGAACAGAATTATTTTCATCTGGTTTTTTGACCTAGAGATACAAGAGGAAGAAAACATGATGTAATCCTTCCAAAGGAAGGTGTCTCTTACTTCTGTCACCAAGAGAGGCAATAAGAATTAAGAGCTAATAAGAATTACTAACGGGTGGGATTCAACAAAGTGTGCAGCTACAGTTTCCCCATGATTTCTAGTCATGAGTCCAAGAGGTGGGGTTTGGGGTTTTGTTTTTTGGTCCTGCCACTTTCCTTGGGAAGACCTCTTTACAGTGGAGTTGGAACAATTGTCAATAGGGTTTTCTGCAGATTGGAATTTGCTCTGATGTTGCAGTAAACAGGTTTTTATCAGGTGAAGCAGTGGGACAAAAATAAAACCCTTCTTGGACCTGTGACTAGAAATTGCGGGACAAACAAAAAAAACAGCTGTGGATGTGTCCCTAAATTGTTGCACAAGTGGAATGAGCTCTTTTCACACGAAGGCACAGTTCCATCTAAATCTCCCTCTGGAGGGTTGTGGGAACCCCTAGGGGGCGCAAGGGAGGAAAGGGGTAAATCACTTAAGGCTTTGTTGAATTGCACCCATTGTTTTGTCACTCCTCTGCAGTATAGCTGTCTTCATGGCAGCTTCTACTAGATTCTAAACCTCCTTGGTGCAGAATCACAGACCTGAAAGACACTCATGGATATAACCCAGACTGACCCCTCCCACCCCCAGAACAATACTTTTCATGTGCGGGATGGGAATGCAGTGAAGGCAAGGGCCTTGGTGTGCACTTTCATCCCCCAGGTTATTTGCGTGTGGCCAGAACTGCTTTGGGACCAGTCAGTTTCCAATGACCAAATGAGACACTCACATGTCAAAGATGAACTGTATTGTGGGAATTATTTTCCCTCAGCAGCAACTGCAATCACTTTGCCCACATATGGTGCTCGCTGGACAGGAACAGGCTGGCAAACCTGCAACGACATGTTTCGTTTTTATTTCTTTCATGTTCACCTTCCCTGCCCACCCCCACCTCCCACTGCAAGAAACTTGTCAAAATCAAAATTGCACACTGCCATTTTCAGGGCTGCAGGCTTTATTTTCAACAGCAGTTCAAAACCCATGGGTGGAATTCCCATGCTTGCAAAGTCCACCTTCATGGGGTGTTTACTTGGAATGTCCCTCTCCTGGAGACTTGTCAAAGCTTGGACCTGAGAGCTTTGAGGGGAGACAGATAAGATTTTCAAGATTTGACTGCATTGAACAGCAAAAATCTACCCTCTTTCCAGCAGTCTTAATGCATCCCGTGTCCCATTGCTTGAGACTTCCTGGCCGCATTGAGATCTGTTGTCCTGTTGTCTTTTTATTTCAAACCATTCCGGTTTTAAGGGGAATGGATTGTTTTTAAAGCTGGCAGAGAGACATTTCAAGGTTCCTTTGGAATGGGGAAGAGACATAGAATACAACAAATTGCTCATAGACTGGAAGGATAGAGGAGGTTTTGCCCTACCGGACCTCAAACTACCATGGGGCAACAGGTCTGACCTGCATCCACGAATGGATGATACTAAAAGATACAGACTTGCTGGATATAGAGGGTTTTGACAACCACTATGGTTGGCATGCCTATAGCCTATGATAAGGTGAAAGTCCAAAAGGGTTTCTAAACCACATAATAAGAAAATCTTTATATAAAATATGGAGTAAATATAGAGGACTATTAGAACCTAAAATCCCCTGGTGGACCTCACCCATAGAAGCTTTAGCTGTAAAGAAGAAAAATATGAAGGGAAACTGGGCAACGTACAAAATGCTATTACAAGAGAACTATTACAAGAGAAAAGTAACAAATTGAAATTAAAGCACTTTGAAGAATTTTGTATATATTTGATTGGCTTCAGTGCTTCCAAATTATTGAAAGATTAGGCATGAATAAACAAAAAGGGTTCGCTGAAGAAACATCTAAGTTAGAAGAGAACTTAATTCAGCCCAAATTTATCAAAGATGTACAACTGGGAAGTCAAGGAGGAGGAGGTGAAATTGGTTATGGTACGCTGGGCTCAAGATACCGGACATAATATATACAGGTGAAACTCGGAAAAATAGAATATCGTGGAAAAGGAAGAAAGCACGAAGTGCTCCAAAATCTCCTGGTAGACGGCTGTGTTGACCCTGGACTTAATGAAGCACAGTGGACCAACACCAGCTGATGACATGGCTCCCCAAATCAACACAGACTGTGGAAATTTCACATTGGACTTCAGGCATCTGGCATTGTGTGCCTCCCCATTCTTCCTCCAGTCTCTGGGTCCTTGGTTTCCAAACGAGATGCAAAAGCTGCTCTCATCAGAAACGAGATTGACATATCTCACTTTGCATGTCATGAGTCTATCTCATATATTAGTTTCACCTTTTAAGTTGAATTACTGAAATAAATGAACTTTTCCACGATATTCTAATTTTCCGAGTTTCACCTGTATATGATTGAATGGGAAAGGCTTTGGAGGGAAGACATAAGGTTCACCGCATGTTACAATTTTAGAGAAAACGGATGAAGATGTTATACAGATGGTACCTCACTATGGCCAAGTTGTATAAGAAAAGTTCAGATGTCTGTTGGAGATGTAAAAATGGGGTAGGTACCTTTATGCACATGTGGTGGGATTGTAAGAGGATAAGAGAATTGTGGGATACTACATATAACAAACTCAAAAAGATTTTCAAATTCTCACTTTAAAAAAAACCCTGAAGCCTTTCTGTTAGGTATTATGTCCATGGAAATTTTTAAAAATATCAGACCCCTTTTTATGTAAGCAACTGCAGTGGCTAGGATCTTAATAGCAAATTATTGGAAAGGCGAAGTATCCCCACAAAAATGGACTGGCAAGAGAAAATGATAGAGTATTTACAACTTGCAAAAATGACTGGGAGAATTAAGAGGAAACTCAAAGCAGAAAGTTATTAAAGATTGGATAATATTTAAAGAATACCTTAAAAATTATTGTGATAATGCAAATCTCCTGAAATACCTAGACTGAATCTTGAAACACAGAGAAATTATATAGCAAATACTTTCATGCTAAATAATGGAAAAATAAAATAATAATGAAATGCGTACAATGAGGTGAATCGGAAGTCAAAAAAGCGTGTTATGTTAAATGAGAGATTGTATGTGTTGTATTGCACTGTTTAAGTTATATGTAAATTGTTGTATAATAAAGGTTATTTTAAAATTAAAAGAAAAAAAGAGATCTGTTGTCATGCAGCCAAAGTTACGGCTGCACTAGATTTATGTACAAGATCTCAGCTCATATGGCCTCATGATGATTCCTGTACATGTTCCCTTGCCACATGTTTCTTCTCCCTTTCCCACACCATTATGTGCACTACAAGCCCTCCATTCATTAAGCCACACTCCTCATTATGACTTGATATTACTGTCCTCAAAAACATGCTTAAGAACAGAGGCCTGCTTAGTTAAGAACAGAGGCCTGCTGAGATACCACAGTAAGAAATTCTATGTTTTTAAACCTATGCATCTTTATCAGCACCAGAGTGGCAGCAGGGCCCTCCTGGTGATGGAGCTGTACTTTTAGTCAAAGGAGAGAGATTCCTAAAATCATATTATGCATAAAGGCTTACAGAATTACTATCATCATACACACCTGATCCCGCTGCCTGATCCGTTTGTAGACATATTCAGGGAATGGCTCACGGGGAACGTATCTCCCGTCTCCTGCTGCAACGTGGAACACGCCGTTTTGGTAAACCACTTTGCCTCGCGAAATGGTCACCACTGCTACCCCATGGCAGACCATGCCTTCAAATATGTTGAAGTCGATGGCTTGGTGGTGAGTCTTTGCTGAGATCGTCCTGTATTGGAAAGAACATGAAACTATGATGCAAACTGTCACCATGGCTGTTTTGAAATCAGCAAATTTTAGATTCCGCTGAGCTTCTTTGAAGTCTAAGGAAAACATGGAATTGCGACAAAGGCAGCAATCATTAGAAACGCTTCCTTAGACGTAAGCTCCACTGGAACAAGCAGTGCTCACTTCCAAGCGTTTAGGGTGGTCTTTTAAATCACAGATTTGAAGCAAAATCTACTGGAAAACATAAATTGGAGCTGAAAAAGAGTTTTTCCTCTTTTAGGTAAGAAACTCCGCTGTGATCTCACTTAGCTCTCATTAACTTCTATGTAAAAAAGCTTCTGCAGAGAAACGCCTGGTTGAGGAAGGACTATATACTTTAGGAGCAAGCAAAAACAACACAACTGCCAGCGGTTCATGGAGTAGTTACAAATGATTTAAGAGGAAGTATTTCCCCAAAAATAGAGAAAAGTGCAATCTCATTTTTAATAGCAAAATTTGGGATGGGGGTGGGAGAGGGGGGGGTGATTCCTATACAGTGGTACCTCAGGTTAAGAACTTAATTCGTTCTGGAGGTCAGTTCTTAACCTGAAACTGTTCTTAACCTGAGGTACCACTTTAGCTAATGGGGCCTCCCTCTGCTGTCGCGCTGCCACCACGCGATTTCTGTTCTTATCCTGAAGTAAAGTTCTTAACCCGAGGTACTATTTCTGGGTTAGCGGAGTCTGTAACCTGAGGTACCATTGTAACTCCTGTTCTCTTAAAATGCTGCAAGCATCACCTGCATCTGTTGAGGCCACCAGGTTATTTATTGCTTATTTCTTTCTAGGAATGCATTCGCTCCTCAATGCTTTTGCATTTTAATTTCACCTAAGCAGCAGATATTACGAAAACACCGCTTTTTCATATTTATGTATTCATTCTAAATATTTGTGTATCGTCCTTCAAAAGAAAGAAAAAGTCTTTCTCTAGGGCAGCTTACAGCAACAATGCAATATGAAAAACAAAGAAAACAATATAGGTGCAAAAGCAGCATTAAAACCAATCACCGGAAGTTAAACTGTCTCAAATCCCCACTTGACCTTGGGCCAGTCACTGCCTCTCAGCCTAACCTACCTCACAGCATTGTTGTGGGGATTAAATGAGGAGAGGTAGAATAAGGTGGAATAAAAATGCAATCAATCTGAACCGGTAAGAGTAAGATCTGAGGGGTGGAAATGCTCCTGTGACTTACCTTTAAACCGGTGACATGAGATTTTATTATTTATTGAATTTATATACCACCCTATACCCAGTCTCTGGGGTGTTCAGAGAATAAAATATAAATATAAAACCTTAAAGTAAAAACAACCCAATAACTCCCAACCCCCAAAAACCACATTTTAAAAGGGCATAGGATCCTCACAATATTTAAAGTAAGACATATTTACTTGCATGGCTCAGGATGTCCCAGGAACACACTATGTCTTTTGTTATGTGGCGACACTCTGCTCCAAGCCCAGACCCTTTGTGAAAAAGCCCTTTCAGAATCAAGGTGAGGTTACATGATACAGCATTTCCTATAAACGGGTATGCACTGCACCTTAGTTTTAGTCATCTTTTTATAACACAAGGGTTTGCATGCGAGACTCAACTGCATACTGGTATAATTCAAATTGTGCAAATAAAGGGAATTTGGCACTCTTGTGCAACAAACTCCCCTTTCCCCAAAACTGGACTTTTTGTAGTAAAAAAGAAATGCACCCCAAAATGTGTGATAACATTTGCTTAAAGCAACATTGTATATGTCCCCACAAACAAAACACAATGAATGCTGAATAAACCTCCCTATGAACTTTGTGCAAACAAATCGGGATGAATGCTCAGTAAATAGGTTGTCTGGAAGTGACCTTGCAGGTTGTTCCATGCCACGGATTTTCAGATGCCCTACTTCTGTAGACAGCTGCAGGAGATGGCTTTATCTCAGCCAGACTCCCTCCTTTCCTCCTCTATACTCACCCTTTCACATTTTCCTTGGCTTTGAACTATGTGTGTTATTTTGCAATGGAAGTTGTCAGAACTCCTCAGCAGAAAGGCACTCACCAGAGTCTTTCCAAAAGAGGAAGATTCCCACCCCCCTCTATTTTTAAACCAAGTGCATTCACAAAACTGCAGGGAATCAATGGTTGTGCAGAGGGGTGTTCGCCCTGAAGCCAGATGATGAGCCACTGCCGTTAAAACTGCTTGCCATATTTGACAAGAGGATGACTTTTTACCAACTAACCACATCTACCAAGAATCTAATATAAAGCTGCAACCATATCCCCACCTGTCACAGCAAACACTCTGGAAGCCTGAGTTCAGCACTGCCATTTCATCCCTTCCTAACAGCTGTGTCTCATTCCCCTTTTACGTATCTCTCTCTGTCTGGCATGTCCATGATCTCACTCACCTCTGAATCTTGTGAGATGGGGAAAACTGCTACTTTGCATGTGATCTTCCAGATCTTAGAGATCACAAAACTGGATTCCTAAGATTCCACCTTACAATCCTGTATTGGGCAACTACCCAACTCAAGCCTCTTCCCTCCATCTATGCATAAGTAACTATGGACATGCTCCAAGCAACATGCAGGTAAATTAGCCTGTGCAATGTGGCACTGCACCTCCCTGCCCCACGCCTCTGTAAAGTTGCATTTTAAGCTACAAAGCCATTTTATTGCTTTTAAATCAGTGTTTATTGGCATGTTGTGACATTTAAACCTTTTATTCTTTTATAAGTAAATGTTGCCATTGCAACTAGTGTGCTTATTGCCAGCTCTCTGGAGCAAGAACCTTAGTATTGATTGTTCCTAAATCCCCTTCATTCCCCCTCCTCCCAATAAGCAAAGTAAGCACAGTGCGATCCTGTCTCTCTCAGTGCATGCTGTTTTCTGCTGTAAAGATACCAAGAGTAGTATTATTAATAATTCTACAAAATTAGCTTTTTCTTGAATATGTGTGTTCACACACATGTGTGTGTACAAACACACTAGCAGATTTCACAGCAAAATGCACTCTGCACCTGCTCAGGAACCCTCCCATCATTTCTTCCTCCATATGTTCCAATGTTAAGCCTGTTAAAATCAAATGCCAGAACTGAGCCCTGATCAATCTTGCTCCAAAGATAGCTCTAGCAGGAGGAAAAACTGTTCTTTATTTAAGAGGCTTGGAGGAGGTAACCTATTTCCCCAAACCATCACCGTTAAATGCAGGCTCATCTCTTGGGGGTGCCAGTTATATACCCCTCTAGGCCTGAAGAGGTAAAAGGAAAAGCAAGAAAATGAACCAGTCTTCTCTTATATCCATCAAATTTGTCAATAGTTCTCAACCACCCTGATAAAAAACCAAAACCCAATACAGCAGCAATTCTGAAATACAATTTTCAACCCTGTGAACAAAAGTCATTCATTCTCAGTGCGGACAGGACCCAATTCAGATCTATTATTTATTTACCTCTGAGCTTTAAAGATGGACTAAAGGTCATGGGAACCCTGCTCTAAATAGGAATGTACTTCATGCTTACAGGAACACTTTTCGTTTACTAAAGGTCCACTCATTTCCCTCTCAAGGCTGCTGCAGCTACTTATCCCTCACAATTTATAACCCTCAGTCAAGGAACTGCTGCAGCTCATCTGCCTGGTGGCAAAGGCGGCAGAGGGTGTTTGAGACTGAGCCATCCTCCCTTCCACTCAGAGCTCTTGCCTGTCACAAATTAAGAGTCCTCGGCTAAGGCAGCACTGAAGCCCTCCATCTTACCTGCTTGGAATTCTGGGAATAGGCTTCAGAAAGCCACTGCCCTGAAGGTCAAAGGTGAGGTTGGACGTGTGCCACGCTGCCCACCGATATTAGGCAATATGTACCAACAAGTCGGGGGATCTCAGCCTTGTTAGATGGACCTTGGAGCATTTCCCTGCTTTGCCCCTCCTTCAAGTACATATGGGAGCTGGGTACAAAATGGTGGCTCATGGAGCAGATCCATCTGCGTTCCTTACAGCAGGACAACCTGAGCGCACAACCTAAGTGGAAATTTGCATTTGACCGGTCATCATGCCATGAATCTGTGTGCTAAGTTGCTCCATACATTTGCATAAAAATAATGATCCGGCTTAGTTCATTCATCTGCCTGAAGTTCTCCTGAATAAAACACAAGCCTTGGTGTAGTGAACAGACCCTTTCGTCATTTTGTAGCTTTCCTCATTTGCCTTGGTGCCCCTGCTTTTCAACCAAAACAGACTTTCAAAGCAGCTTAAAATCAGAATCCAAAGTAAAGGTACACTAGGGATTCATGGAGTCTAGATTCCAGGCTCCTTCCTCTGGAAGAGGGCAGAATGTGTTACAGGTAGGGCAAGGGGCAGGTAGCTTAGGCTAAATGCCTAAGCAGCCCTCTCAACTCTTCCCAGGCCACACCCCTCCCCCCCCCCCACTTCCACAAGCACTTTTGCCTGGTGGAAGTGTGTCCTTGACCTCTGATAATGCCTCTTGGCTGCCAGGGTGGAAGACAGTAGGGTGGGTGTGGAAAGAATTTGCATTCATTTCTCCAACCACTTTCATCTTTGGCCCTGCCCACAAGGGCATGCAGCAATGGAAAGCTGTTCGGATGGGATTGTGGCCTTTGGTCTGAAAAAGATTCCCCATACCTGAGAGACCAACTAGCACAAGTAGCAGATTTGGGGCCTAGCAGTCCTCTACATTTCCCAAGGTACACTGTTTTGGGCTACGGCATAATTGCCACACTGTTCATTCTGGTCTTGTGCTCCTGTCACAATAGTTAATAATGCTTGGAGTTCGGGACCAGAGTATAATTATCTCCAAAACATCCTTAGGGAAGGGAACATATAAAATCCACTGGCACATTCAATTTATGGATTCAGAAACAATGCAAAGTGAGTCAAGAAACAAATAAACCCCAAGTGTATCATTAAAAAGTTGAGAGAGGTTTGTGTGGTTTTTTAAAACTTGCGAACTATTTTTTAAATACAGAATTGGAACCACTGGGCTGTTCTCAGCCTGCACAGACAAATGGATGAAGCTGGTTTACTAAAGCTGGTCCCTAAAGCCCAGAACTATCCACTCTAACTGGCAGCAGCCTTGCTTGCATGCAACACTAAATCACAGTTAACCATTGTTTGGTTGATAAACCATGGTTAAAGCTCAAGTCATCTCCCAGCCAATCATGCAAACCATGGCTTGCCAGGCCACAGCCTAGTTTCTCTTCCCCTTCTCCCCAACTCCCCAATATCCCAAACATCTTCACAGTTCACTAGCAATTCCTCACTGGGCCCACAGCCTACTATTAGCCAACTGTACAGAAGAGAGCGTGGAAACCCTGCTTGGACACTCTTGGCAACTGGCTCTTGCCTCTCCCATGACTCAGGCAGGGGGCTGTACTACTTTTGATAACTGAGCTCCTTTGTCTGGAGAAGGCAAGGATGATCCCAGGACCTTGGGTGGAATTCAGTCTCACTATTATGAACGTTCCACCTGTGTAAGCTTTTCAGTTTGCCAGATGGAATGATCTCCCACTTTCCTCCCCTGTGCGCTGTTCTGGGGGGTGGGGTGTCTCTTGACCCACCCACCCCTAGTCACTTTCAGGGATGCACGGGGGTAGGAGAGCGGGGAAGGCCGTTGCACAAGCAGAAGTCCTAGAGCAGTGCTTCCACCGACAGGGCTCTTCAGGTACAAATCTGGCCCCTTGTGTGCAAGTAAAGCACATGTCCTACCAACGAGGAATGGCCATTTGCCAAAACTATTATAGCCTACTCTTCATTTAAAAATATAACTCCAGAGTGGGTTACAGTGTAATATGCAGTAACATAGATTACAAAAAACCAGGAAGTATAAATGCCATAATAAAAGACAGCAGTCAGTGAGGCCAAAGCTGCCCAACTCCATGTCCAAGGTCAATATAGGTTGGATCTGTGTAGAAAGTGCTTTCTACACTTGGACTGCCAACATATGTTGTTGCCTATTACAGGTGTTGCCACCTATCATAGATTCAGCCAACACTGAGGGCACCACCACCTGGGCTCCCTGCGGAAATGCGAGAGGCACCATCAGTACTGGCATTCCACCGGCTCTTGAAGACACAGCTGTTTAGGCAAGCATTCCCCTGAACTCAAACTTCCTGATCCGATTGTTTTAACTGATCTTTTAATTGTTTTAATTGTTATGCTTTTTGATGGCCTTGTTTTCTTGTAAATTTCAATTATGAATGGTTTGAATGTTTTGATGGAATTGTTTTATTGTGCATTTTAACTACGTATGGATTTTATAATTGATTTTATACTTGTAAACTACATAGAGGCCATTTGGGCATGTAAACTCTTTACAAAGTAATAAATGTTTTAATTTTTAATTGTATTTTTTTATTATTACAAATGTGTTTTCCTAGAGCGGGTGGTCCTTGAGGCCCATCAGCCCATGATGGGATTTATGGTCCAAAATATCTGGAGGGTGGCAGGCTGCTTTAAACAAAGTATACTGAAGGCTCTTTCATGGATATAAATGTATATAGGTGGAAAAACCTTGAGATACCTTGGCCTTACATCTAGTGATGTTTTCACTAGGTCTGTCACAAATGTTTTTAAAGATTTGTTGATTTATCTCCATACATAAAGGTAAAGGGACCCCTGACCAAAAGGTCCAGTCGCGGATGACTCTGGGGTTGCGGCGCTCATCTTGCTTTACTGGTCATGGGAGCCGGCGTACAGCTTCTGGGTCATGTGGCCTGCATGACTAAGCCGCTTCTGGCGAACCAGAGCAGCGCACGGAAACGCCGTTTACCTTCCCGACGGAGCAGTACCTATTTATCTACTTGCACTTTGACGTGCTTTTGAACTGCTAGGTTGGCAGGAGCAGGGACCAAGCAATGGTAGCTCACCCCGTTGCAGGGATTCGAACCGCCAACCTTCTGATCGGCTAGCTCTAGGCTCTGTGGTTTAACCCACAGCGCCACCCACGTCCCATGCTTCCAAACATAAGTGACCCTTTACTTGAAGCTGTCTTTTTGCTGTGCGTACATGAAATACATATTAAGGCAGGAATGGGGAATCTGTGGCCCTCCAGATGTTGTTGGACTCCAACTCCTTTCAGCCCCATCCAGTATGGCCAGAGGTCGAGAATGATGTGAGTTGTAGTTCAACAGCATCTTGGAGGGCTACACGATCCCTATCTCTACAAGGCATGCTGTATATATGATGAAGCACACCAGTCTCTTTCACCACCCCTCTTTAGAAAAAGAAAACTCTTTCATAGTTTGGGCTAGCCTTTCTGGACCCCAGGCAACACCCACAACAATTAGAAAGTACCTGTAGACATGCAAACGAAGCAGAACAGCACAGTCTCTGATTAAAACACAGCTTTGACAGTTCTGGAGGGCTCAGCTCGATAAAAGTTTCACATCAAACTGTTTTCTGTTATCACTGACAACTTCATTGCTGCAGAGCATTGCCAGGAAGCTCCTGGAAGTTCCTGCAATTGCTTTGAATGTCTGGCTGGTATTGATTGCTCAGCTAATGGCAAAAGCTTCTGAACGAAACTGCAGCTGCCAATTTGTAATTTATGACCAGGAGCGCCTATTTCGGCCAACCTTACTCCTAGTGCACCTGAGCACAGGAAGTGGACAATAGTCAGATACGGGGTTTACTGAGCCCAACAGGGCAGCCCTTATCCACCTGGTGCCTTCCAGGTGTTTTGAACAGCAACTCTTGTTGCTGTGGCTAATAGGAATTGTAGTATATAACATTTGGAGGGTACCATGTTGATGAAGGCCACAACAGGAGTGATATAATTAAGCTTGGGCAAGGGTCTCAAATAGAACCCCCTGCACTTTCTTATAAAATTAATTAATTTAAACATTGGTTGGGGTTTTTTTGTTTTTGTTTTTTAAAGGAGACAGGACTGGGAAATGGGGATGAATATGGGAAAGGTGAGTTTTAGCTTCTAAGGAACAAGGCACTTGAGTCTTCCGCACAGGAGAACTATGTAAATAACATGGCACTGCTTTCTTTGACTTCCTTGGAATTTTCTCTCTGCAGAAAGTAGCTGTTTTGTGAGACTGCGTGTCAGAGGAAATGCACACTGTGTTCACACAGCAGCTGACTTTTGTGGCTTCGTTCTTTGTTCTTCCTTTTAACCAAAATAAAAGGGCAAGCAGATTGAAAGCGTGTGATCTTCCTTTGTGGGGAGGAGGAGAAAAAAGTGATGCCGTAAAATCTCCTTCATGAAATTACATGGATAAATTCCAAGGGAAATCAAAGTCTTGCACTTAATTCAACGGCGCAATAAGTAAAAAACCAGTAACCTATTTCCCTTCAGTTCCTGTATCTTGAAATAGTAGCAGACAATTAAAATTTAAACACATACACACAATATACTAAGGAAGTGATATTTGTCTATTATCTGTTATATTTACTAACACTAATTCCAGGCGGCGCGCACAAGATTACAGAATTATAGGCCACGGGTTTATAATAGTACTGTGCGTAAAACATACTGCGCCGTATGTTGATATAAAGCTTGCAAAGACTTGTTTTACTGAAACAGAAATTACATTGAGACCTAATTACATGTTTTACTTTGGTAGTGTATGAAGAGACTAAGCACAAAGTCTAGCATTTGCATGTGAGTCTGCAAAATTCAGGTACATTTATAAAAAATTGGGGGAGGGGGAAAATGGGTGGGAGGGCAGCCAGCACCCAGCCCCCCTCCCAAATCTTGACAGCCTGCTAGCTTCACAGCGGCCACTGCGCTCCTTCTGATTTTGACTTTACCTCTTCTGCTCTGCCCATCATTTCCCCCACTGCAACAACACACATACATTTCAGAAAAAGGTAGGGTAATGCTGATAAAAATACAAGCCAGCCTCCTTTCCCATCCTCCAACATCGCTCTCTAGCCTCTGTCTGCATTCTTCCTGCCACAGTATCTCCTGTTTTTGCGGCCATGTTTCTGCCGCAGCTATTTTAAATTGCTGCCTTTAAAAAAAAAAGAGGAAGGCCTGTGTTTGTTTCAACACAGCATGTGTCCTTTAAAACACACTGAACTGTTAAGTGCAAGAAAACTGAGGAAAGGCAAAAGATCAGGCATAACAGGAAATAGAGGGAAGGAACACTGATGAATCTGCTGAATCACTGATGAAGTTCCAGGACTTTCCCAAGGATGCCCATACATAAGAAGAGAGTGCCTAGTGCTTACGGTAAAGAATAGGGCAGACAAGATCTAAATTGTACTCAGAGTCAGACCAGCAAAGGAAGCAGACAAGAAAGGAGGAGGAGTGGCGTTATATGTCAGGGATGTGTATACCTGTGAAGAGATCCAAGATTTAGAACCTCAAAGCCAAAGTGAGAGCATTTGGGTCAAAATTAAGGGAGAGAAGAATAACAGTGACCTCATTGTGGGAGTTTACTATAGATCCCCAAGCCAAACGGAGGACATAGATGATGCCTTCCTGGAACAGATGGCCAAGCATGCAAAAGGAAGGGAGATCAGTAGTAATGGGGACTTCAATTACCCGGATATTTGTTGGATGTCAAACTCAGCCAAGAGCATAAGGTCAAACAGATTCCTCACTGGCCTTGCAGACAACTTCATTGTCCAGAAAGTGGGAGAAGCAACAAGAGGAACAGCCATTTTAGATCTGGTCCTAACCAATGTTGATGACCTGGCTAGTGGGGTAGAAGTGGAAGGATCATTAGGCGTGAGTGATCATGCTCTTCTGAAGTTTACTATGCAGCGGAAAGGAGCAGCCAAGCATACTAGGACTCAATTTCTTGACTTTAAGAAAGCCGACTTCATAAAACTTAGGGAAGTGCTGGGTGAGATCCCATGGACAGTAATACTAAAAGCAAAGGGAGTTCATGATGGCTGGGAGTTTGTTAAGAGGGAGATAGTAAAAGCACAACGTCAGGCAATACCTATGAGACGGAAACATGAAAGGTGCCTAAAGAAGCCAGGGTGGCTATCTAAAGAACTTTTAACTGGGTTAAGATTAAAAAAGGATGTGTACAAAAAATGGAAAAGGGGGGAAACCACCAAAGAGGAATTCAAACAAATAGCCAGCACGTGTAGACACAAAGTCAGAAAAGCTAAAGCACAGAATGAACTCAGGCTTGCTAGAAAGGTTAAAAGCAACAAAAAAGGCTTTTATGGGTATGTTCGTAGCAAAAGGAAGAACAAAGAAACAGTGGGGTCACTCAGAGGAGAAGATGGTGAAATGCAAACAGGGGACACAGAAAGGGCTGAACTCCTCAATGCCTTCTTTGCCTCAGTCTTCTCTGATAAAGAAAACAATGCCCGACCTGAAGAATTTGGAGCAAATGATTCAGCAGAGGAAACACAGCCCAGCATAACTAAGGAGATAGTACAAGAATACTTGGCTAGTTTAGATGTATTCAAGTCTCCAGGGCCAGATGAACTGCATCCAAGAGTATTAAAAGAACTGGCAGATGTGATCTCAGAACCACTGGCAGTCATCTTTGAGAATTCCTGGAGAACAGGCGAAGTCCCGGCAGACTGGAGGAGGGCAAATGTTGTCCCTATTTTCAAAAAGAGGAAAAGAGAGGACCCAAATAATTACCGCCCAGTCAGTCTGACATCAATACCAGGGAAGATTCTGGAGCAGATCATTAAGCAAACAGTCTGTGAGCACCTAGAAAGGAATGCTGTGATCACCAATAGTCAGCATGGATTTCTGAAAAATAAGTCATGCCAGACTAACCTGATCTCGTTTTTGACAGAATTACAAGCCTGGTAGATGAAGGGAACGCAGTGGATGTAGCCTACCTTGATTTCAGCAAGGCATTTGACAAGGTGCCCCATGATATTCTTGTAAAGAAGCTGGTAAAATGCGGTCTTGACTATGCTACCACTCAGTGGATTTGTAACTGGCTGACTGACCGAACCCAAAGGGTGCTCATCAATGGTTCCTCTTCATCCTGGAGAAGAGTGACTACTGGGGTGCCACAGGGTTCTGTCTTGGGCCCGGTCTTATTCAACATCTTTATCAACGACTTGGATGATGGACTCAAGGGCATCCTGATCAAATTTGCAGATGACACCAAACTGGGAGGGGTGGCTAACACCCCAGAGGACAGGATCACACTTCAAAACGACCTTGACAGATTAGAGAACTGGGCAAAAACAAACAAGATGAATTTTAACAGGGAGAAATGTAAAGTATTGCACTTGGGCAAAAAAATGAGAGGCACAAATACAAGATGGGTGACACCTGGCTTGAGAGCAGTACATGTGAAAAGGATCTAGGAGTCTTGGTTGACCACAAACTTGAAATGAGCCAACAGTGTGATGCGGCAGCTAAAAAGCCAATGCAATTCTGGGCTGCATCAATAGGAGTATAGCATCTAGATCAAGGGAAGTAATAGTGCCACTGTATTCTGCTCTGGTCAGACCTCACCTGGAGTACTGTGTCCAGTTCTGGGCACCACAGTTCAAGGAGGACACTGACAAACTGGAACGTGTCCAGAGGAGGGCAACCAAAATGGTCAAAGGCCTGGAAACGATGCCTTATGAGGAACGGCTAAGGGAGCTGGGCATGTTTAGCCTGGAGAAGAGGAGGTTAAGGGGTGATATGATAGCCATGTTCAAATATATAAAAGGATGTCACATAGAGGAGGGAGAAAGGTTGTTTTCTGCTGCTCCACAGAAGCGGACACGGAGCAATGGATCCAAACTACAAGAAAGAAGATTCCACCTAAACATTAGGAAGAACTTCCTGACAGTAAGAGCTGTTTGACAGTGGAATTTGCTGCCAAGGAGTGTGGTGGAGTCTCCTTCTTTGGAGGTCTTTAAGCAGAGGCTTGATAACCATATGTCAGGAGTGCTCTGATGGTGTTTCCTGCTTGGCAGGGGGTTGGACTCGATGGCCCTTGTGGTCTCTTCCAACTCTATGATTCTATGAATAAGCAGATTTCTGCATCCACATGCCTTTCAATATAAAGAGTTTCATCTTTCAGACTGCAACATCAAAGTGGCAACCATGAAGCTCACTGGGCCAGCCACTATCTCTCAGCCAAACCCACCTCACAGGGTTGCTGTGAGGATAAACTGGGGAGGAGAAACATGTACACCACCTTCAGCTCCTTGGAAGAAAAAGTGATATATAAATGTACAAAAGAAAAAAATTTTTTTTGCATGCATTGCCTGCTGTCACTCAAATTCAATACTTTTTATTCACACGTTCTCTTGCTAGTCAAAAGGCTAAGCAATTAAAGCTGCAACCCTATTCCTGGGAACTTACTCCTGGGTAGACATGTATAGGATTGCACTGGTAATGCTCTTAAGAGAATCACTGATTCCAAACACGGCTCTCGTAAAGATTCATCCAGCTGCACCCTAAGAGCACAATATATCACAAAGCAGTTCACCCCAATAAACTGGGTGTTGTTGTTCAATTAAAAAACAACAACACATTTTCATGACATTGGTCAAAGTAATGGAGTAAAGAATGAAATATAGAACATTTCACCCCCAACACAATCTTTCTTGTTGGGTTTGCTCTCCATCACTCTACAGGTGATAAATCTAAGGTGTCATGTATATCAAAGTGTGAAAAAAAGCTGTTTGGCAATTCATAAATACCACAAAGTGAAGAGTTTCTTGATATCTTAAGTGCTATTTAATGAATATTTCAGAACTGGCATTTCCTGAATAGATGGGGGGAAGGCGATTCTTTCTCTCATATATTTTAAAACTGCATTTCAATACATCCTCCCTCAAATGCATTTTTTTAATAAAAAAAACCCCTTCATAGTGCAATTACTTCAAGTTTACTGTTAATCATTATTCTGCCTAAGGTGTGTGGTCTGTATCAACATTGTAACAAAGACTTTTTGGGTGCCTATTGCAATCCATAGCACATTAATTTGAGGCATATTTAGTTAAAATCAACTCAATCTGAGCTGTAATCTTCTGCATACTTATCAGGAAGCAAGACCCATCAAACTCCACAGGTCCTACTTCTGAGTAGATATGTACAGAACTGTGCCACATAAGCATATTTTAAACTGGAGTGCAACATAGTTTATTTGTCACATGATCTCAATTCCTGCTGCACAGAATAATAAATAAATAATAATAATAAAGCGATAAAACATCAAACATTAAAAACTTCCCTAAACAGGGCTGCCTTCAGATGTCTTCTAAAAGTCAGATAGTTGTTTATTTCCTTGACATCTGGCGGGAGGGCTTTCCACAGGGCGGGCGCCACTACCGAGAAGGCCCTCTGCCTGGTTCCCTGCAACCTCACTTCTTGCAGTGAGGGAACTGCCAGAAGGCCCTTGGAGCTGGACCTCAGTGTCCAGGCTGAACGCTGAGGGTGGAGATGCTCCTTCAGGTATACTGGGCCGAAGCCACTTAAGGCTTTAAAGGTCAGCACCAACACAAAAAAGGTCAGACTTCACAAGAAACCATAGTTTAGTGTGATGTGAACGAGCCCAGACGAGTCATTATTAAGGCTCAGAATAATAATAAATTATGTTCGCTTATTATTTCACACAATGTTGCACGGACTGATCTTTTTGTATTTACTGGTTGTTAAGATGGTTATTTCAAATTGTTTCTAGTATTTGTTTTGAATTGCTATGCTTATTTTGTGAACCACTTTGGGCATGATTTTGTAGAAAAATGGTATATAAATAAAGTGATTGTGATGAGCAAAGGGGATGGGTGAAGGCCTGAACCAGGCACTTACTCTGTCTTTTCCTGCTTCACCTGCAACACCCAAACCCGGGAGTGAGACATAGGATCTGAGACCAACAGATACAGAGCAAAGTTGCTCCAACTGCAAGTATGTTTTCTCAGATCATTTCCCTTGTGATACTACAGCTTGATTCTGCAAGCCTGCTGGAGAGGCTGCCCCTTTGCTGCCAGGGTATTTAATTGCAAATGTTTTCAGCAGGTGACTCAATTCCTGAGTCTATCTCTTTGACATCATGGAAAGTAAAAGGAGAGAGATGTAAGCAACAGCCTTTCTAACGTAGGAGTGGGTAACAGGAACTTCATTTTTTTTATTTCCCCTTTTAATTATGCCTACATACAATTGCACTTCAGCCTTAGGGATTTTGGAAAGTCCTGCTGGAATCAATTGGGTTTACTTCTGAGGAAACCTGGTTAGCATTAAGCTGAAAGCTAGCTGGCCGTCTTAACTGCAGAGCAATAAATCATGACATTGTGTTGTTACGCAAAGGGGATCATTATGCCCAGTCCTAAACTTTTATATGCTGGTGTGGCAGATCACTGGGTCAGGCGTTAAAGAAAAGAAAACAAGTTTGCAGCCTGAACTCAGTGTGTTATTGTTGTGTGCTAACCCTGAATGTCAAGCATAGTTGATTGTATATGGATTTCTTTTGCTGGTCCCATAATATCCCCAACCATTTTTCACAGAGATGTCTAAATCCTCTCCAAAGGCTTCCAATGAAAGCCTCCCAATTCTCTCTAGTCGTGTATCAACATCTGCCCATCGCTTTAGGCTGCCATCACATCTTGCATTTTTATTCTGTATATTGTAATGTAGAAAAGGATGCTAAAGCAATGCTGAAGGTTTCTTTTTCAAATGTGCTAGCTGTCAAGGGAGTAACTGGAATTTCAACGTTAAGGAATAGCTTAATTATTTTTCCCCTACGATGCCCTCACACCCTCCAAACCTTGATTTCTGTAAAGTGAATTCTCCTCCTTTTGTAACAATTGAGCTGGGAAGTATGGCTCACTTCAATCTTACTGGTTTTTTTTGTTTTGTTCCATGGTTAAACTAGGAACTGTGTGGCAAACAACTTGGACTAGGTTTACACAGTACAATAAGCCAAACTAAGGCTGCATGCCCACAGTGGTATATTAAATTTCCCCATTTCACTGTTAATTTCTGCACTGTATTTATGCTTTCACATGACAGAGAAGTCACTTCTGGAAATCTGGTGGAGGTTCAGCATTCGATTCCATATTAGTAATTACTTTCGGGGGGGTGGAGGGTGGGAATCTGTTTGCAATCCCATTATCCTGAAATATCGGGAGTGCAATGTGAAATTTAGGGAGGTATACTGGCATACAGGGATGCGGGTGGTGCTGTGGGTTAAACCCCAGAGCCTAGGACTTGCCGATCAGAAGGTCAGCGGTTCGAATCCCCACAACAGGGTGAGCTCCTGTTGCTCGGTCCCTGCTCCTGCCAACCTAGCAGTTTGAAAGCACGTCAAAGTGCAAGTAGATAAATAGGTACCGCTCCAGCGGGAAGGTAAACGGTGTTTCCGTGCGCTGCTCTGGTTCATGGCTTAGTCATGCTGGCCACATGACCCGGAAGCTGTACGCAGGCTCCCTCGGCCAATAAAGCGAGATGAAGAAGAGAAGAGTAGAAGAGTTTTGGATTTGATATCCCGCTTTATCACTACCCGAAGGAGTCTCAAAGCGGCTAACATTCTCCTTTCCCTTCCTCCCCCACAACAAACACTCTGTGAGGTGAGTGGGGCTGAGAGACTTCAAAGAAGTGTGACTAGCCCAAGGTCACCCAGCAGCTGCATGTGGAGGAGCGGGGAATCAAACCCGGTTCCCCAGATTACGAATCCACCACTCTTAACCACTACACCACACTGGCTCACGCGCCGCAACCCCAGAGTCAGCCGTGACTGGACCTAATGGTCAGGCGTCTCTTTACCCTTTACCTTTATACTGGCATACGGTTCTTTCCTGACACTTTCATGGGGGGAATCATTGGGGAACAGAAGCATGCTTGTGCCGAAAGAGTGAAGGAGGGGCAACTCTGTCCAATGGTCTTCATTACCGTGCAACACCATGCACATTGGTATGAATGAGATTTGGTGTGACATGCCAGTGTATCAGCCAAAAAGCTATAGTTCTGTAACACAACAGGAACTGCAGTGTGAAAGGAATGCTAGAAAACAGGGCAGAAACCCTAGTATTATATTAGGATACCTGCTCTGGGCCTCTAAACATTTTTTCCCTTCCTAGTGTGGCACACACATGTTCATCACTGGACCACTATGTGATGGCTTGCATGAGTACTGTTTGCCAGAAAGAAGCAGACAGCCTATGTTGCTTATCGCAACATGAGAACCGGCATTTTGTTGCGGCTCCCTACTTGTGAAACGCTCTCCCCAGGGAGGCTCATCTGGCAGCATTGTTACATATCTTTAGACACCAGGCAAAAACATTCCTTTTTCATCAGCTCTTTGGCTTCTAATTCTCTGTGGCCTTTTTGTGTGGGTGAGATGTTTTAAAAAACAGAATTGCCTTTTAGATATATATTTTTTAATGCTTGTTTTAATATATGCATTTGCTTTTTGCTTAAAACATTGTAAGTCGCTTCGATTTGCTGTGGCCCAAAAGTGACTAATGCATTATAATAATAAATCTAATCATCACCATCGTTATCGTTCTGAAATGACTGAAACATGGTTACTCTTGAGATAACTGCCAATTATCACCGCACAGTATGAAGGCTGCCTCTTGGCTTTCCATGACTTCTAGGCCATGTGCTCCCTCTTCTGGAGAAGTAGAAGGTCACGTAACCAGTCAGATTTAAGCATTCACAAGCCGCTCATCATTTCATCCCCATTCATTCCAAAGTTAATAGATAAAACACGCTACGTGCAGATGCAGAACTGAAGCCAGAAGTTGCATTTCTTCCATAAAGTATTGATTGAGCTTTGAAATGAGCACACACCCAAGAAATATCTTATTCAGTGAACAACTCTCCCAGAAAGAGAAATGCATTTCTGTAATCATAATTATCTAGGATGGCAGATAGCAGAAACAGGACTATTCCGGGGGGTAGGTGGATACCAACTTTAGCCTCCCCAGTCCTCTTCTGCACTTGGAGAACAGCAGCCTATTGGAAGAGCCTGAATTGGTCCAGGGAGAGAGGCCAGCACAGAATTGGGACCTTTCCCTGGGCTTAAGTCCCATGGACTGCAAGAAGATCAAACCTCTCCATTCTTAAGGAAATCAGCCCTGAGCGCTCACTGGAAGGACAGATCCTGAAGCTGAGGCTCCAATACTTTGGCCACCTCATGAGAAGAGAAGACTCCCTGGAAAAGACCCTGATGCTGGGAAAGATGGAGGGCACAAGGAGAAGGGGACGACAGAGGACGAGATGGTTGGACAGTGTTCTCGAAGCTACCAACATGAGTTTGACAAAATGCAGGAGGCAGTGGAAGACAGGAGTGCCTGGCGTGCTCTGGTCCATGGGGTCACGAAGAGCCGGACACGACTAAACGACTAAACAACAACAACAACAAAACCTGGGCTTAAAAATGGCTAGCTATGCCATGGGTAATTGGTCTAATGTATTTTTAGCAAAGTATGTGATAGTTTTTGGCACCATTTAGGTCTTTTTGGGCATCACTATGTGGGCATGAGCTAGCCTAGAGAATGCTCGGAATCACTGATCTTATTCATGAAAATAGCAATTAATATAAAAGTACAAGCAATTATGCTTTTTCTACATGGTCAGCAATCCAGGTAACTATTTTTAAAACATTCTGAACATTTTTAAAACATGCAAAATCCTTTGCATAGATATGCTGTGGCTAGCACCATATATTCCGTGAATAATTCAAATGGGGCATCATTCCATCATCAAGATTTATATCTTCAAAATGCATTCCTAGAAGGATGGACAGGTGCGATTTGATTATTCATAGACCATACCTTGTAGCTTTGGGGTCCCAAATGACAATGTCAGCATCAGAGCCCACAGCTATTCTCCCTTTCCTTGGGTACAGGTTAAAGATTTTAGCTGTATTTGTGCTGGTGACTGCCACAAATCTGTTTTCATCCATTTTGCCACTATGCTGCAAAGAAACCAAAAATAGGCATCAGCAAGGAAGGGGATACATAAGCCTACTGCAAGCAAACTCACTCTCTGTTGAGGAGTGCGGGTGGGATAACCTCACCCAGAAAACCTCTAGGCAGAAAATTTCAATATAAAAAATGTAAACTCCCAGTAATATGCTGATGTACGCAAATATAGCACCTAAGATGTAACTCTTTGTAACAGAAATCTTATTTTGGGGAATAACCAGTTCAACATTGATAATCTTGCTCCTTAAAACTATTTGTTAATTTGTGGAATGAACAAAGAGGCAGTGTGGTGTAGTGGTTACAGTGCTGGACTAGGACTAGGACTTGGGAGGGTTCGAATCCGCATTCAGCCACGAAACCCAGCGGGTGACCTCATGACAATCATTATATTCCAGCCTAACCTACCTTACAGGGTTGTTGCATGGATAAAATGGAAGTGGGGAGAGAGAGGTGTGCAAATCACCATGAGCTCCTTAATGGAAAGGCGGCATATTAATGTAATAACAAATAAAGTAATCCCATTTGCTAGCCATCAATCTCCAGAGTGAATGGGATAATAAATGAATTTCAGTCATCTGTTGTTCACTTATTCAGAAAGTTCATAGCCCCCAGTTCTATACAACAATTCTGAAGTGAAAGAACAACAGCAGCAGCAACAACAACACTGGTTCCGTAAGAAACCAACTTACAGTTGATTCATAATCACCTGTACCTTGAATCTAGTTCAGAAAGGAACTGCTTAACCAATAGAGTTCACATGAGACTGGTGTGGTACAATCCAAAGAGCTAGCACAAGAAAACAGTTTTACATTTTGGAGCTACTGTAGCCTCCAAACAACCTTCAAGGCAGCCCCTTACAGATTATGCTAGAGTAGTCAAGTCAGGCAGTTCCCAGAACATGTGTCATAGCAGTCTCTCTTTCAGTAAGTTCGTATCTTTCAAAGTATCTAGTTCAAGTCCTGTGTGCTACAGAGAGTGAAAGAGATGTCTGAAGCCGTTTTACTCATAGGTGCTAGGGGTACGGGGCCGAGAGTCTGGGGCCCGAGAGTTGAGTCTGGGGAAGAGCCCACCCATTGGTTGGAGTGCTGTGGCGGGCTCTTCTGCTGCGGGTGGCTCTACACCGCGAGTTTGGGGGCAACCGAGCCAACGAGAAGCTGAGGCAGCCGGCTGGGTCCGCCCTCCTGTGCACCTGGGACTGGGCAACCGGCGGGGGGCGGCAGGTGGATCTTTGTTGCACCCCGGTGCCGCATATGTTTAAGACAGCCCTGTGTCTGAGGATTTAAGTACCTCCTCAGAGGCAGGTGGCTAACTTGTCACTGCTGCTTATATTGCTCCCCATTCCATCTGACAGCAAAATAAATCCTACTCACCACTCCTTTTTCCCACACAACTGACATCCTGTCCTCCACGCCATTCACCCCATTGGGGATCTTGGTAAAATCATCCTTCCCCAAAGCCTTCTGGCAGATGTCAAAGGTACAGTTATCTGTCGCTGTCACAGTTAAGTCACCACTTGAAAAAAGAAACAATTCCAAGTTAGGCAAATCTGAACATTCAGAAACAGAACTTGGTTCAAATGATGGACAAAGAGTCAATCACAAGATACTGGCTTGGTTCTCATGTTATAGCTTTCTGTGACCGTGCAAACATGCTGGTTCTCAGCAAAGAGTTTGAACTTGCTTTGCTCCTCTCTGGTCCTTTTAATACAGCCCAGCTCAGCGTGTCATCCAAATCCAGGATTATGGTTAAGGTCTCCTCTCCTTAACCACAACCTGTCATCATAGGACCAGCCTTGGCTATATGTAGCTGAGGATGTCTCTGTGCAGAACAGCCACCATAGAGCAAACTGCCGTCTGTATCCACACAACAGACTTCACCAGTTGGCTGCCACATGGCTGCTATTTTTATTTTGATCATTTACTTAAGCTGGTTATACCTTGCTTGGGAAGGGCTGTGGAAGAGTATCTGCTCTGCAAACAAAGCATCCCAGGTTCAGTCCCTGGGGTCTCCAGGTAGAGATGGGAGAGCCCCTTGGATAGATGTTGTCAGTCAGTGTAGAGGCAGATGGACCAATGGTCTGACTCAGCATAAGACAGTTTCCTACAACCCTAAACAATGCTGAGACTATATTTCCAAAGCAGACCACTTGGATAAAAACCTATTTTGACAATAACAACTGCAAAAAAAATTAAAAAATGAACAAAGCATTAGATGCACACAGCACAGTAAGTTGAAAGACCAGCAGAACACAGAAAAAAATAGCAGCAGTCCATTATAAGATGCCTTCCAGAACAGAGATGTCTTCTCTAAAATGAGAAGGAAGTTAGCTTGAAGGATCTCCTCAGAGAGAAATTTCCAAATCTGTGGTGCTACCACAGAGAGGACCCTGTCCAAGGTATCTTGTTGCACACTTATTTGCTGAATGTTTGTGGCATGAAAACACAGACTGGGCCCAAATAAGTATGGCTGGCTTCAACTGTTTAATGGCCTTCTTGCTAAGGCATCCGGATGCTGCTAAGAAGTCATATGTGAGCATTTTACATGTACATTGCATTAGCTTACTTTGCCAAAAGATTCATCAGGAAGTCGGGAGTAGCAGGATCCGGCCTCAGGGGTGGGCCCATGACATGTGCTGCAGCATGGGACCATTCCTTATGCCAGTAGTGAGTGCCATCCGTTCCAAGGCCGGCAGCTATAGGCTCCCCATAAACAACTTTCCCTGGTGGAGCGGGATAAGAAAATACATAGATTAAGAGGAGCAAACTAACAATGCAGGCTTCCAATATTGTACAATGTACAGCTGGCTACAATATAGCAACATCTGGTTATCAGATATTTGAACATATATATATACACATACCCAAATTCTACCAATATGGAATTCTATAGGGCTCTATCACACACTGATCTTGATGTTTGCACTATGAAATGGTGTATAAAAAGGTGATAACAGATTGGTCTTCTGGGCTAACAGAACTCTGATGGTGCAGGGTTCCTGATTGCAAGGAGGCTTCTAAGCCTGTTCACCTGAACTGGCTTAGAATCCCCCTTTCATGTGGCAGACTAGTACAGTGTGGGATACTGGGGGGTGGGTACTTGTGTACATGTTTCCCCCCACTACTTTAACCCCACATACATTCAATCCAAATACATGAGCAAGGCTGGGGGGAAACCCAGCCAGATGGGCAGGGTATAAATAAATTTATTATTTATTACAGAGAATCTAGAAACATGGGAATTCTGATGACCAAAGATGAAAAAACACACAGAAATTAAACGCTGTATTATGTTCACATTTTATTCTAATGCTTGTAACTTTCAGAAGTTGCTTAATGGTTAAATTAGTGGAGATATGGCAAAACAGTCATCACATTCATCTGCAGCAGCCCAGTGGCAAGAGTGCTGCAGCCCCTGAGAGATTGGTTTGTTTAGTTTCTGCAGGCAATAGTTATTTCCCCTGCTCCCTTGTCTCCTCCTTTCCACTTCTCTCTTGCTTAGTTTTTCTGACCTCCTGATGTTATGTAAGGAGGAGGAGATATTTTCCTTTTCCAAGCTTGGAAACTCAGAAGCTTGCCAACTTTCAGAGCAAGAGGTTGTTGTGCCTGTGTAGCTGTGTCTCCTACGCACACGGCCCATAACACTCTTGGCAGGTAGGGTGAAGCCACCACAACCAACAAGCTCAGAACCCCCAAGCAAAAAATAACTCGCTCAAATCATGATTACATGGAAAGAAGCCCTGCTGGATTCAATGGTAGATGTACTGCCTAGTAAAAGTGCTTTTAGAATTGTAGTCTAAGCCTAGCTTGATAGGCAAGGATGACTGTATATGCACAAATCTGAAGAGTGGCGGCTGCAAAACCTGCAGAAAGTTACCCTAGATGATGGCGGTGCAATTTAAATACGAAAAAAAGATTCTAAGCAGTTTACAAAGTATAAGGAATGGTTATTAAAACATCCATGATCCATAATTGAGAACCAGTGTGGCATAACAGTTAAGAGTGGTGGACTACGACCTGGGAGACCAGGGTTCGAATCTCTACTCGGCCATGGAACTCACTGGGTGACCTTGGGCCAGTCACCATCTCTTAGCCTTACCTACCTCACGGGATTGTGTGGGGGTGAAATGGGGAGAAGAAGAACCATGTACGCCACCTTGAGCTCCTTGGAAGATTAAAGTGGCATATAAATGTAGTAATTGAAAATGAAAATAAGTCATAAAAGAATCCCATTAAAGCAGAACTAAAACAGGAAGTTCAGGGTGAGAGATCAACGGAATGGCTGTGTAAACAGGTACATCTTCAGAAGCTAGTGAAATGCCAAAAAAGATGGAGCCTCTTGTTTTCAGCTGGGAGTGCATTCCATAATACCAGTGCCACCAGACAAAAACCCAGCCTTCACTTTACCATCATTACCATCAGCAAATCATCATTAAGCCTGTAGAAAGACTAAACAGGTTCCATCTGGCACCCAACGGTCACTTTTGGCATAGAAGTGGATCAATACCCTGAGCAGCAGTAGAAAAAAGTGCATTTGAGGCTTCTCTGTATGTGGGTGGCGCTGTGGGACACGGGTGGCGCTATGGGTTAAACCACAGAGCCTAGGGCTTGCTAATCAGAAGGTTGGCGGTACGAATCCCCACGACGGGGTGAGCTCCCGTTGTTCGGTCCCAGCTCCTGCCAACCTAGCAGTTTGAAAGCACGTCAAAGTGCAAGTAGATAAATCAGTACCGCTCCCGCAGGAAAGTAAACGGCGTTTCCGTGCGCTGCTCTGGTTCACTAGAAGCGGCTTAGTCATGCTGGCCACATGACCCGGAAGCTGTACTCGGCCAATAAAGCGAGATGAGCACCGCAACCCCAGAGTCGTCCGCGACTGGACCTAATGTTCAGGAGTCCCTTTACCTTTTACCTGTACTTTCAGGGTTTGGTTTGAATGCCAATAACATACAAAAGAATATGGAAAGTACCCTACAGCCAACAAACACTGGATTAGGAGACAAATTAACAGAAAGATTATAGATCTGTTGACGTATGTTCAGTGAAGCATGTTTCATACTGTCACACTGTAAGTGACACTGTAGGCTGGGATGGGAACCCATGGCTCTCCTGATACTGCTGGACTCAAGCTCCCACCAGTGAAGCCAGTGGTCAGGGATGATGGGAATTTTAGTCTAGAAATATATGGAGGGCCAACAGTCCCCCATCTCTGCTGTAGGAATGCTGCTTTTTAAAAGAGAGCTGTAGAGGTGGCATGAAGGGGTATTCCTGCCTATGGTCTGGGGGCAAATGAGGCAGCCATGTTGTTGAAAGAAAGCAGGTTTATTTCTGGTCAGCGTCTGGATGGGAGACCACCTAGGAACTCCATATATGCCACTTTAAGGAAGGAAAGCAGGATGTAAACACACTTTTAAAAAGTCTAATAATTATTTAATCCCACTCTGTCACCTCTGGTCAAAAAATATGTTACTGGTTTCTGAAGCACTATTAATCCCCTGAAAAACAAAGATACAATGATATACACATTCACCTTATTAAAGGTAAAGGTACCCCTGCCCGTACGGGCCAGTCTTGACAGACTCTAGGGTTGTGCGCCCATCTCACTCAAGAGGCCGGGGGCCAGCGCTGTCCGGAGACACTTCCGGGTCACGTGGCCAGCGTGACAAGCTGCATCTGGCGAGCCAGCGCAGCACACGGAAACGCAGTTTACCTTCCCGCTACTAAGCGGTCCCTATTTATCTACTTGCACCCGGGGGTGCTTTCGAACTGCTAGGTTGGCAGGCGCTGGGACTGAGCAACGGAAGCGCACCCCGCTGCGGAGATTCGAACCGCCGACCTTTCGATCGGCAAGCCCTAGGCGCTGAGGCTTTTAGCCACAGCGCCACCCGCGTCCCTTTCACCTTATTATCAACTCTCTAAAATGAAGGTGTCTGTTTCTAGGCTTATCAGAGTCCTTGGAAATGGCCATGAATTTAAAAAATGCCTAGCCCATTCTAGTAATCTAACATAGCCCTACCTACATTATTAGGGAGGGAGCCCCACTGAATTAAATGGGAGTTCCTTTTGAGAAAGCATGCTTATGATTACACTGTTAATATATAAAAGCAACATCATTCTTGGATCATCGGAACCCTTTTCCAAGTTCAGGGGGACCCATGTTGTCCAATCTCTCTGCAATGATTCAGTGGGCAGAGGGGCATCAAAGTCAATTTAAGCCTTCAGTCAGTCCTTTTAATGTCTGTGCCGTATCAGAAAATACCTGTTTCGCCACTTGCATGGCTTCAGATTTTACTGTTTAGTTACATCACACAGACAGACAGCTGGGGACCTCTTGGAACAAAGATGCAGAAATTTCTATGTCATTATTAATTTAAAAGATCACTCCTGAGACAGAAAAGAGGATGGCAATGTTCATGCTTAATCACTGGTACATCGAGCATAATGGGGCCTGCATATCTGAAACTAACAGGCTAAACTGCAACCCCATTTAACAGATACAGCCTGGATTTGGGTTTAGACACTGCTACTCGTCAGCTAATTATTTTTCCTTCATTCTTTTTAAATAAGAGAGGTACTATGGCTTGAGGCTGTGTGGAAGCCATGATCTCTGACTTGGTTACGTGACAACTGCTTGGCTAGTGGTGATGCTTACTGAACTCACCACGCACTCAGAGCAGATGGTAGCTTGAGAAAAACCAGGCCCAAGTTCAGACCGAGGCAGAGAAACTAATCAGATACTTCCCTGTTATTTATGTTGGCAGTTGTAGCCTAAATACTAAAGAAGCAGGCCCGCCTGCTTGGACTATTTATTTATTTTATTTATATCCCATCCTTCCTCCCAAAGCAGCCCAGGGAGGGCAGTAAACACACTGATGATAAAACTATTAGAACACCTGAAAACAAAGACAGTTATCCAATTTCCAGATGTGCCTCTGGTAGGCCCCCAAAGGTTTGGGGAGGCCTGATCAATAGTATATGCACTTTAACATCTACAGAGTTGTTGACGTTGTATACGCAATTCAGACCGAGAAAACACGACACCAAGCAAAGATTCTACCTTTCCCACTTCCAATGATTTTGGACTGCCCTGGGGATTTTTTCTATTTTTATTTTGTGCTTTGACCTACATATTTTGGCTGATTTCACAGTTTCTTGTGCTTTTACAAAGTTGAAGAACGGAGGATGAGAAAGCGGGCTCCACAGCATTGTCAACAGTGGCATCTAGTGGACAAATCCAGTGCAACATGGCACAGAAGAGATGTTTTCCAAACTCACGGATTTAGTGCAGTGGGCCAGCTACTTACGCCAGGGTTCGGATTTGGGGGCCCACGTGCAACGGCAGAATCATGCAAAGTCAGGAACCCTCAGAACTACACGCTGTGAGGCGCAGGGCACCCTTTTTACTGGCCTCCCAAAGTCCTCACAACTCCTTCCCACAGACCGGTAAGCGAGGCACTGCCATGCTTATGCACTGCCTTCCCAAAGATGGGTAACCGAGGCGCTGGGCTTGGTGAAGGAGATGCAAGAGCTCCAGTAGCATCCCAGAGCCCTCACACTTCTAGTCCCCTAAATGTTCCCAGAAAATTAGAGCATTAAAGTATTATTATTATTATTATTATTATTATTAAACAATTGAAGTTGAATCCTGACAAGACAGAAGTACTGTTTTGGGGGGACAGGGGGCGGTCAGGTGTGGAGGACTCCCTGGTCCTGAATGGGGTAACTGTGCCCCTGAAGGATCAGGTGCGCAGCCTGGGAGTCATTTTGGACTCACAGCTGTCCATGGTGGCGCAGGTCAATTCTGTGTCCAGGGCAGCTGTTTACCAGCTCCATCTGGTACGCAGGCTGAGACCCTACCTGCCTGCAGACTGTCTCACCAGAATGGTGCATGCTCTATTTATCTCTTGCGTGGACTACTGCAATGTGCTCTATGTGGGGCTACCTTTGAAGGTGACCCGGAAACTACAACTAATCCAGAATGCGACAGCTAGACTGGTGACTGGGAGCGGCTGCTGAGACCACATAACACCGGTCTTGAAAGACCTACATTGGCTCCCAGTACGTTTCCGAGCACAGTTCAAAGTGTTGGTGCTGACCTTTAAAGCCCTAAACGGCCTTGGCACAGTATACCTGAAGGAGTGTCTCCACCCCCATTGTTCTGCCCGGACACTGAGGTCCAGCTCCGAGGGCCTTCTGGTGGTTCCCTCACTGCGAGAAGCCAAGTTACAGGGGAACCAGGCAGAGGGCCTTCTTGGTAGTGGCACCCGCCCTGTGGAACACCCTCCCACCAGATGTCAAAGAGAACAACAACTACCAGACTTTTAGAAGACATCTGAAGACAGCCCCGTTTAAGGAAGCTTTTAATGTTGGATGCATTACTGTATTTTAATATTTTGTTGGAAGCCGCCCAGAGTGGCTGGGGAAGCCCAGCCAGATGGGCGGGGTATAAAGAATAAATTATTTTATTATTATTAAAGTATGGTGCCTCCTTCCCAGAGCTGGGAAGCTTCTGCCAGGCTTAGGGAGGGAGGCGTGATCCTCGTGCACATGGCATCATGATGCCGTCCCCCATTGCCCTTGCAAGCTGGTGCCTCTGGCCCCAACGAAAAATGTCACCACACACCACTGAGCGTGAGGGCTCCGGAATGCTGTCAAAGATGAAAATGCCTTTAAGATCAGAGTGCTGCTGTCTTTGGAGTGCACGAAGGCACTGTTTATCCAAATATTTTTAAGAACACGAGAAGAGCCCTGCTAAATCAGGCCAATGGCCCATCTAGTCCAGCATCCTGGAAGGGTTAATTCCTAGTGTGTAAGGCAGAGTAATTCCTGTGCCGGCCAGATTTCCCCCCTGGAGTTTTAACTATTTCTGCCTGACACCCAGGGATTGAATGTCAAACCTGGAGATCTTAGTAGCACCGGTTCTGCAGCACCTCTGCACAATCTTTAAACACGCTGGGTCAGAAACGTACCTTGCCTCCGTGCATCTGCGATCACCGTGGCTGCAGACTTGCTCATCACATGAACTACGTAGAGAGGGCAGTTCACCGAGTTTGCTATGGTGATTGCTCTCAGCGTGGCTTCAGCTTCCACTTCTTCCGGGCGACACAGCTGGTGCCCTTCTGGACCAGTTATTCCCAGGGATAACATCTTCTTTGCACCCTGCAGGCCAGCCACAGCGACACAGAAGTTAATGTTGCTACCAGTGGAAAAATTAATGACTTCTCTGCAACTCTGGTCCAGCTACCCGAGTAATTTAGAAACCCCAATAAGTACAAGATTTGAAAATCATTTGTACTGTGATGGTTAGCAACTTAGTTAGCTATGATTTGTAGTTTATCAGAACAAATGCCTATGTGCTTGATTTTTCTGGATGTTTCGTTTTTTAAAAACACAGAAGGCTTTGGAAATATATGTTGTGTTTATATCTTGTTATAAACCACACATAATTGCTTCTTTCAGAGATGTCTTTGGGCTGGATCCAGATTCACAGCTCATTCCTAACCATGCTTATTCAGAAGGAAGTCTTACTGAATTCCATTTAGCTTACACTAAGGCAAGTGGAGTTGCCGCCTTAGTGATGCTTAGAGTAGACCCACTGAAATAATGTCACTTTGGTCCCAGTGATTATATTGTAAGTAAGTAAGTAAATTTTTGTTTATACCCCGCCCTCCCCAGCCAAGACCGGGCTCAGGGCGGCTAACATCAAATGTCAAATACATTAAAACAAAATCAAACAATTGATTAAAATACAGCTTAAAAATTAGAATCAGGCTAAAATTAAATGACTGCTCATGAAATTACAACCATAGGGGTCGGGAACCTCAAGTATTCATCAGGGTCAGCTATCCATGTTGGTCCCACATAAGCCAATAAAAGGGCCAAAGAGGTAACTTACAGGGTCCCATAGACTGGACCGAAGGGCAGGCAGAACAGCTCTGTCTATTGGGTCTACTTTAAGCATCCATAAGGCCCTATCTGCACAATACATTTAAAGCAGTATCACATCACTTTAAAGAGTCAACTCTGGGAACTGCAGCATATTAAGTCTAGTGACTGTTGATAAAGGTAAAGGGACCCCTGACCGTCAGGTCCAGTCATGGCCGACTCTGGGGTTGTGGCGCTCATCTCGCTTTACCGGCCAAGGGAGCTGGCGTACAGCTTCTGAGTCATGTGGCCAGCATGACTAAGCCGCTTCTGGCGAACCAGAGCAGTGCACAGAAACGCCGTTTACCTTCCCGCCGGAGCGGTACCTATTTATCTACTTGCACTTTGACGTGCTTGTCAAACTGCTAGGTTGCAGGAGCAGGGACCGAGCAATGTAAGCTCACCCCATCGTGGGGATTCAAACCACCGACCTTCTGATCTGTGGTTTAACCCACAGCGCCACCAGCATCCCAGTGACTGTTGATAGGAGACTCCTATTCCCCTCTCAGAAATGCAATTCTCATAGTGATTTGACCATCAATCCTCCTTCCTAGGAAACTCTGAAATCGGTACATTTGAGAGGAATAGGTGTTTCCAAACAGCACCCTGAAAATGACAGTTCTCAGATTTTGGAGGGGAAGCCATGAGACCCTTTGTGCTAACCCTGCCTTCAACATCACAGTCTCCCACTAGCTCCATCTCTTCTGACTGCATATTTGGTGAAAGTCTGAAAGGGGGTCTGTGAACATTTGGCTGTGCATACATAGGCTCCTCTGGATGACAGAGTTCCAATTACACAGGGCTCCCAGTCATACGAGAAGACAATGCACTTTCAGCTGAAGACATGTAGGCTGCCCCTCCAGACATTAATTGAATGTGGGAAGGTTAGGAGGGGCAGAGATGGCAGGGCCAACACGCCCAGTTCCCCTCTGCCCTCTGTCTGTTACCAAAAGATGTGTAATTTACAAATCGTTACAATCTTAAATACACAGGTATTGCTGCAATCTGTTGCAGGGTGGATGAATGCTCCTGTGTCACCTTGGAGATAGATAATTACCTCTGCAATCAGATCCCCATTTTCTGCGTGGACTTGAGCAATCGCACCGATTTGTTTGCACTGAGAAAAGGCAGAGTGTAACTCTAGATCTCCAACCATATAGACACCTTTATATGCCATAAACATCTTAAAGGAGTTTACACCCTTTTCCTGGGCTAGGGTTTTCATCTCTTCTTTAACCTGAAAGCACAACAAAAAATTGTTAAATGTTCAAACCTCACAATATCCTCTTGAATTTATTTGGCATCAAATCATACCATCTGATTGGCTAAATTATTTGAGTGTATTATTTGACAGAGATATTTTTACTTGACTGGCAGAACACCAAAATTTCCCAGGATATTCTTCAGGAGACAGTAAGATTTCTCTCTAAAATGTTGTACCCAATAATTATGCAATATTTTAATTCCTGTAGTGACTATGACACTTTTTTGGTTATGTATTTTTGGAATTCTTGTTTATTATGAAAAAAGGAGCTATTACAGTATTGTTCAATTAATTTTTTAATAATTAAATAACTTTTAAATAAGCTTTTTTAAAAAAATTCCCAGGACTAAATCCTCTGGCTAGTTTAGCACACCGTCTTGGAAAGCTTCACCCCTGCGCTCCTGAGCATGGTGAAAATTTAGTTTATTACATGTATGTATCATTTCACACATCCAAAAGTGTCTGGAAGCAACTTAAAGTTATGAAATACAAAATACATAAAACACTTCAACAAAAGAATACAGATACAAAATACTAAGGGTTGTAGCTAAAGAAGTTGTCCGTTCATGCAAGCTTGTGAAACTATTTATGTATGCTACTACTGTGGCCCGTGTTTTGTTAGCCCCAAAATGGAAAACGAGTGAGGTCCCAGCCATAGAAGAATGGCAACAAACTGATGGAATACGTGCAGCTTGCAGATTTAACATATAGAGTAAGAGAACAAGAACATATGTTTAAAGAAGCCTGGAAAACGTTTACTGAATATATGGGTGAAAATTGTGTTCATTTAAAAATGCTGGTAGCATTAAGATAAGCTCAACAGTGAAAACAAGTTTTGATGGATGTAACAATGGATTACTGAATATAAAATATGCAGGGATGCATGATATGCAAAATGAAAGAGAAGAAGGGAAGTCATTGATTTAAGGTTGTTTAAATGAATACAGTGGTACCTCGGGTTAAGAACTTAATTCGTTCTGGAGGTCCATTCTTAACCTGAAACTGTTCTTAACCTGAGGTACCACTTTAGCTAATGGGGCCTCCCGCTGTTGCCACGCAATTTCTGTTCTCATCCTGAAGAAAAGTTCTTAACCTGAGGTACTATTTCTGGGTTAGCGGAGTCTGTAACCTGAAACGTCTGTAACCCGAGGTTACAGACCCATCATGTTTTTGTCCAAAGAAAAATAACAATCTAAAACAGCACAAAATATGTACCTCCCCCACACAGAATGAACACAAGTAGCTGCCCAGCAAGAAGCAAGAGGAAGGAAGGCAAATTTGAATGTGCCACAACTGGGCCCTTGGTCACTTGGCAAGAACGCCACACACACACTGTTTTCCATGCAACTCGTGGCATCTGTCCTTGGCGCATGTTGGACACACTTGAAGGAACAAACGTGCTACTGGCCTTCTGCTTACCTTGTCGCTCCACCACGTGACGGCCACATGAAGTGCATAATCGCAGCAGACTTTGGGATCTGCCCAGCTTCTCCATCTCTCATAGGCTTCAATGAGAGAACAGCCTTTATGAGGTATCGCAAAGTCAATGATCATTGTCGTGCCTCCTGCTACAGCGGCCTAAAAGAAAAAAGAAAAAGTGGTTCGCGATGAAAGAAGTGTTGCAAGGTTCTGCTTTTTCCCAATTACCCTTTCAGTCCATTGCAAAATATGAAAGGCTTAAAATTCATGTGCTGTTGAAGTATTTATTTCAAAACTACAATTCCCATCATGCTCTGTCTCTCAGTTTTTTTACTAAAGAAAGTAACTTGTTTGTGTCTGTGTGTGTGTGTGTGTGTGTAGGAGAGAATCAATTTTCTCATTTTTGCTGTAGCCAGTCAAGCCCAGGCTCAGTGATTATTGGGAAGCTTGGAGGTTGACTAAGTAATTATATGGGTTATGCAATTATATGGGTGAAAGCAAATTTTTGCTGTGCTGATGGTAAGCACTGGAAGGAGAGGCTAAAGGGAGGCATACTGGTGTATGGCTCTGGATATCATGGATTCTGGGAGGGGAGTTTGGGGAAATGCCATCTTGCAGAATGGGGGGGGATACAAAAGCTGGGTATTAACTACAGGAGTGCATATGTTAAATACTTTGAATAATTGGAATACATATAATTGACAGACAGAGAGGCAGAAGTACCTCTATTTTATTTTATTTATTCTATTTTCTCTGTTAGAAGTCCTTTATCTTGAACTGAGGAAGACATACACAGGAAGGGGATAGTTGGGAGAAAGGTGGTCCCTGCAGGAATGGCAGGGTAGAAAGGTCCTCTCCTTTCTTCTCATTCCTTAGTTTCCCTTATTACTTTTTGTTATTTAGACCAGTTTGATTTTTATTGTATTTTATGCCAAAAACTTTCAATAAAGAAACACTTATTTAAAAAGGTCCTGTACTAATTCGGCCATGCAGCTAGTTCTGCGATGCTGGCTCTGGTTTCCAGGCTACTGCTTCTTCTTAACAAACATAGCTGCAAATGAATGGATCTTAGAGTGCAAATATGTGGCTTTAGTTGCAGCAAACAGGAACCTAACCTGAAGTGTACTTCACCAAAGAACTATCGGCGACACGGAGCAATGGATCCAAACTACAAGAAAGAAGATTCCACCTAAACGTTAGGAAGAACTTTCTGAAGGTAAGAGCTGTTCGACAGTGGAATTTGCTGCCAAGGAGTGTGGTGGAGTCTCCTTCTTTGGAGGTCTTTAAGCAGAGGCTTGACAACCATATGTCAGGAGTGCTCTGATGGTGTTTCCTGCTTGGCAGGGGGTTGGACTCAATGGCCCTTGTGGTCTCTTCCAACTCTATGATTCTATGATTCTATGATAATGCATTGGAAACAGGAGCATGCATGTGTTGCATGTGGGGTGTGTGTGGGTGTGTGGGTGGGTGTGTGGGTGTGTACAGGCCAGAGGTTTTGTGCTGCACCAATGATCCTGATGGAAAAGTCTGCAGCATTGCCGAGCTTCACCAAGCAGATGGTATGCAGAATGGTGGGGAAAGGGAGCCAGAAGCACCTTAGGCACTCAATTAAGCAGGGGCCGTTTTCCTAGTGCCGGCTGAGCTGGAAAAATAAATCTGTGTATCAGCAGAACAATACTGGAGGTGGAAGTGATGACTTTGAAATATGGCACCTGCAATACAGAGCAGTGTTGCATTAGAAACTAACACCCCTTGGGATGCTTGCTGAGGAACCCATTTGAAGGGGCATGAAATATATTTCTCCAGAGGCAGGGCAATCGCGTAAACAAAGGAGTGGAGATGGCGTAACCTGCAGGCGACCCCAAAATTACCGAGGGCAGCTGGTGAAGAGTGAAGAGCATGATAATCAGGGGGGAAAGAACTGAAAGCGTTTTAAGGGACTAAGATCAAGTAAGGGAACTGCAATGGCAGATGAATCTCAGGGTTAATGAATGCAGAATAATGCACACCAGTGACATGGACTGTTGATTTCTTAATGGAATGGCCTGAATCGCCTAAGGCAGTGTTTCTCAAACTAAGAGCCAGGACTTACCAGTAATCTTTGAGCCATGCTCAAGTGGACCTCAGCACCACCTCCTGCACCCAGCACCTCCTCACTTGCCTGCCCTGCCCTCTGGTTGTGCCACGACCTTTTGTTGTGCCACGACCAAGGACCAGCGACTGGCAGGGTCAGGAGAACAGAGAGCCTTGTGGGGAGAGGAGGGATGGAAGGCCTCCCTCCTCTAAGGGGAAAAGGCCGCAGGAGGGGCTGAAGGAATTTTTTTGTGGCATAAAAGTTCAATACAGTGGTACTTCGGGTTAAGTACTTAATTTGTTCCGGAGGTCTGTTCTTAACCTGAAACTGTTCTTAACCTGAAGCACCACTTTAGCTAATGGGGTCTCCCGCTGCCGCCGCACCGCCGGAGCACGATTTCTGTTCTCATCCTGAAGCAAAGTTCTTAACCTGAAGCACTATTTCTGGGTTAACGGAATCTGTAACCTGAAGCGAATGTAACCTGAGGTACCATTGTATTGTTATTAATCACACATGAACTGGAAGTAGGGAGGAAATGGGGTAAGAGAGGAAATCATTACAAGAGGAAGAAGTAAATACGTGAAAGGACCAAGGAGGAGGCATGAATGACCCTGGGTTAAGGTAGAAGTTGGGTGTGGAAAGAATGAGAGAAGAAATGACAGGAGATGGGAAAAACATCCTTTGAGGCCTATAGGGCATATAGGATATGGGAAAAGGCAAAAGGAAAAGCTGTCTCCACTTAAGAGCCTCTGAATCAACAAATTGAGTGGGAAGGCTGTCACAAGACCTCCAGAGCAAATGCCTGAACTTCGCATGAGGAAAGCTAAGCTATGGAGCTCCCCGCCACCAGGAAAATGCCATGGCAAACCAGCAATTTCTAGAGATGGATTAGGTATCAGTAGAAAGTGATGTCAGGAACTGCCACCGGTTCTGCCAAACTCTGCCTCCACCTGTCACCATTTTGTGACTGGTGGGCCTCTGTAATACTCAGCTGTCTTAACTGAACCTGGGGGTAGAAATGGGCTGGGGGAAGCTGCCCTAGGGAGAAGGGGGTTGGGGGGACCATTCAAAGCCACTGCCCAAAGTCAACAGCACACATACCCACAGCCTTTCTGTCAGAATTGACAGGTGGAAGGGCTCCAATTTTGGGCTTGGCTGACAGGGCCAAACAAAAGTTCTAGACCCATCCATTGGTTGTGGGTGGCTGTGTCTCCAGTTTAGGGTGGGAGAGTAAGGAAAGGTTGAGGCATAAAGCTACTCTTTGCTACTCCTGGAAAACCAAGCAACACCCCCCCCCCCCGTTACAGCTTTTAGCCAAAATTCTCTGTGTTTCAAAGTAATATTCTTAAATGAGCATAGCGCAAAAGCTCCTGGATGTTTAGTCAGCAAAGGTTTGTGGGCCTCGGTTATCAGTCTTGATGCACCTTTTCATGCTGATTTCCTTTTGCTTTCCAGCAAGATTTTATTTACCAAAATCCAGCCCTCTGATGTCATACAATCAAAAAAAAAAGAGGCATGTAAGCATTTTAAAGGAAATATGCCAGGGAATATCCATCCTTTCTCTGCCCTTGAACCCCATCATGTCTCGTTAGAGATATATATTTATATCTGCAGACAGAGATATGCCATACTTTTTAATTATTAGAGTAAAAGCAAACATTAAATTCACTTTTGCAATAGGCGTGATATGAAACTGAGCCCTCTGATCCTTTCTAGTTATTTACTCTGCTTTTAAATAATTAATCTGGGGGATGTTTATATGTTAAGAAATTACATGGCAACACTCAATGGGGAAAAGGCCAAAGACTGCAAATCTGCCAGTTCTGCCACTTTGAGCAATAAATCACTTATTCTAAAGTCTACTAAACGGATTCACCAGCTTCCAGGGATCCTTCCATTTCTGGTACAAGATTTATTTCTTCGCTGAATTATTGTAAATAATATTACTGACCCTTAAAATAAAATTTTTAATGAACGGCACTTACCAGAGCAAAACATGGAACACTAAAGTATTTTGTTACTCTGCAAACTGATTAAAATTAGCCTTGTTAATTGCAACAACCTCTTTCCTAAACTTTGGAACTTTACATTTTTGTTATTGTCTTACTATGTATTTTGTGATCCGATTTTGTATTTTTGCGTTGCGAACTGCCCTGTGATCTTTGGATGACAGGCGGTATACAAATTTAATAAATAATAGCAACAATAACTTTTATAGACAAAGCAGGTCTATAACGTTTTTGCAAGACATTTGCTCCTTGACCAATGAGCTAAGTGTGTGTGGCTACTCAGATATCAGCTGCAAATCAATTAATATACAAGTATGCACAGAAGGACAATAAAAACATGCATCTACATGTTTATTTTATGTAAACATTTTTACATAAAATATACATTTATTATTATTATTACTGCTTTTAGTTTAGATTTAAGAATGACATGTGAGAAAATTCTGGCACTTTCCCCATTATTTGAGCAACAGAAAATTCCAGGGACAACCTTTAACAGGGTCAGTTCCCTTGTACTGTAGTTTGTTAAGGGTTGCTGGGAATTTTAACCGGGGGGGGGGGGTGTTAACTACACTGTGCAGAAATCTTTGAGGGGAAAACTGTGCTCCCAAATTGCTTTGAAAGTACAATGCGTACACCAGCTCACAGTGGGAACAGTGGGCTTTTCCTGATCTAAGATGAACCTGGACTTATGTTCCACCTGTACATTTGTAAACAAAATCTACCATTAGAAAATGCCATAAGCCTCAAGCGTCCTCCTTCCAAAAGAAACTAAACCCAGGAGAGCGATGTACCCTTAGAACTTCTGCTTGTGCAGTGAAGTGGGTGACCACAACGGCAATCTCTTCACTGTGTATGGCCGCAACAAGATATAGCCTCGTTTTCTCGGGTTTTCTTTAATGATGGGCCAGTTTAGGGAAAATATCATGGTCCCTTAAAGAGCCTAAATCCTTCCTAATTTGGTTACTGCTTTGCAACTCTTGCAAATTGATTTGCATTTATATAAATTTGCATATGTGTCCGTGTGTGTATAAATGTGTGTATGTGCATGTATACATATCATGCCATATAATGGCACAAGGAATCATGACATATATTTCATAGTGTACTGTACTGTTATGTAAGGGGTTTAATTAATAGAGATGCTAACATGATTTAAGGCAGCAGCAGGTCAGGGGTAGACCAGTGGCGGAGCTTCAAGCTCCATCGGGGGCGGAGAGCAGGCGGGGGCATGGCTGGCCACCCACAGGGGCATGACGCCCAGCACGAGGGAGGGCAGCCACGATGGCACCCCACCGGGATCGTGCTGTCAGGGGCGATGCACTCCGCCCGCACCCCTGTTCCTCCGCCAGTGGGGTAGACACCCAGCTCTTGAGACTCTTGCTAGACCACATCATTCCATATCCTTCTAAAGTATGTGAAATGTGAACTTGAACTGTGATAATGCTTCTTGCTTGCCTGGATGGAGATGGAGGGGGGGGTTGAGTGTGAGTGTGTGTGTGTGTGTGTGTGTGTGTGTGTGTGTGTGTAGGTAGAAAGCTCTAACAATTCTCTTGTTTTTGTTGTAATCCCAGAGTTTGTGGGTAGACAATTTTGTCCATGTTTCGTTTTGTTTAGTGCACCTTGTTCATTCCTATTTGCTTTTAATTTGTTTGCATAAAGGTAAAGGGACCCCTGACCGTTAAGTCCAGTCGTGGACGACTCTGGGATTGCAGCGCTCATCTCGCTTTACTGGCAGAGGGAGTCGGCGTTTGTCTGCAGACAGCTTCCGGGTCATGTGGCCAGAATGACTAAGCCGCTTCTGGCGAACCAGAGCAGCGCACGGAAACACTGTTTACCTTCCCGCCGGAGCGGTACCTATTTATCTACTTGCACTTCGTGCTTTCGAACTGCTAGGTTGGCAGGAGCAAGGACCGAGCAACGGGAGCTCACCCTGTTGCAGGGATTTGAACCACTAACCTTCTGATCGGCAAGCCCTAGGCTCTGTGGTTCAGACCACAGCTCCACCCACATCCCATATTTTTTTGCATAAACCACACCCCAAAAAAATCAGCAGAAGCCCTCACCCATGGCCTCTACAAGGGCTTAATTTGCCTCACAGTTCGCCATGAAATCTATAGGCAGCGCAGCTACACAAATATACTATTTATGTAAGCACACATTAGTGGACAGTGGATTTGCTCCTTTGTGTAACTTATGTCAAACTTTCGCTGACCCTGGAATATCTTTGCCAGCTGGCAGATGTTTTACTAACTCTGCTAACAGTGGGGTTCCTTGTTGTTTATTTTAATGTCAAACCTTATTTGATTTTAGATGAACTGTTGACTTTAAAGGTTAGTGGCTCTACCTTATCCAAATGTCACAGAGTGATTTCTCAATGCCCAATATATTAGGCCTACTCAAGCCTACATGCATCTGTGTGAGAAGGGGTGTCTCAGCTCCCCATGACTAATGGTAAGGAATACTGAAGGGACCTGTACACAGAAGCACCTGCATGCAGGTGGGAAGACCTACATTGCAATATACAAAACCTGCCATCTCCCATTCCCCTCATCTCCCCCAAATTTAGATGCTTTCCCATGGATATTGCTCACCTCTTGGATGAGATCATGGAAGCAGGATCAGGAAAGCCCAGAGCTGCTCCATTCTTTCTATAGCTTCAGTGACTTGAAAGAGATGCAAAAAGCAATCTAATCCAAGCCCCTGCTTCAAAATAAAATCATATAGGGACTCATCCATACTTTTGCTTGTCCCACCGCTCCCCACACACTCCGAGGAAACCCAGTCTTTAACTGTGGAATCAGAGCAAACGTCAACTTAGTTTTTCCCAGATTGATGTCTGCTATAATTTAGTGCTAAGGAACGGGTTTTCCGAAGGAAAAGCAGTGGGGAAAAGGCAAAACTGCTCAGGCAATGGAAAACCACTCAGACCTGCACTTTCCAGGGACAGGACAAGCAAAGTGGGGGAAAGCCCTAGATCTCTGCTGTTGGCCTATGCAATCAAGGCCAGTGTATGCCAGGTGCATAAGGCAGGTGCACTGCTTAAGGTTAAGACTCACTGATGGAATTCCATGGCATCCTTTTTCCTTGCTAAACTTCTGCTGCAGTTACATTCCTGCTGGGACCTGCAGGGATAGTTCAAGACATGGGGCTGCTTGCTTTGCTCCCATAGAAAACTCCCTTGCTCCAAGTGACAGCTTGCTCTGCTTGGGCCATTGGGCCAGCTCCTTTGCATACACAGACTCACTATCAGAAGGCATGGCGGCCACTCATTGCACACTTTTAAAACAAGAGTTGACCTGTCAATAGCTATTAGCTGTAGTGGCTAAACAAAACCTCCATGGGAAGAAGCAGTAAATAATTGAATACTGTTTGAAGGGGACTAAGAATACCTATTGCCTTCAGGCTGTTTCTAGGCTTTTCTGGAGAAATTTGATTGGTCACTGCAAAAAAACAAAAACGAAACCTGAACTAGGTGAACCTTTAGTCTGATCCAGCAGGTCTTTTGGTTCTGTGATTATATCACACAGTTTAAGATGTCTATGTCTGTTTGGAGCCATGCTCTTGAATACAAGCTCCCCTTACACTACTTTCCTTTAAAAAATGTGCGAATTATTTTCCATATTTACAGCAATGACATGAATAAAGGAATGCTTTAATAGAAAGGCTTACATTATGCAGCAATGAATCTTCCAGCATGTGTGTTTGTGTGTTAAAGAGGAAGAGAGATCCAAAGTAAATTTATTGATCTACGTTTCTTTGGAAAACTTTGGGTCAATTCACCATCCCAGTCAATCTGTTTAAAAGAGCAAAGTCAGCAATCCTACCCTATATGTCAAGGCTGGCATACCAACAAATTACAGTATAAAATATTTTTTGGAGTGCTTTGGTGACCCTTGAACTCTCTCAAAAAGTTATTCAAAGCATTCTGACACTGTTTCTTGCAACAGAATAAAAATTAATAACCACTCTCTCCTGTGCAGAAAATCAATTGGAAGGTAAGTCCGTACCAAAATACAAGACAAAGCACAGAAAACAGCAAATTCAAAAACCCACTTGGCTTCATCCGGGGTGGGGGACGGGAAAGCAAAGGAGGAGAGGAAAACTGAAGAGGGAGAGCGCCACACAACAGGGGTCACCGATGTGGTGCCCACTGCCACAGCGGCACCTCACTGCCAAGCGAAGAAAGATTTAAGAACTTGTTCCTTGTCTATTTTTTGAGGGCAGGCCCTAGGTTTGAGGAGGCCCCAGGCAAACACACTTTGCTTGGGGTGCCTCCTCTTTTGGTAGGCTCTGGCAGCCTCACCTGGCAACAATGGCTGTAGAAGGCATAGCTGTCAACCTTCCCTTTTTTGTGGGAAATTCCCTTATTCCAGTGCTGCTTCCCGCTGCTATCCCGGATTGTTAGATATCCCGTAGACTGTCCCCGGGACAGGTGAGGCTGCTGATCCCTTATTTTCAAGGCTGCTGATTCCTTATTTTCAAATCTGAAAGTTAACAGCTATGGTAGAAGGGTCATTGATCAAACATCTGCTTTGCATGCAGAAGGTTCCAGGTTCAATCCCCGGCATCTCCAGGTAGAACTGACAAAAGATTCCTAGCCTGAAACCCTGGAGGGCTGCTGCCAATCAGTGAGCAAGATGTTCCAGTGGGTTTGCATAAGGGAGCTGCCTATGTTCCTAGTGGGGCTGATAGCAGCTGCACTGGCTGGATGAGATCGGTCATTTTAATTTCTAAGCACAGCCATGCTGTATCAAGGGCACTGATGAACAAAAGTGGATTGTGAGAGCCCTTGTGGTGGCAAATAGCAAGGCTGGAAGGACAAACAGCCACCTTCTGCTACTCAGTGCCTTTTCTATGTTTCAGTGCATGCCTGATAGCCACTGCTCTTGTTTAAACAACTAGGTGGACTGCCTAATATTATTATGTATGTTTAAATTAGGATAGAATCATAAGTGCTGATTCTCATCCAACACCCTGCAACAGCAGTAATATGCAGCTGTACCATATGGGGATTGAACCTGCAACCTTGGCATCATCAGCACCATGCTCTAACCAACTGAGCTATTGCCAACATCAACTGTGAGGCTTTCATTTTCTCTAATTGAAATTTCCTTTTTCTTTTTGGGCACTGGTGGGAATGAAAATGGAAGCGGTGCTGCTGGTGCTGCTGCTGAGATCTGCTACTCAAGACTGCAGCCTCCTGCACATCCAAGCAAGGCAACTGAATTAGAATGTAATAAGAGCCTGCTGGGTCAGGCCAGTGGCTCATCTGTTCTCACAGTGGCCAAGAAGAAGCAGGATCCAAGCACAAGCGCACTCTCCCCTCCTGTGGTTTCCAGCATAGCTTTATCCTCCCTGAATTTGTCTGAACCTCTTTTAAAGGTTCTCCTGTGGCAGTGAGTTCCATAGGTTAACTATGCTCTGTGTGAAGAAATACTTTCTTTTATCTGTCCAGAATCCTCCGGCATTCCGTTTCATTGGATGCCCACAAATTCTAGCGTTATGAAACAAAGAAAAATGCATCCGGGTCAAATGTCATATGGACTTTGGTCCTCAGCAATTAAATTACACAATCTCTGGTTCAATATATAGCCACAGGACAGACACGGACTGGCCCCCAGGCACAGACTGGCCCCCAAACTGCAGGCCTCTTAAATGGCCTTTGAAAGCAGCTGCTTTGGTGATACAGAGAGTGTGTCATTCAAAACAAAACAAAAAAAAAAAAAGTGGGGAGAGAACTACAGTTTTTTAAAAGTGCTTTCCAACATGCTTCTCTGGATTAGGCTAGACAGCTTGCTTTCTTATTTGATGACAGCATCTTGATGCCCTTAACAGCTGCCTGAGAAACAGAAGCTGAACAGGTGCAGCTCTTTGCATTACTGTTATCACTACTCCTGGAAAGGCTGCAGCTGTTCAATTTCTGTCCATCACTCAGGAATTAGAAGCGTGGAGTCCCTGTTGGGGACACGCACACGCAACACTACTATGGATCGAGGCTTTTCAGTTCTAGATCACCTCTTTAAATATAGCTCAAGGTTCACGTTGAGCCAAAACAGACTGTGCAAGGATGCCAGAGAAAGTTTCTAAGCACCTGTAGTGCAGTATGCAGACAATTTCAGCTTTGAAGCATGGAAAGCTTGGAGGAAATGAGCAAAGAACAGTTTTTCTCTCTGTCTTGTAACACTAGAACTCAGAGTCATCCAGTGAAGCTGAGTGTTGGAAGGTTTAGGACAATAAAAGGAAGAAGTTCTTCACGCAGCACGTAGTTAAACTGTGGGACTCGCAGTGACTGTCACCAACTTGGAAGGCTTTAAAACAAACTTGGGGACAATAAGGCTATCAACAGCTACTAGCCATGATGCTAGGCTTGGCATCTGCATTGGGAGGCAGTAACGCTTCTGAATACTGGTTGCCGAAAACCACAGGAGATGAAAGCGCTCTTGTGTTGGGGTCCTCCTTGAGGGTTTCCCACAGGTCTGCCACAAGTATTGGGGAAGAGGAAACTGAACTAGGTGGCCACTGGCCTGATCTAGCAGAGCTGTTCTCATGTTCTGATATATAGTAGTACCTCGGGTTACATACGCTTCAGGTTACATACACTTCAGGTTACAGACTCCGCTAACCCAAAAATATTACCTCGGGTTAAGAACTTTGCTTCAGGATGAGACCACAAATCGTGCTCCGGCGGTGCGGCGGCAGTGGGAGGCCCCATTAGCTAAAGTAGTACTTCAGGTTAAGAACAGTTTCATGTTAAGAACGGACCTCCGGAACAAATTAAGTACTTAACCCGAGGTACCACTGTACACACATTGGTTAGGGGAGGGATTGTCAGAAAAGTACAAATAGTGATAAAAGTATCTGATTAACTCAGTTGGGGGAGAAATCTAACAAGATTTTTAGTATAGTAATACTTGTTTAGGACCAATTGAATCTTTGGATGAAAGACCTCGGAAGTCGAACAGAATCCGTTCCGGAAGTCCGTTCTACTTCCAAAATGTGGCTTCTGATTGGCTGCAGGAAACTCTGTCGGACATTTGGCTTCCAAAAGAACGTTAGAAAACGGAAACACTGACTTCCGGTTTTCAATTGTTTGGGAGCTGAAACATACGAGTTCCGGGGCGTTCTGGGGTGTATATAAATTTAATAAATAATAATAATAACTGACTTGCAAGGCCAAGCTAACTCTCAAGTTCACCAGCACATCTTCAGGCTGGACATGTCAAGCAAATCATGGGGTGTGAGAAAAAGCTATTGTTGGATAACCGTTGTTTGAAGAATTAGAGGTGTTAAAATAGTGAGGTATTATTTGTTAATGTGTAACAGATCTCGGGCAGTCAGTAAAGTTGTGTGAAGAACTGGCAATGTGTGTTCCATTTGACTGATCCGTAGCCATTAAATTCCAGGAAAGAAGATCTATGCAAACATTTATCAGGTCCTGTAAACCTGTGGGAAGCGATCTTTCAAAGTGTTGATATCAGGACAAATCCCAGTTATTTGTACTGGAGATAAGGAACAGAAGGCTTTGAGGAAAAGAAACATTGGGTCGCTAAAAGGCAGATTTTAAACAGAAAGGAGGAGGAGCCCATTCCGGAGGGAGATATCTGGATGTTAGGACTTTTTTTTATGAATTTGCAATATCCTCAATTCTGTGCCACCGAAGGCACTTCCAGATTATCTTGTTTGTTGAGCATTCATCCTGATCCGCTTCCAGAGGCTAAACAATTGTCCCATCAAAGCAAGCTTTCCCCCAAACTTTCCTGGGAAGTGGGTTTGTTGTGCAGGGCACACCAAGCAACTATAATTGAACAACATGAATTTGCTGGGACGTGACTGAATTCGGCCTAGTATACCGATAGTCTGGAAGAGCCCCCAGAGAGGAGGAAAGTGAACAAGCAGGCTGCCTCACAGGTGTCTCTCATTTGCTTGCTTGGGCCACACAGCTGGGCCTTACTCTTCCTTTTGCACCACCCCAAGAAAGATGGTGAGCAAACAGATAGAGAGCCCTGTGGAACACCCATCCACCAGATGTCAAGGAAATAAAACAGCAATAAAATTATAAACACACACTACGCCGAAAAGGTGAAGTTGACTGGGAAAATCAGAAACCAGGAAGAGAAGAATTTTTAGAAGGAATGGGAAAATTTATATAATGTGTTTAAGAGAACACTGTAAACAGCTAAAAACTTTGGCAGGATTTGAGTAATGCTTGTAATGTATGAAAAACTATTGCAAAAACGGATTGTTTTCTTAAAAAATTAGAGAAATGGGAAGCAGTTGGGAAAAAAGATTGATAATGGTAACCATGGAAGGGCGTAGAGAAGTCAAAGGATTCAGGGAATCCTAAATGATAATGTAGATGATTTGTTTGAATACACAAATACACACACACACACACACACAGAGAGAGAGACTTTTAAACTGATTTTTCATAAACATTGTTAAGTGTATTTTGATGAGGCCCTAAGCTACTGAAAGTAATGGGGCCCTTTATACACCCAGCTGTCCTTTGTCAACAACAAATTGTTGCTGTTTTTTGTGTTGAATATATGCTATATGGTAATTTATGGATCCAATAGGTATCTAAAGCCATTTGCACGTAACAAACAGGAGCCTACGGAACACAAAACACTGTTGCTGTATGTAGGTTTTATTTTATTTGTTTTTTATCTTATATTTTGGAAGTGTACATCCAGGGTTTTTTTCCTTTAAATTTTTGGGGGCCCCCACGAGAGTGGTGCCCTAAGCTATACCTTGTTTAGCTTATACGTAAATCCGGCACTGTTATAATAACGAAGACAATAATTACCTTTGTCCCTTGATAGAAGTCGTCCTTCGACTGCGTGCCCATGAAGGGGAACTGCAGGTGCGTGTGAGGATCAATCCCGCCGGGCAGAACCAGTTTGTTGGAGGCATCTATCACCTGGACGCCTGCTAGGGATGGAGGCTGGAGATGCGACCCCACCGCTTTGATTTTCCCATCCTCAACGTACACATCCGCAACTTGTGAACAGTCCGCGTTCACAACTCGCCCGCCTCGGATCCAAATCTTCTGCATGGTCTTCTCCCGCTTCTGTGCGTAAAGTTTCTGGGAAAGGCGCTCTGCGTTTGCAAAGTAGCGGCAGCAGTTGCAGCAGCACTTTTAAAGTTTTCTCCCTCTGCCGGCAGACATTCCATGCAGTCACGTGTAACTTTCCCTGCCGGGGGATGAGAGGTTTTAACCCTTTGTTCCCTGTTCCTTTTTTTTTTTACTGTGTTTGTGAGAGTGAGAATTACTATCGCCCTTCGTCTCCCTGCACCCAATTACTTCCCCACTAGCCTTTATCTTGCAACAAGAGTGCTGCTGTTCCACGAGGAAGTTTGTAGGTGCTCTCAGCATTGCAGCTGTGTTTAGAATGAGGGTTTCAGGTCAGTAGTTTTGGAAGCAGTTTGTGTGAAATTAAATAAGACTGTATTTCAAAATGGCTTGTACAGCTTTCCCCCAAGCAGCCACTTCCTTACTCTTTATTCTGTGCCATTCTGAAAACTCGAATTGGGAGTATTTTGCCCAATTCCGCGGGGATTATAGACACATCCGCCTCCGTCCCTCTCTTCTTTTTAAATCTCTGCTATCTGAGGGGGCTAAAGGAACAATGTAAAATAAATAAATAAATTGATTTTACACATTGCGGGGTTGTACGTTGTCCAATTAGCTTCTTATGCCTTACTTTAAAAGGGGATCGAGCCTGGTTAAAGCGGCGTTTCAGGATAGTGAAAGGAAGCAAAACGGAAATTTTACAATTACCCGGGAGTAAATGTAAATGCAAACCGGAGGGGCTTACTTTTGCGTAAATAGCCTAAGGATTATGCAGCGCTGGAAATGCGAGTTCAACTGCACCTAACGGGAATAACATCTCCAGTCCTAAGTAGAGTTACTGCATTCAGAACATTCGTTGCCATCTTCCTAAGAAAGCAGGGCAAACTAAATATAAAAATGTCAATGCAGATTTAAAGGTACCAGGTAAATTTATTGAAGGATCTGGGCGCCAGTAGTAGTTTCCAAAAATAATTATCTCACATTCCACCTTATGGAGTAGGTCACCTTTTTTAAAAAAATGTTTTTAGAATTGAGCTGTATAAAATTCAGTGGCAGTATGCAGCCCTATCTTGTGCATCTCTACTCTGAAGCAAATCTCGAATTAAATCAGCCCTACTTCCCAGTAAAGTGCACTTATATGTAGGATTTCAGGCTTGTGCTGTGTTCCTAATCACATTTTACTTGGAAGCAGAGATGCCAGTACAGTGGTACCTTGGTTTGCAACCGTTTTGGATTACAACCACAAACCCTGAAGTGTGTGTCCCTTTTTTTGGATTACAACCTTTTATTATTATTATTATTATTATTACAACCCACCTTTTTTGGAGGCCCCATTGGCGAAAGTGCGTCTTGGGTTACAACCTGTTTGGGTTTACAACCGGACCTCCGGAATGGATTATGGTTGTAAACCAAGGTATCACTTTATGGCAGAACTTTAGTGTAGAGAAGTCCAGGGCCCCACTCAGAAAAATGAGCCAGAAGGCCTCTGTATACAGCAGAACTATCTCACTGCATTTTGAAGTAAATATACATTACCATCTAAAGACAGAACTGCCATTTTACACCAGCATCTGAAATTCCCTAACTGCACCACTGCCAAGGAGTTTCACCACCAGTGGAACTAAGTACTTAGTAAACATGTTTAGAATTCCACTATTAATGTGTGTACCTAAATGAATGCTTAGCACCTCAAATTTCTAGCTTTCCTTTTCACATAGAAACTGCCCATAAAGATAAAGGGCTTCTTAGCAAGAGTGTGACTGGTCACACACAGAGCTTCAAGGCACAGTAGGTATTTAGCATGTCTCTGTACCCCAGTTGTTACAGCTGCAGAGAGTAGCCCATATGTGGTGGAATTGTAGGCAAGGTGCTTAAATGTAGAGATTAAGACCCTATGGAGGCCCAGAGCTTCTGTACCCTTGCTGGGTTTACAGAATGGCAGCAATCTCTCCCTCACCCACTTTTAGGGGAATGACAGAAACCAAGTCTCTGCACTATCACACTATCACACTTTCACATTAAGTATTGTTTTCATGAAGGAATAGAAGGGGTGATCATGCAAATTTAGAACCAACCCCTTCGTACATTTGAACCAGATTATCAATTTCAAAAACTCTGTTGACAAGCTATAATTACAGGTTTGTCCTATTATGCTATGAAGCGCCATACAACAGATTGCAACAAGCTTGGGAAATCTGATGTGACCTTTATCTGCTGAGCACTATGACATTTTTTCTGTTTACTTTACAGCAAAATAATTTCTGTTTTTCCCTACTTGGGAATTACTAGTTTGGCCACTGCCGCTTCTGCTGCTAGCAAATTGTTTTTTCCCTTCTGTGACTGCAAATTTTTCATTCTCAGCAAATATTGTTCTGGGTGCTACTGTACAGCCTATATTGTGTGCAAAGGCATACAACTTGTGTACAAAGTGAATGATTTGGACACTATGTCCATTCTTGGTATGGTATAATGATAACTGCAGCAGCCCTCTTTTTATACCATGTTTTCTATTTGTGTATTTTTATTTTTATTTTTAAAAACTACAAAAATAGAAAACTAATATACCTTCAGGTTTCTCTTTACAAAGTACCTCAATACATAGTAAGATTTTTTAATTTGATACATCTTAAAACATTGCCAGTTTTTTTCTGACAGCATAACACAACAAGAAATCCACAAGACTTTAAACATGCTTTAAAAATGACATTCAGCAATGTATGGAAAATTTAATAAATAGCATACAGTCACACACAAATACATTTTTCATACTAAATCATTAAGCCTACTTAGACTGGCAAAGAATAAATATAACAGCAATTGACAATCTTTACCTTCTCAAAAGATGGATTTCTTGATATCATTTAGTAGCAACAACAACCACTTTCTGGTCACAAAACTGGAAACTATGAATGTTTTCTCCCCACTGGTGTGTTTTGCAGCCAAAATGTGATGTAACAAAAATAAAAACCTTGAAATATACTGAATATTTCTTTTTCTTTTCTTTTTTTAAAAAAGCGCAAACTGATGCCAGGTAAACCAACTTTTTAAATACAATGAATAAATAGGAAATTAGTAAAGCAAATTCAGTTGCAGCAACAAACAACAGAAGAAAGCAAGAACCCAAAAACAGAGCAATGGAAATATTTTTTTTTAGATATTTATATATATTTCATTGCAGTATTAGAGACTAGTACTTAAAGTGATAGTGCTTGTGCACTAAGCTCTTTAGAGACCTTAACATAGTTTTAGTGCAAATCCCTTTAGACCAGACAAATTTAAACCCTATTAGGGAGAAGATCCATTAGCAGTTGGAACATATTTTCTAGAGTTATAGGTACCTATCTCAGCTTTAAAAAACACATTATATACAAGAATTAAATGCATATTTTAACTGCTTCGGATATCTATCTTCAAAGATAGATAAAAATTACTCTGAATTTTTACACCTTATTTGGTTGTACCATACTAGACCAACTTATTAAAGTCAATGTTATAAAAGCTACAAAAGATTTTTTTGCCATCAGTTTTATCTAAGTTAACTGCTGTTTGAATTTCTAAAAGAAAAAAATATATAGTGTATTGGAGAAAGTCTCTCTTCCTTCTGAAAAAGTTCAGCATGATGACAATCAGTAATTAGACAAATATATTATAAACCACAAGAGAGAAAAAGAATACTTTTTGCAATAATCAGCATATAGTATATTCAGTTAAAATTATATTGGCAAAAGTACGTTGGTTTTGATTTCAAAAAGGAATAAATATTTTGTACAAACTGGCCTGACAACCTGCAGTGAGTGGCAGGCAGACATAAGTGGTTGAGCAGTTAAGTTTCTGTTCTAAATTACACCATCATGTTAAAACTATCTGACACAAGAGGGCTTCCCATATTACCTCATTCTGCATTAATCTTTAAAGTTTGGGTAAGGGACTGGCTACAGATGCAAACCTCTGCAACACTTTAAATGCAAATGTTCAGACAAGCCTGAACATTTTGAGAGGCTCCACAAAGCTCATCTGTTGCTAGTGTGTTTCACAAATTACAAAGGTATTCTGTCTGCAGTCACTTCCTTGCACTTGCTTTAAGAATACTAATAATAGAAAAAGGAGTTTCTTTGAAAAGCCCTCAGAAGATGACCATTAAATAACCAAATAGCAACAGGTGTACATTACGTATACTGACCTGGGAAAACATTTGTTTTAGTTGCCCGTATGACAAATATTCATTCAGTCATGCACAAGAACATTTTAAGTCCCATGATTTGCCCTGGATTCTTTTTTGAAATGAAAAAACAACAACTGCTTTTTTCCTAATTATGAAGTACAAAACAATCACCAATATTGCTCCAACTTACATACATTTCCACCCACTCAAACTAGACTTAACAAAGTAGCAAAGCCTCATCATCACTAGTTTCATTTTTCAGTGCTGATTCTAAGCAAGTGTCAGGTATCTGGGCAGTATGTACAATTCCACAGCGCTCACAAGGGCCATCTCGATTACAGGACCGCATCCCATTATGTGCTGCACTGTAAGGCTGCCTAAGCCCTTGTCCTTGTTCTGAGGTGAGGTCAAGAAGAGGTCTTGAGCAGTCATTCGCATCAAAGTCTGAGGCCGCATCAGAAGCGGGAATGAGCATTTCAACATCATCATCTTCGTCTCTTCCTCCACCTACCCCATTATCAAGCTGTCTCAAAGGACTTTGGTTCTGACTGACGGGACTCGACCTCCCTAAAGTGAAGCGTACCCAACGTAACCCTTGAGTCATACGACTAAGTGCACTGGAGAACTGGTGGCGCCCTGGACTGGAACTCGGGGGTTCCACGCTCGCTGCTTCTCTTCCACCGTCCGAACTGCTGCTGATATTCTGAGCTGAGGAAGCTCCACAGACGACAGCTGCTTCGACGGCTGTTGCAGGAGGGACCTTCTGAGGCAAAGTAGCAGCAACGCCACCAACGGCACCTGCTGTGTCTCTTCGTTCAGCTTCTGTGTCTGTATCATCAGACTCTACTGAAAAAAGGTTTCGGTGAGAGCCGTTTCTTTCACCTTCTCTGCTAGCATTCGGGTTGGCAATGTCATCTCCGTCTGATGAAACCAGTGCCAGGGATCCAGAATGGCGAGATCTTGCAAAATTAAAGATTCGGTTCCAAATATTGCTTGACCGGCCCGCAATTGGAAGCCTGATAGAGGTAAATCCAAGCTGAGACCTCACTGCTAGCCTCAAATTTTCTAAAACAGAAGCCTGTGAAAACAAAGGCATGGGTAAGGCAGATGCTATGAAGAAACAACACTTTGAAAAAAAATGCAATAAGGAGCTCTCTAGATAAGCTTCATTCAATTTGGCAACATGCAAGTCTACATTCTAAGTCCTCTGACTGTTCTTCAGTTAAATACGTATGTGAGAATCATTTTTTAACAGTTGAGGACTGGGTTCGATGACAGTGCTTATGTTCTTTTTTGTTTACATTTAAATCTCTCAGAATAAAAATATGAATATATACACATGACATGTATCTAATACATTTTGTAAATTAAGCACCCATTTATAGCATTATCAAGTGAGCAAAATTACTTATACTGATCCACATTTAGGTACTCCACTAGCTTGGTTTTCCATTGATTTTGGATTCTTGCTGCTTACCAACTCCTTAAATGCTTTTGGATAAAAAAGGCAGGGCAAAATTTCCTAATGTGGAGTTTGATGATATACCCATTTTTAATTATTTTTTTAAAAAAAACCTGACTTCCAACCAAGTATGTTTTTATTCTGGTGACAATAAAAATACTTTGTACTTCAGAAAGCTATATCCAGTGACAATACAAAAACAATCTTATATGATCACACAGATTTATGACCAAGGAAGAGAAACAGCTTGCCTGTGTTTTGTGGAAAAATTAAGGGCTATCACTGAATTTCAAGCTACGGTATGAATGTGGGAATCTTAGACAAGGTTGTTAAGCGCCACCATGTGGTGTTAAAACATAGTGTGTCAACAGATGCTGTGCTGTTCACAGTAACTTTTTTTTCACAAGCATTTATCACACTGAGACTGGGATTCAAAGATCTGCAAAGAGTTTTTGTCAACTTATTGGAAGTGAGCAGAAACTGCTGCAGTAAGGCATTTGGCTAGCTAACTGATTCAGTACTTTGTGATTTTATACTTCTCATTCATAGTAATCTATTTTTAGTTAATATGAAAGTTCTTACCTGATTTGGTGAGCAAACAGGGAAGTCTTCAACTGGTGGAATTAAGCCCTGAGCAATCAACTGTCCATAGGAAGGAGGTGCTTCCCTTCTTAACAACTCAGCCTCAACTCTAGACAACTGTGTCTCAAAAGATCTATTTAAGAACATAAACAGGTTACAATTTAGTTTTCATAGATAATAAGAGTGCCACCACTGTATCAGTGATTTCTGTCTCTGTTGTTTCATTGGAGTCAAATTTTAGACTGCAGTCTCATGAGGGAAGGCATCTATCCCCTTATCCTCTAAATTGCCATGCACACTGATGGTGCTACAATAATAATTTACTAAATAACAACAACCCTAACAGTTTGATAACAACCCTCATACAATTTTACAAAAGGAAGAACTGTGCTTGCACAAAGTTGTTACCTATATATATAATATGTGAATCCAATTTGAATTACTAGTATTAATTACTTAAGTCTAATCAAACTCCTATTTGAAGGCACTGGAAGATCCCCTGAATATTTGAAGCATTCACAGCCATGCTGCTTTGTAGCTACGTACTAAGACAACTTTTTTGAATGGTAAAGAAAATGTCTAGCATTCCTTAGTAAAAGTAGCCACCCACAGACAATTGTTTAGACAGTATTTTCTGGTAAATCAGGAACAATAAAATAGCAGCTTTTCTTTTGTAATCGCAAAATCTTACCTTCGTTCAAACATTCTCAAAGAATACAGCTTACAAGTGCATCCCAGTGCAATGACAAGGAGCAGCCCACAAATAAGACTTCCAATGACAGCAGCAGTTATTACTCTGGTGGGTACAATAACTGGGCAATTCTCTTCATCACTACCATCGCCACAATCATCTTGGGAATCGCAAACCCAGCTTTCAAACACACACCGATTATTTTTGCAGTGGAAATTTCCTGGCTGGCAAAAGAAGCAATTCTTTTCATCCGAGCCATTGGGGCAGTGGTTCTGGTAGTTGCAGCGATCGGAGCGTGGATAGCAGGCACCATTACGAGAGCAAGGAAATTCTTCCTTTTGGCACATAGTGCAGTTTGTTTCATCTCTTCCGTTTGGACAATGCCAATAGCCATCACAGCGCTGCTGCTCTGTGTAACAGCCCCAGTTTCCACCACATGGAATTTCCCATGGCAGACAGAAGCCATCAACCTGATAGGTAGCATTAAATCCTCTTGCTGCATTCACTTTGTCAGCGCAAAAATGCACTCTGATTTGACCGGAAGAAGAAACAACTGTAAGAGGGGCATGAGAGTCAAAAGCAGTTAAAACACGCAATAGCTTGCGTGGATTCTCCTCTAAACCGTCATATATTTTGACATAGTCCCCATATCCGGTACCATCAAGCTTAAAGTCAGTGAAACGCAAAATAACTTTGCGGTGGTCCCCAGTGTCTATCAGCCATGTGCAGTTGCTCCCTGGAGGATAAAAGTCTGGATAATTGGGAGAATTGAAAGTACCATAAAAATATTTCAGCAACTGTCCACATGTTGGCACGCCACAGTCTATTTCATCTCCCAAGTCAAGACAGTCAAGGTTTCCATCACATTTTGAGGATTCTGGAATGCAAGTGTAAACATTGAAACGAGACAGACACTGGAACTGGTTGTATGCACATGGCTGGAAGGAAGCAGCAGTTGGAGGACTAGCTTTGGCACAGATTTCTTCATCAGAGTTGTCTCCACATTCATCCATGTCATTGCATTTCCAAGATTCTGGAATACATTTCCCATTAGCACAATGGAATTGGTTACAGTCGCAGCTTGGTTCGCTGGATTTCCCTAAAAATGAACATTAAAGAAATTATTATATGCCCACTTCTACACTTACTTGTTTATCTTACAATAATAATAATATCCTACTTATCTGACTGGGTTGCCCCAGCCACTCTGGGTAGCTTCCAACATAAAAAAACACAACAAAGCATTAAACATTTAAAACTTCCTGATACAGGGCTGCCTTCAGATGTCTTGGAAAGTTTTGCAGCTGTTTATGTTTGACATCTGATGGGAGGGTGTTCCATGTGGTGGGTGTCACTACCGAGAAGGCCCTCTGCCCGGTTCCCTGTAACTTTACTTCTCGCAGTGAAGGAACTGCCAGAAAGCCTTCAGAAAGTGGACCTCTCTGTCTGGGCTGAACGATGGGGACAAAGACACTCCTTCAGGTATACAGAGACAAGGCTGTTTGGGACAACACTAAGACTTTGAATTGTGCTCTGAAATGTACTGGGACCCAATACAGATGCCCCCCCCAGATGTTACTTGACTGTTAACTCCCATCAGCCCCAGCCAGGACTGGCCAGTTCTCTGGGATGGTGTGAGCTGCAGCACATCAACTTTGGGAGGGCACTATGTTGGCTAGCCCTGCACTAATCAATAAAAATCAGTCAGCTGGAAATAGTATTTTAACAGTTTATCTGGAATATGAGCTATTCTGGTATAAAAAAAACACACAGTTTGAGCAGCTCCATACGGTTTTATTTAGGACCACAATACCCCAAGGACGGCCTCTCCCTATGTGAACCAACCCAGACTCTGTGATCATCATCCAAGTCCCTTCTTTGTGTGCCTCCTTCATGAGAGGTCCAGAGGGTGGTCCAGAACAGGCCTTTTTGGCGATGGCTCCCCATTTATGGAATACTCTCCCCAGTGAGGTTTGTCTGGCAGCTTCATTATGCTGTACATCTTTAGGCACTAGGTGAAAATGTTGCTCTATAACCAGGCCTTTGGCTGATTAACATTTTGTACTCCATAACATGTTTGCATGTTCTATCATGTATGAAGAGTGCATGAAAATGTATAACATGTTCCATCAAGAGTGAGGGATCTACTGCATAAAATTTGGCGTGTCTCTCTAGATAGTTGTTTGGAGGACTCGGTTCATTTTCTGAGCTTTAGAACAGTTATCAATATTTTCAATATACCTACTACAAATGCCTTAAGTAGTGTTTCAAATGTCTCTACAATAGGTCTGAAATGGCAACGTCTGGATGTTAGCAACTGCAGTCCTACTTTCTACATTTTCTAAAATAAAAAGAATATTAATAACCATCATCTCTTACTTAAGCTTCCATTAATCGATGCACTGTGGTTTCTTTAAAACAACAACAACAACAACAACAAGACTGAAAAGACTGGCCCCCAAATCTAGAAAATGTTTAATTACAACATTTAAAGTTTACCTGCAAAATAAGTCAGTCTGAATCCTTTTCGTGATATACTATCATCTGAATGAAATCTGACCCAAACATGGTCCTGTGAAGATATATATGGAGATGGAATAGAAGACCCACACACCCTATAATTTTCCATGTTTTTGTATGCCCCTATCGTCAGGGAATCTGAACTGCATCGCCGTGATCCTTGAACATCAAAATCCTGAAAACTACACAAGGTAAATAATGAGTTATATTTCTTTTTTGTTGCTGTTAAATATTAGTATAATCCCTTAACAAACAACTATTTAATATACATATCCTTAAATTTCTGACAGACATTAAGTTCAACAAGACCTAATTTTTACCTCCCCAATTGGAAAAAATACATTTCAAAACCTTAAGAGTTTTTAATCCAGAACAGATAAATATTATCAATTATTTCTAGATATGAACTACTGATATGATACATCTATTACATCTATTAGGAAGATTCTTTTCTCTCTTTCTCAGCCTCTTGCTTTCCACTAAAATCAGAGCCAATGAACAGACGTTTTAACCTTTTCTCATATATACATCTTTTTTTTGGTGCCCTTTTCCTAAATGGCAAGCTGAAACACTATTGTCAAATACCAGATTTCATATCATAAATTCTATAGCAAGTTGCATGCTTCCACAGGCACAAGAGGTTACAAGTGAAAGAACATATTACAATTTAGCTTCTATTTGCATTTGTTTTATTTCTTCCAGTGCTATTTTTCTAAAAAATGAGGAGCCAGAACTCACGATGCATGCCTCCCTTTTTCTCTTGTAATGGCAATGGTGCCTACCTAAGAGGTGCTGGAACTGGGTTCCACTGAGTTCTGGCTGAAACAAAGCCCTGTTAACTTCCAAGTATTTATACTCTGCTCTTGAACCCTGAAAGGAACTTCCAAGTTGCTGCTAGCAAAACCAACAATGCAAAAGCTTCTGTGCTACTTTAACTAGGAGGTTACTGCAGCACTTACATGCATGGAAGACACCTCCTGTATTCCTAAAGGCACTTTTGGATCCAACCTAGAGAAACTACTTCCACAAGGAATTTTAACCTTGATGTTTTCAAATAGAAGAGGTGGCACAAACAAACTGTTGTGTTTTGTTTGTTAGCTTGTTTTGAAAAAGAGGACTTTCAAAAGCAGTTTGTGACTGCATGGGGATTGACTTTTTCATGAGAAAGAAGTCACAAGTTCACAAGGCTAGTAAAAGTCCTTGCATGAGCCTAAGCAACCTTTTTTGGATCCTGCCATAAGTTTGTATATAGGAAACATAAATTTCCTAAACTTTCGGATCATATAAAGTACAGTGGTACCTCGGGTTAAGTACTTAATTCGTTCCAGAGGTCTGTCTTAACCTGAAACTGTTCTTAACCTGAAGCACCACTTTAGCTAATGGGGCCTCCTGCTGCTGCTGCGCCGCTGGAGCACAATTTCTGTTCTCATCCTGAAACAACGTTCTTAACCCGAGGTACTATTTCTGGGTTAGCGGAGTCTGTAACCTGAAGCGTATGTAACCTGAAGCGTATGTAACCCGAGGTACCACTGTATTCCCTATAGAACCTAGTATGTAAAATTCAATGAAATGCTCCCAGACACCCATAACCAAATTTTAGTTTTAAGATCTGACACCCAGGCATAATTTAGCGCTGCTATATATCTGGCTATTTAATTCAAGAAAGTCAAGAAGTAGAATAAAGTTAGAAAATGGAATGCTTTAATCAAGGCATTTACTAGGACTAAATTTACATTTAGTAAAACATGTAAAGATTTTTTTAGACAATTGCTTACATTTTCCACAATATATTTATAAAGTACAGCACCCAAATTACCTTATTGTAATAATTTCACCTGGGTTTGCTCGGATATACCAGCTACAATTCAATCTTGGTGGATATTCAAGAGGCCAACCTGGGCTAGTGATGATCCCACTTGGACCTTTAATTTGTTCTGGGATATCTCCACAAGCTGAAAAATATATAAATTGATGTCTTTAGTTATAGATGCATTTTTGCAGATTTACAAACAGTTCCAAAAGTTTAGTGCAAGAACACACCATTCCTTGGAAGATGGGTTCATCTGAATGAAGATGCAAAACACTGTTGTTATATAACACAAATTAAATCAAAACCAATCATTTCTTTTTTTAAAAAAAGAAGAGGTTTATGAGCAGCTGGATCATGTGGCAAAGCATTGCAATGATATCTTTTTCCAAAGTATATTTATAGATTTGAATAATTATTCATGCACTTATTCTGCAGAAAAATCCAACACACAGTGTCAGGGAACTGCCATCGGACGGAAGGGAGGTGAAAGGGCTCACACAGGTTGGGAGAGACGCAGCAGCTGAAGAGGAAACCAACAGGGAGGTGAAAGGGCTCACACAGGTTGGGAGAGACGCAGCAGCTGATGAGGGAACCAGCAGGGGGAGAGGAGCTGAGCTGGAGGGATGGCTCAGAGACACTTCCAGCGAAAACAGTGGAGAGGTTTCAGGACCTCCTGTAAGAACACCCACTCCTCGCCGGAAACTGTCACGCAGAGATTCCAGAAGACGTGTTTCCGTTAAGGAGCTTTTATGTTGGAAGCGATTACGAAAGCAACCACTGTCGGAATCTGCTAGTGACTAGAGTAGCCATGTCTGAGGGGCTCTGTCACAGACAGAGGTTTGTGGACTTGAACAAACTCTGAGGGGATACGATTTTACGCACAAGCAGCTCATCATCCCATCACACACAGTATATGGATGCCTGTATTATAAAGAGCAGAAAGTAAAATGGGCAAAAATCAGCCATGACAAGTATACAAAATGAATACAACCGCAGCAGCTTGCAAACACTTGGAAAACCATATATGCCTGCTTCTTCCACAAATGACAGAAAATATACCAATGCAGGAAAGGTGTTGTATATAAAGGGAACAATCTGCAAGTAAATAAAATATTGACACAATGGGCGACTTTACGGTTTTCCATTATGAAGAATTATTTTGTTATCTGCAAGAAAATAAAAATGGCTTCTGCTTAATAAAATATGACAATTCTCAAAAATGGGGAAAAAGCAAGCCTCAAAATTTAAAAGTCAGATTTTCCATCAGTTCAGCAGTAGTGATAGGGTTTTACAGAAGATTTATTGTTTTCGTTTAGTCACCCATTAGGTGGTGCTCTTATTCCATTACTCTTTGGAATTCTACATTCATAGAACTGAATGTAAACAAAGTGACCTCCTACTTGAGATTCATGTTATAAGACAAAGCAGATAAATATTGCAAAAACAAAAAAGGCAGAATATCAACATTTATATATGTAAATGTCAATGCATGACACTCAAAATGTTTCCCTTTTAAAAAAAAAGTCATGGAGTTATGTTTTTAAAACTGAACATACATTATAAAAGCTAACTCATTAAAAAAAAAATCTCAAACACAGAAAAGCAGGATTCTTCTTCATGGCAAATACATTTATAAAACAATACAAGAGTTATTACTGCAGATGCTGGGGTGGGGAGCAGAGGCCAAGTGGCTTTCCTAGTCTACTTAATGAATATGGAAGACACACAAGTCAATCTGGGACTTCATGACTTGCAGTTCAGTCTCTCAGCCAGCTCTATCAATTAGAATTTAACTTAATTGGAAAAGGCTCAGCACTTTGATTTAACAGACCTCTAAAGTTACTACAGCCAATTCTGAAACCTGGCAGAATCTTTATGGTTTTGGAGCAGCTCTCTGAGCATTTTGGTTGCCCTTTTCTGCATCTTTCCAGCTCTGCAATACCCTTTTTGGATATTCACTCAGCTACCCACAGTGACGCAAGATCCCTTTCTTAGTCAGTCACTGCCAGCTCAGACCACATCAGCATATGTGAAACTAGAGGCTGCATCCCTGCCTGCTCCACTTGCCAACCCCACCTACCCCCTGCTCCTCTTCCAACTCTCCACCATTTACACCAGGGGTAGGCAAAGTAAGGCCCGGGGGCCAGATGCAGTCCAATCACCTTCTCAATCCAGCCCACGGACAGTCCAGGAATCAGTGTGTTTTTACATGAGTAGAATGTGTCCTTTTATTGAAAATGCATCTCTGGGTTATTTGTGAGGCCTGCCTGGTGTTTTCACATTAGTAGAATGTGTGCTTTTATTTCAACTGCATCTCTGGGTAATTTGTGGGGCATAGGAATTCGTTCACCCCCCCCCCCCAAATATATAGTCCGGCCCACCACATGGTCTGAGGGACGGTGGACCGGCCCATGGCTGAAAAAGGTTGCTGACCCCTGATTTACACCTCTCCTCAACCTCTCCTCTTTCCACTCCTGGTTCCTTTTCCCTCATTAAACAACTTGCCCGTGCTGGGCTGCCATTACTAACGCTGCAGTTAGCATGGCTGCCTACTGGCAGCCACACCAACAAGAGCATGGTGACATTTTACATTCTTAAGTATATAGCTAGATTAGGAAATTTCCTGCCTGCCTCCCTCCCAAAGCCTAGTAAGCACTGGGCTTTGGGAAAGAGGTGCAAGGGCTCGACAGAGTCCTAGAGTCCTCCCTCCTCCTTCCCAAAGCCTAGTTAGAACTCGCTCAGCACTTGCCCCCAAGCAATGTGTGTCAAAATTTGGCTGTGCACAGGGCACAGTATTACCAAGGTCTGCCCCTACCTCAGCTGTATAATGTTCCCTGAGTCACACATCCACATACGCACGACACTCTCAAAGAATTCTAATAGGTTAGTGAGACAGGACTTATTTTCCTACATACTTTGTAATTTTACCATCAGTAATGCTATGCATCAGTTTATCCAGAACAAGATATTAACCTAATATGTGTATAATTTCCTAGATCCTCTTTTACTTGCGAAAGACTTCCATTTTCTAAGGAAGCCTTCTTTGTCAAATAGCTTCCTTGATTCTGCTTCTTAACCACAATGGCATATTGGATTGGGTGGTACCCTTCTTAATCGGCAGTACAGCTGAGCTTCTATTATTGTAGTTTTAAATAACCTCCAAGCTTTCTGGAAGTCATACAATACCACAACAACAGTTCAGCATTTCACCAGGCTGGAAAAGGCTGTAAACAGCAGGTATTACCAGCACTGGTTAGAGCGTAGTGGTGATAATGCCAAGGTCACAGGTTCGATCTTGTAAGGGCCAGCTGCGTACTCCTACATTGCAGAGCATTGGGACTACATGATCCTTGGGATCCCTTCCAACTCTGTGATTCTATTTATGTAAGAACTCAGCTGATTTTTAAAGTTAGGACTGTCTTTCCCTCTTGCACCCCACTATGATCTCTAAAGCTCAACCTACTTTTCAGGTGTACAGTATATGCAGACCCTGCTGAAATAGCTTGTGCTTTTTTTGCCTGATAGTGATGCTACCCCGGTTTTGTGGTTGGTTCAAATCCCCACTCAGCCATGAAGCTCAATGGATGACCTTGGACTAGTCACTCATTCTCACTTTCCTCACAAGGTTGCTGTGAGGATATACCGTAATGAAGGATGGGGAAGCATGTGCACTGCCAGAGAGGAAAGGTAGTATATAAATGTAGTTAAATAAATATCTTATGAATGTAAATAGAATTCTAGGAAGTGCTCGGGATGAAACTGCAACAACAGAATTTAAATCACTGCAGCTATTCTTTTCCTAGGGTCAAACTGCATGTACATACAAAACAACAGTTATTTGTTATATTATGTTTCCAAGACAAGGGAGCTTAAGAAAGACGTGATTTTTTTTCTTACTGCTTCTTGTGTCATGATGACACCCTTGGAAGACACCTTCACTGACAACTTCCTTCTGTTTTGTAAAATATTAACTTCAAAAGTGTGAATGATAAAGGCTGGGTTAATTACTGAACTCACAAAGAACTGCCAATGCAGTTATAGATAAGAAATTTAAATCTCCGTGTGATCTTTACTGCTGTGCTTATAAGAGAATTCACATAAGGATTTTAGAAAATCAGACTTGCATATGCAATCTGCAAAAGACGCACACCAAAGACCAATTTATCTTACATAATGTGCAACTAAAGTAGTGTAATTATAACAACTAGAATGCAATATATGCCGACAAAGACAGCTCACAAACCATACAATTCCTTAAAATAATATAATTATTTTATTTAGAAAAAATTATTATGTAAGAAATCTTACAATGGCTAGGATGCAGACCCAGACATACATATGCCTCAAGCACACAATAATTTAGACTTTGCTTCTGGCTACATTCCCTCACACTCTTGTCAAATGCAGAAATGGTATCTTGACCCTCATGGCTGGCTTTTGGGAGCTTGAGGGGAGGGAGGCCAAAAGGCATCAATGAACCTAGAAGCAACCCTGCAGTTCTTTGAATTTCATCCAACATTAACCAACATCATTATTCATGCTTTATAGGTTGTTTACAATGCAACAAACAAATCAATAGAACAGGGAGCTGAAGGTGCCATTTCCCCAGATGGGCAAGGTCTAAATAATAATAAATTATTATTATTATTATTATTATTATTATTATTATTATTGAAATTGGTGGAAGCTTAAACTTTTAATTGTACATTTTTGAAAATAAACTAGGCCTCCAGCAGGCTTCGTAACTGCAATGGAATAAATTTATAACAGTTTGACACTGCTCCTTTATTACGAGATCTGTTGAGGAAGTTTTTGTGTTGTATGATTGCTATGCTGTTGATTATGTTGTAAACTGCTTTCTGGTGAAGGGTGACACCTAAATTTGTTAAGAAAGGAAGAAAATTTGTGGTATGTTATTATAGTAAAAGAGCCACTGGCCTTCCCAAAGGTTAAATACAAAACTTTTTGAGCTTTGGAGATATAACACACACACACACACACACACACGCAAAAACACGACCTGCAATAAAATGTTGTCGTGTGTAGTGCTTTTTTTCAGGGTTTCAGTCAGCCAGCTATTCCATTCCCCACCCACAAGACATTCCGTGTTCTGCAGTCCCTAAGCATCCTTCGTCCTCACTGGGCTGCTTTTGGTGTTAACCTCATTAGGGTTTTTACCTTCATTTTGTACTTCTGTTCCCAAAGCCAGTCAGCTGATACCTGCCTCTTGTGGTGCGGGGTGCAGTTTTGGCTAGATAAAGACTGGCTCTTGGAGAACCTTTGCTTTTTTGCATTTGTCTGTAGCCAGAGAATACCCTTAACAAGCAGTCTTAAAGACTCGTTTCTTTTCTCTGGCCTTTGGGGGTGAATTCAAGATGCTAGACGTCAGGTTGAAGCTTTAAATTGGCTTTTCCACCTTATGCTGGTTTCATATTTTGCTCCACACACACCCCAGACCACATTCTTCAGGAGGGCCAGCCCTGCCCCTCCAAAGAGAATATTCCAGAGTCACAGGTGACTGCAGAGGAGAGGAAAGGGACAATATTGTTTTTTCAACTTCCACCCCACCAAAGCTCCTTACAATAACTAATCTTAGGAGCCAAGCAATTCTTTAGTATGTGCTTGCAGTATGTACAGCATACAAAGGTTCTGACCTTCAGCCATCTATCTATTCAATCCACTTGTTTTCCTGCTGGCAAAGAAGAGACGCAAGCCATAAGGATTCTGCCAGTGTTCCATTAGTGTCACGTGAGATTACTCATGGTATAAACTGTGTAATCAGGTGAACCGCAGTTTCAGATGCTGCTTCAAGTCTTATCAAACAAAATGTGTAATAAAGCTGCTTGGGTTATTGATACTTTTAAAATAATCTTTCAATAAATTTCATTTCACAAAACTTTAATGTAGGAAAAATCAAGTTAGGCCAACTTTTCTCTTTAATGTCTGTATGGTGAAATAATTAAGCATTAGAAAGGAATAATCTGTTCATGAGCATGGAAGTATCAAATTTATCTTATGAAAATGTGTCCATGTTCCAGTTGCTTCATTCCTTATTACATGCTGCAAAAGGCAGTAATAATTTTTATAGCCAAATATCTCTTCATAAGATACCAGGTGGCTTTCAATATTTACTATTTAAGTCATGCATGAAATTTAAACATTACAAAAAAAAATGACTTACCAGTTGAGATTCCTGAAATATGCACATTTTCAGAACGTTCTGCAAGAGCACTGTTTCCTAAAATTAAACATAATGAATAAACTAATTTCCAAGATAAAATTTGTAAAAATTCTTCAGATATAGTACTACAGAAAAGAAAAAGAACAAAAACCAAGCTACTTTTAATATTCAAATACTTTACATCCAAAGGCTTCTTCCACTACATTTTTAAATGAAGAATAAAGCCAGGCCCGGAGGGGGCGGGGAGGAAGAGCATAAAACGATTATACAATCAAGACACAAATGGCTTCTTTGTCACACAGTGAGCAAGCTAAATGGAGAACCTAGGCAGCTTCAGAGCTTGATTACCTCCTAAAAGATTTTAAGGGAATTAAGATGTATTAGTCCAGTAGTTTCTTCTTCCAGTTCTCTTCAAGACTTTTTCTAATTCTGTTCCCCTCCCATCTAATAACAGAGGTTAGCAGAGTGAGTTAAATAAAGATAACAGAAGGGGGTGCGGAGAACCTCAGTAACCAAAAAGGCCCCCTCCAGCACAGTGAAACAACCACAATGTACTTTATTACAGGGCCAGCAAACATGCAGCATTTGCTATGTAGAAAAGTAGTATTAAATCACTTAATATGGTGGTAACCAATACATATGCAGTTGCCTATTTGCACTCTCTACTTTCCAGGATCACGTCTTCACTTGGGTGATAGCCAGAACATGCATTTGTTTGTTCGTTTAACTCAACAGTTTTGGAATAGTGGTATCTAAGGGTGCACTATGAAACATCATGGCTGATGCGGAGAAAGGGGAGATGCAGCCCAACCCCATGCCTGTTTCTTGGGGTCAAATTCCCCGAGTTCAGTGAGAAGCAGGGCTTTTTTTCAGCCGGAACTCACTAGAACTTGGTTCTAGCACCTCTGAGGTGGGTCCCATGGTCATTATAAGAGAACATGTTCATGGTGAGTTCCAGCACCTCTTTTTCTAGAAAAACAGCACTGGTGATGAGTACCCCCAAAGTTACTCTGCACAGAATTACAGCCTCAGTAATTCCGGTTCTTATCTTCCAGCCTGTTTAAGCTGCATTTTTTTCTGCATATTGTTGTTTAAATATTTATTAATTTTTATTTCATATATTACTGTGTCTTAATAAGAGCCTGAGACTTTGGTGGACCATCAGCATAAATAATAATAAAAAAATACATAGGCTAGGCTGACAGATGAACTGGTCACCCAGTGAGGCTCACGGCTGCATGTCGATATGAACCCTGGTCTCCCAGGACTTAATCCAACTCTTTAACCACCACATCACACTGCCTATAATAATAACTCAATAAGACTCCCAGACATAATCTTTGAAGATCCCCTTTTACTGTGTGGAGTGCAGTGTGCTCCAGGACACAATTTCCATCCATCATTTATCTTTTGTAATGTTACCACAGAATCATGGAATCATGGAAGTGTAGAGTTGGAAGGGACCCTGAGGATCATCTAATTCAACCCACTGCAATGCAGGAATATGCAGCTGTCACACACAGGGATCAAACCTACAACCTTGGCATTATCAGCACCACACTCTAACCAACTGCTCGGTCATTTAATGATACTTTCTACCAGTTTTCTACAGACAGACATTACGCTAACCCACTTGTAATTTCCAGGATCCCTCCCAGAGAACTCATGCTTCTCCTGCTCTTTTCCGCTGTAAAAAGCAGAGCCAGATTCCCTTACCTTAGTGTGTTCTGATAGTAGAACCAGTAATCAGGACTGACACTTTTAGGGGATGCTTTCCTTCCCTCTCATTGTTTATTCACTAAAAGCAGAACAGGTTGAGTGTCCCATGTGCTATCAGGCAGAAGAGGGCCTATAATGGGGCGACCCACACACAATATTTCACTTCTCACTATTCCTAATTACAGAAGGGTCTCCCACATTTAAGGGCTACTTGGAAATGAACACAGAAATTTGGCTAAAGCAAGTACCACGAACATTGTGTTACAGTTTCTGTATTTCACACAGTTACTGATACACAAGAGACAAACAAGACTCTTTTTGAGTCTCAGAAAGAAGTGAGGTCACCTACAGATCTAAATAAAGTAGTAAACTGGTACTGTCGATTTTCCATTAAACCTAACTTTTTTTCTTAACAAACAAAACTGTTTTGACCCACCTTCATTCTGACAGACTTCACTCCAAATAAGTATGCGACTATACTTAGCACACTTGCAAAAAAAATTACTTGGCTGATTCATAAAAAAGATGTATTTTCCATAAAAATTATGAATTTTATGGCATTCATATCCAAGAGCGTTCCAACTACCGACACACATTTTAATACCTGCAATGCACAACTTGGTTGATTACATCTAATGGACAGAATCCAATATAAAAATAGGACAGGAAATGTGCCAACAGGGGGGCTTTTAGACAGAAACAAACCACTGCATTTGGAAGAATAATCTAGAGCTAAAATTCAGCAAAGGAATTACACTAAATAAGCACTAATGCCGAAAGAGATCTAGAAATAAAATAATCTTATGTAATATCATTGTGGGACAATATGTGACATGATTTTTGGCTTGCATGAACTTATTCATATTGCAGATTAAAGACAAGGATATTAGACTGGAAAACTTTCATAATTCATACATGTAGGTAAATCATCAGAAGGATGTCAAGCAAATTAAGTGCAGTGTGAAAGTGAAACCACTGCAAACATCAGCTACCAAAAAATAGCAGACTTATAGACAATATCACAAACCAACATCAGGAAACAAATTCATAAAACTTCTACTGGGTACAAAATGGGTACCACTATCTATACTATTATTAAATAGAAACAAGGATTCAGAAATCTGTTCAAATAAAATTAGCATAAGCCAGAAAGAAACCAAATAAACCCCAGATACACATTTCTTAGTAAACTATTTTCAGAAGTAGCAATTGTGAATTTTTAGAAGAGAATGTCTGCCAAAATCGAACAGCACAGCTGGAAAATATTTGTTCCAAGTAGATTGTTGACAATAATCTATTGGCATATTTATCTATCACTCTTCATTGAAAATTTCGAGGTAGTTTACAACCATCACCATAAACACCAATATAAATTAAACCAGAAAATTTAAAAATCCGTAGAAAACCAGAAATACTAAAAGCTAGACAATAGAAAGTTGCAAATACTTGAGTAAAATAAGTCTTCAGTGAGGTATTGGTACCTGTCTGGCATCTAGGAGGGAAATGATTCCAAAGACTGGGTGCCACTATAGAGAAGGTCCTGCCTTTGGTTGCTACTTGACTCAGTAACAAGTGCTATGATAGTCCAATGCGTTAAGCTATGGCATCATATCCTTGTGGCTGGATGCTCCAATCAGCCTAGCCACTAAGTTCTGCACCAGCTACAGATCCTGGACCAATGTCAATGGAAGCCCCATACAGGGCACAGAGCAATAATTCAAATAATAATTCAAATAATAATTCAATAATTCAAACTTGAGGTTACCAATGCATAAGTTATCATGGCCAGGAACTGCCACTGGTTTCAAAAAGGCATAGAAAGTGTAGCAACGTATATATTTCTAGCTCAGTTCACTAAGCTGTTCTTCAGCAGCAAAGCTGAGCAGCTCAGGAAGGGCTTGCCAGCTTCCTATGCTTGTGCTGGCATTGTATTTTAGCATTAAACTGGAAGTGCAGAAGGAAGTACTAACAAATGTAGTCATGACAATACAGTGGTACCTCAGGTTACGAACTTAAGTCGTTCCGGAGGTCCGTTCTTAACCTGAGGGGCGCTTTCGCTAATGGGGCCTCCCGCTGCCGTACGATATCCGTTCTCATCCTGGAGCCAAGTTCTTAACCAGAGGTACTACTTCGGGGTTAGCGGGGTTTCTAACCCAAAGCGTTTGTAACCCGAAGTACCACTGTATCGGCATTCTCTCATGCCACCCACAATTTTCCTTGTCTCCCAAATCATAAACCGAAGTCAGAATCTATTCCTCATATTATAGAATTAATGCATTAGGGACATTTTTCCACAGAAACTTGTACATTCAAGAATCCTAGAAAAAACAAAAAAATCTAAAAATGAATTTTGCTGTCGAAGTGTATACAGCTGCCCATTATGAGGGCAATATCTACTTCAAACATTTTAAATTCTATAAAAATCTGCATTATGCAATTTTAAAAGAAAAAAACTATGAGTTTTATTCTAAACAAAACTGATCTAATACTTGTTTGAAGTTACTTGAAGTTTGATCTATTACTTGCTTGTCAAAAGAACTGAACAAAACTACATATTTTATTAAGAACACTACAGACTCTGCTTTACTGGTAGGTTTGCTTGAAACAGCTTTGCTAAAACAACTGTTTAAAAGAAAATCCTCATGAGCCACACTGGCCAGATGTTTTATCTGGAATAATATCAGGGTTCGACTGTAGCTCAGTAGTAGAGCTTTGCATGGAGCAGGGTCTAGGTGTAATTTGCCCCAGCATCTCCCATTACGGCTGGAAGTAAACCCTATCAGAAATCCTTGAGAGCCACAGCTAGTCAATGTACACAATGTTGAATTAGATCAGTGTTTCCCAAAGTGGATGATACTGCCTCCTGGGGGGGGGGGGGACTGAAACATTTCAGGGGGCAGTAGTATCCTCAGGTGCAATAGGGGGCATTGAATAAAAATAAGGGGGAAGTGAAAGTATAGTTTTGAAAAACTGTTCGCACATGTTTCATCTTCCAGGGGGGCCCTGACGTTTTTTTTCTGAAAAGGGGGCAGTAGGCCAAATAAGATTGGGAACTAGATGGACTAATGGACTGACTCTGTGTAAGGCAGAATTGTATTTGGAAACATTGGAAACTTAAAACTGTTTTTTTCCATCTCCTGGACATTTTTATTATTTTGTTATAGTTGCAACCTTGTTGTTTTTGTTGTTGCAATGATATTGTACCCCCTTCCCTTTGTATATTTAAAGGTAAAAGTAAAGGGACCCCTGACCGTTAGGTCCAGTCGCGGACGACTCTGGGGTTGCGGCACTCATCTCGCTTTACTGGCCAAGGGAGCTGGCGTACAGCTTCCAGGTCATGTGGCCAGCATGACTAAGCCGCTTCTGGTGAACCAGAGCAGCGCACGGAAACGCCGTTTACCTTCCCGCCGGAGCAGTACCTATTTATCTACTTGCACTTCGTGCTTTCGAACTGCTAGGTTGGCAGGAGCAAGGACCGAGCAACAGGAGCTCACGTCGCAGGGATTCGAACCACCAACCTTCTGATCGGCAAGCCCTAGGCTCTGTGGTTTAACCCACAGCACCACCCGCGTATATTTGCAAGGCTTTAATTTATTTTCCCTTGTATTTTACTTACCATTATGAAAATCAATAAATAGCTAATTAATGTAAAGAATACAAAAAAATAGTATTTGTCAAGCTTGCAGTTGAAAAACATGCTATCAGCAAGAGTCACTTTTTAAAACTGCTAATCAGTTAAGAGTTCTGAGAGTTTTTATTCTTAAATGTGTGTGTGGTGAGAGAGGATTCATCATCTGGAATCAAATCAGCAAGTTTTGATTACTTTAGTTTGCTGTGTGCCAAGAAGACTAGACTGCACAGCTTCCTCTAGGCAATCCTTTATCAGCTACTTCAAAGCATTCTCCAAGAATCAAAGCAGAAGTATGAGCATCTGACTTTGTATAGCTAGTTTCTGAAGATGAATTTCTAGTTCTCAGCAACAAGTTTTTCACTGCTTTTCCTAAGTAATTTGATAAGTATTGTATAGATGTATTCAGATGTGTTTAAGGTAGCACACACACAATTGTTGGAAATTTCCATTCCACCTTTAGTTGCAGACATGGAACAGTTACGTGTCACATAGAATCATAGAATCATAGAGTTGGAAGAGACCACAAGGGCCATCGAGTCCAACCCCCTGCCAAGCAGGAAACACCATCAGAGCACTCCTGACATATGGTTGTCAAGCCTCTGCTTAAAGACCTCCAAAGAAGGAGACTCCACCACACTCCTTGGCAGCAAATTCCACTGTCGAACAGCTCTTACTGTCAGGAAGTTCTTCCTCATGTTTAGGTGGAATCTTCTTTCTTGTAGTTTGGATCCATTGCTCCGTGTCCGCTTCTCTGGAGCAGCAGAAAACAACCTTTCTCCCTCCTCTATGTGACATCCTTTTATATATTTGAACATGGCTATCATATCACCCCTTAACCTCCTCTTCTCCAGGCTAAACATGCCCAGCTCCTTAGCCGTTCCTCATAAGGCATCGTTTCCAGGCCTTTGACCATTTTGGTTGCCCTCCTCTGGACACGTTCCAGTTTGTCAGTGTCCTTCTTGAACTGTGGTGCCCAGAACTGGACACAGTACTCCAGGTGAGGTCTGACCAGAGCAGAATACAGTGGCGCTATTACTTCCCTTGATCTAGATGCTATACTCCTATTGATGCAGCCCAGAATTGCATTGGCTTTTTTAGCTGCCGCATGTCTGTTTACATTCCAAAACAGTTTGCTGGGAACTTCCGTTGTGTATGGCTTTTGCTTTTGCCTCTCTCTCTGAGGAAACGGAAAGAGAGATGACATATTTATTTTGTCCTGATTTATGCTTAATAAATCCATAGCTTGTTAGTATGTTTCCACAAGCCTTTCGCCTCTTGCCTCTTCTGTTTGTGCAGTATGCTCTGCCGATATAGTGTGCTCAGGCTTTGAGGTCTGAGTCGCTGATTTACGTTGCACCAGAGGTCGGGGGTTCGTCACGGCTGGAAGGGCATGATCCAGCTGGGGGCTAGCCAGCTGGCATCTTGACCCCCCGAAGGATTGGAACCATTGGAAAGGCTACAGAGAGTGACCAATAGGGAAAGTAATGTGAGGCTCAGAAAGCAGTTTGGAGCTGTACAGGTACTGACTAACACCTTGTATGCTGCCAAATGCTATGTAAGCTATAGTGGTGGTCATGTTCATGTTATGTTAAACCATGGCTTACTGAGATGTGGACAAGCAAGAACAAGCCACAGCATGTCTCAAGCTCACATGCACCTACACTTCCACTCCCCTATTTCAGGATGACAACTTCAGCAGAAGTGAATTTCAGTTTCCCTGAATCTCACCTTGTCTACAGTGGTTTATTCCTAGCTATAGCCAGTTTCCAAAACTGAAATTAGGTATTGTGAGGGATAACCTATGAACCCTGTTCCACATGACAAAGAAAGTCCAAGTGAGTGAAACTAAAAGTAAACACTGCTGAAGACTTCCTCCCATCTGTGCAGGAAGTGGAGGGAGCTGAGCGTTCACGAGTCTGAGGTTTGCTACAGATCCTTCCTGCTGAACGTTTTGCTAAACCATGGTTTACTGTGACATGTGAATGCAACATTTTATGAATAAAATAAATGTTCATGTTGTACTGGAATGGTCTGTTATGTTCCTCACAAACCTCTGGGAAGTAGGTTTTCCACGGGAATTATTTTCTTAACAGACAACTTTAAAAGGCTCCAGAGTTTTATGTATTGAGTATGTATGTTCCTGAACACAGCATTTATTCTAATTAGTAACTATAGACAATGACTAAAGACTAGATGGATGAACTACCATTATGCAACAGCTTTTTGAAGCTAAAGAAATTTTACTTTTTTAAAATACAGATTTTCATTGCCATTACACTTGAAAGTACAGTCCCCATATCACACTCTGTCTCTTGCACACATGCAGACACTCATGAAACACAACCACTCACAGAAACACACACACACCTCAAATATGTCTTTCTCCCTCTCTCTCACAGACCACATTCATAAATTCTCATTCCTCCCCTCTGTTGCATACACACCACACATAGATCTCTCCACATGGGCACCTGCAATAATTTTTCAGTGGGCAAAGCAAAACACTGAAAGGATGGAACAAGTTAATTTTTCACACAAATGTGAAGTGGTTCTACAGAAGAGTCCAGTCTTTCTCTATTGATTTTTATTTCCTTCAGAGAGACACATCAGAGAGACACATCACATGCATTGTGATGTTAAAATCGCATGGCTGTATCTTATGGTGTCTCATCTACTGGTTGAAGCATCTGCTTTTCAATAAGTTTTCTAAAATCTTTATCCCAGTTGGCAGCTGTCCTGGATTTGAATTGTTTTTATGTATGTACAGTGGTACCTCGCAAGACGAATGCCTCGCAAGACGAAAGAGTTTTTGGTTTTTTGAGTTGCTTAGCAAGACGAATTTCCCAATGGGCTTGCTTCGCAAGACGAAAAATTTGCAAGACGAAAAAACTCGCAGAACGAATTAATTTTGTCTTGAGAGGCACCACTGTATTGTTGTTTTAAAACTATTTCTATATTTATAGTTTTTTTAATTAGTTTTTATTGCAATTGTTTTTAATTGTTTTATATAGGTAACAGTTTTATACATGTCATTATATTGCAAATTGCTTAGAGTTGCTGAAATGTGTCTCTCCCCGCTCCCAGTCCATTGAAAGATGCTTCCTGCCAGTGGATACCACAAATGGATACCAATCACTGATTTTATCTTGCCGAATTGAAGTCTCTTTTCTCTGCAAAATGTATCATAATAACACAGGAATTGCCACACTGCATCACACTGATGCTTCATCTAGTTCAGCATTCTCTGAATACAGTTACCAGAAATACACTTCATGAGATCAGGATGGTGGCTAAGCTAGACTACCACTAGCTGCTGAGTCAGCTGCTGACCCTGAGTCAGCAGCTGTGTTTTATATGAAAGTTCTTAAGTGTTTTTGATTATTCTGGCAAGACTTCACTGACAGACTGTTCCTAATTATTTTTTTAAAGCTATTTATGCTCATATTCAAGTTGCAGCGATTGCTACTAGTAGTAAACATTTATATAGTACTTTAGTTTTCCCCTGCACTTTATAAACTTAATTGGGTTCAAAATTAGTAAGTCACAATGGACCTGTGTCAAATCCAAGTCAGGTTCTCTGTATAGCAGGTCTCAAAATACATCATTCTTTTTCTTGTATGATCCAATAAATGTGGGGCCCTCAGTCATTTCATGGTCAAGCAAGTCCTGCACACAATTATTCTATTATTCATAATACATATATACCAAAAAGGATTTTGCCTTCTTAGATTGACAGTAAAAAAAAAATAAACTTGGCAAATAAATTAATATAATAGTTGAACAAAAAGAATGCCAGAACAGACATCCTCACTTAACCTTAGATTTCCCATTTTGAAGATTGTAGCTTATGAATAAACTTAAAATCAGCTACTGTGATTTTTTTCCAAGTTCCTAATCTAAAACTTACTAAATAAGCCACGAAATAAATACATAGCTAAGTTGGAGTCTTCAACAATCCCTTAATTCCAATTCTTAATAGTTCAGTTCAAAGTTTATGCTTGTTAGAAATTTGCTACCTTTGAATTTACTACCATCTGCCATAATATTGAAAACATCCCGCAAGTGCTAAATACACTATACACAGCTATAATCACTTAAAATATGTTTGCTCAATATGTTGAATCGTATCTATGCATCTGTCACCATATGCAATGGTCACGTACAATCTAAAACAAGTTCCCTGGTGGAATCAGATACATTCTGATCTCTTTGTCTTGTAAAGATGGAAACTGGACTCCAATATTATGTCAGCTGGGGAATGGGTAGACGGGGAAAACATCCTATGAGACTTACAGAGCTTCTATTTTGCTGTTGCTTCGAGAAATACGGTAGTTCACAACAGAATTCCAGACACTGTATTTGGCAATGTAATATCGTAACGTACCCTTAGGCCATTCTCTAAAGTATTGCTATATTTTGTTCCTCCCCTTGTCCCACTTCATTCAGTTCAATACAGAATGCCTCTGCTAACACCTGGTCTCCTTTATTGCTATATTCATGACACCTCTCTCATTATGTCTTTGAACTATGTTTTGTCTTCCAACGAAAGTCAAGTTCTAATCCTTCAAGCTTTTAATCTTTGTTATCATATCTCTTTTGACCAATTCACTATTATACTCTTAATGAGGCACCACTTGTACACTTCTGTGTGCCTATGCTGGCATCAAGTTCTGCTAGTACAAGGATGTCTGTAGCTGAAACATTGTCTGCCAGACTGCTTCTTTCCCACTTATTATTAAACGGGGAACTACGGTCCATACACCATGAAAAGCAAACTGCACAGAAATGGAAAGTGTTTTCCTGCTTCTAGTTTAGCTCTATTTTTGTCCATGTCCTCAATACTAATCACAGCTTGTTCTCTGTAACAAGGAAAAGCTGGGACTTCTTTGAAGGTGAGTGGGTGGCAGTGGCTCTCAATCTGTAAGGAGGGTAGACTAGAAGGAGTTCTTCAACCACAAGAAAGGAAAGAGGCAGAGGCAAATAATTCTATACACTAACCTCTTAAAGAGACAACAATGTACAGAATATTATTTATGTTTACACTAGTATGGGAACTGGAAGTCAGTGGAAGCACAAAGAGGCTTCCCTTTAGGAGCAAGCCTGTGAAATCGCTCCTATGTTTTCCCTTATTCTTTGTCTCCCACATTCTCTGCTTTGTGCAAGTTAATTTGATATGAATCAACTGTCTTTATTCTCTTTTGCCATGGAGCTGCCTTCCTCTATAAATAGCATTAAGCTACCTCCTTGGAATCCTTTGTATCACCAAAACTTTCCTGAGCCACTCTAGTTTCATTTTTTCCTGCTACTGAGTTAACTCTTCATCCTGTCTATGCAATTTTTACTTGCCAGATAATTTGGCCTTATCCTGTCATCAAGCAATCTCTACATTTGCTACACTTGTCAACAGAAGTAATTTAATATTTTTATTCCTGTTAACTCCTTGTATACATTTACAATTGGTATTTACAACAGTTCACATTTCTGTTCCTACACTGGAAAGGAGTCTATAGTGGTGCATGAAAAAAGGTATATCATTAAGTAAGTTAAGAACTGGTTGAGAACCACTCTTAAATTGTTGATTTAAGAAAACCAAGACAAAATGAAAGAGAAGAACAGAAGAGTAGCACTGCTGGATCAGGCCCCTGTCCTATCTAGTCCAGCAACCTTGTCTCACAATGGCCAAGCAGATGCTTGTGGGAAGCCATCTTAGCTGTTAGTCCTGGAACATCTGCTCCCTGCCTTGCAGGCCTTTTCCCACCTGACCTGGGAGGACAGGACCCTGACTGACTCAAGCTACAAAAGCCGAGGTTGCTGGACAGACTGTCGGGTTGGGGTATTATTTGAGGGGGGCGTGTTGCTGTTGTTTTTGTTGACACTAATTCATTTGTATTTTTTATTTTTAGAACTTGTTATGATTTATTTGGCATTTTTGTGTGTTTTATTTATTGTTTGTAATTATATAATATATAATTATATAATCCACCTTGAGCATGGTTTTAACTATGGAAAAGCATAATACAAATAAAATAACAGATGGATGGAAGCCTGCAAACAGGAGCTGAGCAGAACAGCCCTCTCCCCTCCTACAGTTTCCAGTAAATGGTATTCAGAAGCATGTTAGAGGCAGAACACAGCCACCTTCGATAGCCTTTATCTCCATGAACTTGTCAAACCCTCTTCTAAAACCATCCAAATTGGTGGCCATCACTGCCTCTTGTGTGAGCAAATTCAATAGCTTAACTATATGCTGTGTGATGAAATACCTCCTTTTGTCCAACGTTCAGCTTTATTGGATGTCAATGAGTTCTAGTATTATATGAGAAACTTTTCTCTGTCTGCTTTCTCCATGCCATGCATAATTTTATTTACTATCATGTCACCTCTTAGGCGTCTCAAGGACTCCTGTTTTGCAAAAACGGTCAAAAGTTTTTAAGAATTTGATTTACAATCAATATACCAATATTTGAGAGCTCCTTTTCAAATAAAGAAAACCCTGAGACACTGTCTCAGTCCCTTCTCAGCTGCCTACCAACTTATCAAAACAAGTTTGACAAGTGAGGTGTCAACAGGGGTGGAGTGGGGACGTTTTCTGGCTTAATTCAGCAGAATCCATTTCAGCAGTTTTCAGGGTATGAAGCCATTCAAAAAAAATTTTTATAGCTTTGTAACAGATAACACACTTAAGATTTTTATAGGAGCACTTTAAAAGACTTATGGCCTTGTATTTTTCATCCACAGAGAACAACTGTTGAAGTCAATGGGAATCCTGGGTACCCTAAAAACATTTAAGACCCCTGTTGTTCTCCACAGCTAACATTTTGTAAACTAATAAAATATGACCTAAGTTTCTTCCTCACTAATGTAAGTATCTGTGCTCGGGGCCTACTGCCTCAAATATCACAAAACCCTACCACTGAAACTGTAGCTGAATTTCCAGTCAATGCCTGTACTTGTAGGCACTTTGCTAGAATCAATCAACAAAGATCTGTTCACTAAAAAGGTGAATATTTTCTTTTTCTTTTTTACATATGCTTTAGCTATCAACACACCCTTGTCCAAAAATATTTAAGAACAAGCCATTCCATTCATTGAATGAAGGAGGCTTTTCAAATCTTTTAATTAGAAGGGGGCGGGGAGTCTGATTCGCTTGCAAAGGGCACAGTCTATTCACAGAAAGGAGGCAAATAAATATTTTACATGGTAGAATTCAAGAGCTATAGCTACACTGTGAGTATAGGTACAATCACAATCTGTTAAATCCTTCTTCACCCACACTTCAAGCATCTAAGGAGACAAAAATACCTTGCGCACACAAACATCATCATACAACCACAGCTTGAAATGATAATAGCACATCACTAAAAGCAAGGCATTAAAATCAGCATCTTTAATAGAAGCGGAAACACAAGTAAGACTGGTGTCTGTCATACTTGGTGAGGAGAAGGGAATTCCAAAGATTGGGGACCACAACAGAAAAGGTTACCTTCTTTGTTGCCGCAAGATGTACACCTGCAGCCACTAGATCAACCAGGAGGGCCTAATCTACAGATCTTATTGAATGGACAGACTAGTACTGTGTGAGAGAAGTGCTGTGAAAGGGGAGAGGAAAGTGAGCACTAAGGAAATCAGTGTAAAGGCTGTACCATATATCCCTGCAGCTGTGTTATAAACTCAGATATATAAGCTAGGCGCCAAACGCCACCTTAAACCTAGGTTGTGGCTACCACAACAGAATGTCTATTTGCCAGGGTGCTGGACTAGATGAGCCTTGGGGTCGCTTCCAACACTACAATTCTGATCCTATGACCACAGCTACATTGCTTGGCTGTAGCTTGCTCTTACAACCATTTACTAGTCCCACTATGCAAGAAGGAAAAACACACACAGTGGAAATGGAATTAATGATGACTAAGGCAGGGTTTTTTAAACTGGCTCGATGTCAGAAATCTCCACATAGTCACAATTAGACCCACACCAATAGTAAAATGTGCCAGGGAATTTCTAATACTGCCCTGCATACTGTATTTCTATCATTCAGCTTCAGGGTCACTGGCACAGAACACCATAATGCAGGACAGCATCAGAGGTTGTAGCTGGTTTTTTATGCAATCCCTGCCCCTGCCATACTGCATGGCATGGTCAAAGCTGCCCTGGTACAGCAGCCATTTTCTCCAGCTCCTTCCTTCCCAAGTGGCTGATGTCACTTACACTTGTGGGCATCAAAGCTTTTGAGGACTGTGACTCAAGAGCTAGACTTTTAAGACTGTAACCTATGTTGATGCCTCTAATTACACACTGAATTTCATTAGAACAGGAAATACGTAGTTTGCTATTTATATTTAGAAGAAACATTTCCTGAGAAGCCACCCATGCCCATTTCCCCACTGCTGCAGTGATGGGGTGGCCTCTTAACAGATGCACAGAACATAGTTATATACAAAGTTTAAAATGTAGGCTATGAATGGGCCAGTTCCTAAAGGTATTGTTTGGATGTTGTTTCTATAGAAATTGATAATATTTACTTTCACATAATGCACTGAGGATTATGACCAAAACATGGGTTTAAGTAGGGTCACACTGTGGAAGTTAAGAAGAGATCCCAGTAAGAGGCTAAAAAAGCTTTCCTTGAATAAAAAGGAGAAGAATTTTAATAATTGCACAGCTATTGCTAAAAGGTGAATTCCACTGAAGGTTTAAAAACAAGCACCATATTAATAGTCTTGCAAACCTAATTAACTAATGCGGGTGCTCCACATGGTCGCAACTGGATCTTCATCAAAAAGCTGAGGCTGCTGAACAGACCCTTGGACTGGGGTATTGTTTGTGGGGTACTGTTGTTGTTGATGATATTACTCTTTTGTACATATATTTTTAGACCTTAATATGATTTATGTGGAAACTGTTCAGTTTGGTTGTATGCTTTTTATGTGTTTTATTTATTGTTTGACTACTTTTGTTATATTTGTAATTATGTATCTTTTTCATGTTGCAAGCAGCTTTGAGCGTGGTTTTAACTATGGTGGCATACAAATAAGATGGATGGATGGATGAGAATAACCTGCACACTTTCACATACATACAGTATGGATACAAAAACAATAAATAGATATTCAAATAAGTCATACTCTGAAACCAAAGTTACTCTGAGTATGATTTAACTGTGCACCACCCACTGTAAAGAAAGGCTAGTGTTAAATCTTAAAAAATTATCTCAGAAAAACTGGTCAGCTGGAGTAATAAATCTGTTTGCACAAACATAACTTCCTCTCATACTCCCTGCAGTTAACATTGGATTTAGTTCCCTGCATATATTTATGTTTTATATTTTTTCATCCTCTGTATATTAACAAAAGCACTTTATCAGAGACTAGACACGTAAAGCACTTCCTTAAGTTTAAATGTGGTGAGCTGTGTCTGTCTGTTCCAAGCACTTCAATTCAAGAAAAACACTGGTCAAACAGATTAAGAAAACAATAACTAAGAAAGTAAATGTTTTTGTTTGTGCCCTGCTGAGGCTAAAATGATCTATGGGAATGCTTCCAGGTCTATGAACATAATTGTATTTTACTTTATGTCCCTCTGGAAAACAGTGGGTTTCTTAAAAACCAAGCTCCTGTTTCCTTTAATATGAAGAACAGATATACAGCTTTAGCCAATGGTATGAATAGCGATACTATTTAACACAAGTCTTGCTTCCTATGGATTTTGGAGATCCCTAAGGCCTTTTATACATAAGAAGTTTTAATGGATATGATCTTACTGGTGTCAGGCTTTTCTGCATTAAGTGTGATCACATTGCATACTTGTTTCTTTACAGTCATAGTAAGTCATGCATCTTGTTTTGGTAAGCATAAGTTCAGAACCGAAATTGATCTGTGTTATTCTGTTTTTCTTATAGAAGTATTTTAAATATCAAGACAGGATTTCCCTTTATATAGGAAGAAACAGTACTTCATGTAGTCAGCAGGCCAGGGACAACATGACCTTCGTGATGTTTGCAAAATAAGGTGGTCAGTATTTATCACTGTAATTTTAGAGGAAAACTACCATAACCTATTTTGGACGTACGCTACAATAAGACTGCTTGCTTCAACTTAGGTTGCATATTAAAAAGGAATAAAGTAACTGAGGTAAATTGTTTAAAGTAAATTGTTAAGAGATCTTTAGTGCTTCTCTGCTCCCTCAGAGAATAATTATCAGTGTTCCCTTGGAAAAGCTAATTACTATTAAACCAGTTTAAATCTGGTATGGATAAAGCCCAAGTGAGTTACCTACCACGTCCACACCAAGTGTGCGAAAACAGATACAACATTCTCATTCCTCCAGGCTGTTCAAAGTCTAAGAAACAATGGACAGCACAACTTGCAGATATACAATGCACCCTTCCTTCTCATATATCTGGTAAACTATGGCTTATGAAAGTGTTGAAAGACAAATGATGCTTTTTGGAGGGGGAAATGAGTTACTTATCACTTAAACCTGAGTCCATGGTCCTACACCAAATACACTGAATTGAAGCCTAATTTTCTATCTAAGAGGGGTGGGGGTCGCAGTGAACAGGAACTTGACTTTTAAGGTCATGTAATAATAGTTACTCACATACAGTTAGTCTGAGGGTCTTCTGGCGGTTCCCTCACTGCGAGAAGTGAGGTTGCAAAGAACCAGTAAGAGGGCCTTATTGGTAGTGGTGCCCGCCCTGTGGCACATCCTTCCATCAGATGTCAAAGAAATAAACAACTATCTGACTTTTAGAAGACATCTGAAGGCAACCCTGTTTAGGGAAGTTTTTAATGTTTGATGTTTTATCATGTTTTTAATATTCTGTTGGGCAGGGTATAAATAATAAAATTATTATTATTATTATTATTATTATTACTACTACTGCTAATACTAATACTACAGCACATAAGCAGCTCACTCAGTGGGGTAGAGCCACAGCTATAACTTTTGGGTAGCAGCATCACCACCACAGGGGCAAGACAGCAGCAAGGTCGGGTATGAACAGTCATATTGACAGAACTAAATGCTTCCACCAGCGCATCCATACAGTTCCAACTTCACCAGTGCTTCACCCATCCATGTACACAACAGCAGTACTGGTGCTGGGAGGTTATAACTGCAGCTCTACCCCACTGAGTGAGCAACTCCTCTTTCAACATGTTGTACCCATTTATAGCTATTAACCAGACATCACGAACATTTCCAACTTACTGAGAAACACTACTTTTGCCTTGTAATTAGCAGTCTTTCTTCTGACAGTTCTGGACACTTGGTTGCCATCTAACTTTGTATTGGTTTGTGACCCTTTTCTTCAAGCAAGTCGTTTTGTTTTGCATCCTTGCATATGTACAGAAAAAGAAGAACTTCATTAATTTCCTAATTATGAGCTTGTCTGTAAGCAGATATAATTATATAGTGTGAAAGACATGTGAGATGAATGACTAGTTTATACTACCTAGTGTAGTATAAATGATTTATTTAGTCAATTAATACTAATGTATTGATTGTTATAGCAACCAATTAAAATTTCACCTTTGTTCAGGAAATATGTGAATTGAGAAATGGCAAACTTGGATTTTACTTTCAGACAGCAACCAGTATGCCCAGATCTAAAATAAACTTAATATTATTCAGTCATACAATCCCTTACATCTGATCTGTGGGTGAACAAAAATCAGAGAGAACTTTCACAATTTGGAAAAACCTTGAATGACCATCTTGACACTACTCCTGTAAGCCAATCCCCCAAACGAAACTGAACCCAGGCCTTCACTTGTTGGACCACAGCAACTCTCACAAATTGTTAGACAACATACAAACAAGTTACATGAACTGCCATCTCTTTACGTGTAGTCTAAGTAGAGTACAGTGGTACCTCGGGTTACGTACTTAATTCGTTCCGGAGGTCTGTTCTTAACCTGAAACTGTTCTTAACCTGAACCACAACTTTAGCTAATGGGGCCTCCCGCTGCCGCTGCACCGCGATTTCTGTTCTCATCCTGAAGCAAAGTTCTTAAGCCGAGGTAATATTTCTTGGTTAGCGGAGTGTGTAACCTGAAGCGTATGTAACCCGAGGTACCACTGTAAAAGCAAGCTTTTCCTAGAGCATTGTTGCACATTACAGTGTAGGTCCCTCCTTGTACAAAGAAACTTATGGTGCCACCACCAAGTTCCCTTTGCTGTAGAGCTCAATAATATTAAGACATATGAATATATCTTCCACTGTCAAATACACATAATCCACTTAAATCAAGTATGCAGTGGAACCTGACAATTTAGGGCCATCATTTGTTTGCACTCCAAGGCAAATTGTTGGCTAGAACACCTAATAAAAATACAAACAAGGCCAATGGAATTTCAAAATCTGGGGTTACTCTAGCTACAAGTTTTATGAAACTGCATGTTTTGGTTATGAACCTAGTTGTGGTGCTAATGGCATCCTAGAAAGGTGACAAATGAAGGGACAAATCATTCAGACATTTAGGCACATGCTGTTGAGCCGGGGCTTCATTCCAATTAACTATAACCATTTTTATGTTGACATCTTATATAGCTGCCTACTAAAAAGTGTTTAAGGACCACATATCACTGGTTGGACCACTAGTAAAGTTCTGCATTCAGAAGGTCCCAGGTCCAGTTCTTGGAATCTCCAGGGCAGGGCAGGAAGAAAAGCCCTTGTCTGAAATCCTGGAGAACTGCTGCCAGCCAGTGCTGAACTAGACGGGCCAAAAGCACTTCCTCTCTTCCTAATATGCGTGGGTGGAACAAAACTAAATTTGGGAAGAAAATGGTTCAGTCGGGCCCCACTTGTTTTAAACCAGCGGGCTTTGAGCATATACAGATTTCCACTGCGAACTTCTTTTCCTCTCTCCCACCAGCCCCACTCCTACGCCCCGACAACAAGACACAAGAACACCCCAACGGGCACGTTGTTTCGTGCGGGCGAGAGGGTCACACACACAAAACAAAGAGGCAGGCAGACTAGCTGGGCCAAAGTCCCAGCCCTCGGCTTAAAACAAAACCCCGGCGGAAGAAGAAGTCGTCGTCTTCAGCCCTGCTGCTTTAAAACTGTCAAGACTGATGCCCGAAGAACAAAAATAAGCAGAATGAAAAAAGGGCTGTTTGGGGGTGGGCGCCTCTCACTCACCCCCCACCCCAGCGTTAAGGAAGAAAGGGGGGGTAAGCCAAGAAGGGGAGAAGGAGAAGAGGAAAACAAAAACAAATCAAGCCTTTTTCCTAAAAAGCAAACGGGGGGGAGAGGAGAGATGAAGGCTGCCTGCTTTGTCTCTTCGCGCCCCTTTAATATAAGGCCAACGGGGGCGACAAAGGAAGCAATGGAGCCGGCCGGCTGGCTGGCTGGCTTCCTCGCCCCCTTCTCCTTCCTCCCAGAGGCTGGTACCTACCACAGCAGGAGGCGACGAGGAGCAGGAGCTGCGCTGACCTCCAAGCAAGGGACCCTTTTGCGCTCCAGCAAGGGGCCATAACACCGCCACGGGGGGGAGAGCGAGAAGAAAGAGCCGGAGTCGGGAGCCCCCGCGGCCACAATCCCCGCTGCGGGAGGAGGGCCCAAGCGCCGCCGCCGCCTCGCCGGCCAAGACTCCCCGCCGGCCCCCTGGCTGCTCCCTCCGGCGTCGCTCTCTGCTCAGCCCGCCGCTGCTGTGGGAGCCATGGGCTGCTGAGGCGGCTGCTGAGGCGACGACGACGACGACCGCCGGCCTCCGGCCTCCTCTGCTCTCCGGTCTCGGGCAGCGCTCTCCTCCGGCGGGCAGGAGGGGCTCCGCCGGCGCATCTGCGCATTAGAGAGCCGAGCCGCTCTCTCTCTCGCAGGAAAGCGGCTTCCCTGGGCGGGGAGGGAGCGAGGGAGACCCAGCCTCTCGCCCAGACGGAGGAGGAGGAGACTGAGCCGGCTTCGTCCTGGCCGCGCATTGAACCGCCTCAGTTTCTCTCGGGGCTGCTGGCCGCTCGGTGACCCTTTAAACTCAAGGAGACAAAAGCAGCGGGAGTGGGGGGGGGAAGGATGTTTACTCCGAAGTAGTCCAAACACGGGCAGGGATCCTGCCCTGGCTGTTTATTTGGAGGTAAATCCCAATGGGGCGCTGGGAATGTTCCCCTTAGAGAGTTTGAGAGGGAGCGCGCGCAGGGCTGCTGCAGCCCCGATCCTCTGCAAGAGCTAGGCGATCCTAAAGTTATTAAAAGCGATGGCCTCCCGCAGTCCCAAGGGGCAGCACGTAAAGACGAGCCCGTGGTGGACACACACACACACACACACACACACACACACACACACACACACACACACCCCCCCTGGCGCCAACCGCATTAGAAGCTCACGGCCAAAAAGCACCCCTTTCCCCACTTGCAACTGGTGTTCAGAGGCCCATTGCCTCCGATGCTGAAGGTAGAACATAAGCCATCCTGGCTAGCAGACTTGTCCTCCATCATTTATTTATTTCCATTTTTGACAGAGGAAAAGAAAATATGCAGCTTGAGTATTGAGGGTAGATATCCTCCTCCTCCGGTGAACTCACAGGCTCCAAAGCAATCCTGAGTGAACTCAGATGTCTCACTGAATTTATTTTGATTTACTGCCATGAAAGTCACTTCGTCCCCGAGGCGCACTCTGGAAACAAGCAGATGCCAACAACTGCCACTGAAGCAAATGTGCATATAGAATTGCATTTCTTGTATGTGCCCCGGTTCACATCTGATGTACACCAATGAAGGAAAACATGCATGTCCCTTATTTTGATTCTGCTTGGCAAGGGACCACATATGATGCTACCTTCTTTTCTTTCCAGGATGCTGATACATTACAGCACTAGAGTTAGAGTTGTGTTGTTTTGCACCAGTGCAATTTTCAACCCCTTGAATTTTCTGGTAGAGTTTTTTTTCTTTTGGTAATGAATAATTTCTAAGTGGCTTAGGTAGCGTTCTCACAATGCAACATTATCAGTAGATGTTAATCCCTGTGCACTGTCATTTTGAATAGCAACAGTAATGCACTGGGATGTGTTAATAACAAGATTTCTGCAAAAAGGAAATATTGGTTGCACCCTCTGGAAACTTAGACACAGCTGGCCATCCATACAGTACTGCTGTCTGAGGCAAAGGAAAAGATGGCTGCCCCACCAATCCATGTACAGAAGCCAATTGGACTGGCAGTTACTCTTATTTCAGGACAGGCAACAACAACAATAATAGTGGGATAGTGTCCACCACACCAGAGAGCAGCAGGCTAGTTATGGGAGTGCAAGACAGGCCACATGGCATGTACAGCTCTGCCCTCCAACAGATGTTGCACAACCAGGGAATTAGAAAGTTGTTGCTGCTGGCCTCAGCGACTGTCACCTGACTGTCACCAGGGCTGGCCCTGCTAAATTATATTGAGATGCTCATATCCTATATTTCAGGATCTCTCTTCGCTGAAATGCTCTGCTTAATTCCTCTGCTTTTCTGGTCTTTGATTTACCCGTATCTCTCCATATTTTTTATTATGTACATCAGCTTCTTTTCTTTGTTGTATTCGCTTTCATTGTTTTGCCTTTAAATTACTCCTTTCTTTCAGTCCGTTGTATTTTTCTCCTCTTTCATTTTGATTGTGTTCATCTTCAACTGTTTAAACCGAAAACCACCCCTTTATTCCCCAGTGCCTTTACTTCTTTGCCATACTATAGCTTTGGAATTCATGTATTCCTCTTTCTTTCTGCGCTTAAACAGCAGCTATTCTCCAGAGCTTTATGTTCTGATCTTTGCAATCCCTTTATCCTATGTCTCAGCCATTCCCCTTCATTCTTTTACTTTTAGAGTATAAGCCTGGGAACAAAGTTTTTACCTTTAGAAACTGGATGCTCCAGGTACGTTATAAATATTACTATGATTCTCTAAGCACTGGATTCTGGAAGAACACTTCATTTCTATGTGCAGTAGATGGCAATCCTGTTTTTTGTAGTGGGGGGGGATTGTGGTGGAAAGGGGCTCTTAACCTTTTGAATCCCTCCTGTTCAGTCCTTTGAATTATTTAGTGCTATGTAGGATGATTATGTACACACATGCTGACATTCCTGAGGTCTACCCTTTCATAGTGCAGCATTTTAATAAAATACTTTAGAAAATGCATATCCCTTTCCACCCCCCCCATGACCCAAGTTGGCTACCTGCCTGTCAGCTGCTACTAAATAAAATCAAAGTTGCGGTTAGATGCCAAGTTTCCCATCTGTATCTGGATGTCTTCTCTTATAAACCTGCAGTAATTATTGTATGAGCATCAGCATGTATGAGTAAAAGCTAATTTGTTATCCTGATAATGTTCAAATTAGCTGACACAACTTTTTATCCAAAGCAAGTGACATAGGTGCTGTATGGTGTAGAGTTGACACTTATTGAGTGGGAAAACTTACGATTCTGGTAGAGCCAGCCAGATTATCCTGTTCTTCAAATTGTGGTTGCATCGGTTATAACCTTGATGAGACACTTAAGCTGGACTTTAATGTTTTTAGGTGGGATATGGAAATACTATAGGACCTTGATTCTCAAATGATGTGATTAACCTATCTATCCAACACTATCCATTTCCATTTGTTTTTAAAAACTATTAAAACTGAGGTCTTGCACAGTAATTATATTTATATCATTAAGCTTTAACAAAAATGATAAAGAGGCCTTGCACAAACCTTCTGTAAGAATAATTAGAATAAATAATCTAGGTTGAAGGGTCAGTCTGCCCTGAGTCTGTTCCAATTCTTGAGTTCTTGTATCTGTGGGGGTATGAGAGGAAACTTACCAAATCAATCCCTTGTCTAAACAACTGTTGTGGCTGGCTACTTAATCACCATGATTAGCACAACCAAATAAGTTGCTCTGTGCCATAGAATGAATGGGTGCCCCCCCAACCTAGCTGTTAGGTAGAAGAACAATAGGAGGGTGGTTTGTGAGTGAGTTGGAAGCAGGCTGGAAGCTGAGACACGGAGATATGCTTGCTCTGTGCTGGATCCAAACTTGTCATGAATTAAGAAGCAAGTTTGTTGGGCTATTAATGCTGTGAGTCCCTCCATCTTATGCTCAGATTGTATATATGTGTAAATAAAACCAAATATCCTAAAGACACTGTCAGGGACTGGGAAGAGGAGGAATGGTGGAGATCGCCTCCCTATCCTGACCCTCCCAGGGAGGAGGAAGAGGAAGACAGTATAGATTTACAACAGTGGTTTGCGGGAGGTCACAGCTCAGAGGCAGATGAGGGGAAAAGTTGGGAAACAATGAGAAAGGAGGAGCAGGCAGAACCAGAGCAGAAGCTGGCTGACACATTGTCATTAGAAAGTATTCCACATCCTCCATCTCCCAGAACCTGGTGAGCCTTAAAAGTAGGAGAGCAAAGAGCACAAAGACAGGGCACATAGCAGCACCCATGGAAGTGACAAATGAGGAAGTGGGAGAGACGGGATGGAGAGTCACTTGGGACAACGCCATTTTCCAAGAGGGTGGGTTCTATAGTCTTTCTCTGTAAAGAGTGAAATAAAAAAGGACAGTAAGAAACTTTTCCTTGTCTTTATACTTCCCTGGGCAACCAGCTGGGAGCCACTGACAGCATTCTGACAACCACAGTCTCTGCTGACCTTTATTCCAAGGAAATCAAATCCTGGCCTGGAACCTCTGCCTGAGGTATACAGTGGTACCTCGGGTTACAGACGCTTCAGGTTACAGACCCCGCTAACCCAGAAATAGTACCTCGGGTTAAGAACTTTGCTTCAGGATGTGAACAGAAATTGCGCCACGGCGGCAGCGGGAGGCCCCATTAGCTAAAGTGGTGTTTCAGGTTAAGAACAGTTTCAGGTTAAGAACAGACCTCCAGAACGAATTAAGTTCTTAACCTGAGGTACCACTGTATGCTAAAATTAATGCCTTAATGCCTAAAGTATGTACTACAATTGCAATTTCCCAGGTAATCCCCCACAAGTACCCTGTGGAAATCTTGAGAGGACAACTCCTCCTAATCGGGTTGTTGAAATCTGAGCATGTGCTCAGCATGTAGCAATTAGTAGAAGTACTGTAGTAGTTTTGTGAAGTGGAAACACAATGCATAGTCTGTGCTCATCTGAGGAGGAAATGGGACTAGGGGTGTGGCATTAGAGGCTACCAAAGAAAATGGTGCAACACATATTACACACTTCCTACCCCAAATGTGCTAACGAGCTTCCACACCAGCAGTGACTGTAAGGGGTTGCTTTTACTTAGCAGATTTCTGTGGCAAGAGGGAAATGTATATTAAATGTAAACAAACAAACAAACAAACAAGAAGACAGGCCGACATTTTGATGACAACAATATTGTGTGGGTGCTTCTAATATTGTGTGGGTACATGATCAGCACCAATTTCATAATAAACACCTGCTTGGGAGCAGCCACAAATATCCTTGTGTAACCCTATCTGCATAAGGACTGTTCTTCCACAAGCAGCTCCCACACAGCAAGATTCAGATGAAATAACCATGACAGCGGAGGCAGGTTTATGGATCCTGATTATAGAATACTTTGATGGGAAAATAACAATTCAGTGGAAAAGGTCATGTGATCAGTCCCTGCTGACATGGTTGGATCATAAACATTACGCTAGCCACACAAGATAGGAGCCGTTTATGGAAAAGTAGTTCCCGTGTGAGGGGATCATTTCTGGGGGTTTTCCCATTCTGCAGAGGAATACATTTCTGCTTAAAACAGCCCCGTGATACAGGAGCCTTGTGACCTGTCTGACTCTGACCTTCTGCATTTGTATCTGTATAGTATTTGCACATGTGGATCAATCCTCACCATGCAATCCTGTGCATGCTTACTCAGAAGTAAGTCATACTGAATTCAGTTGGGTTTCCTCCCAGATAAGTAGGTATGGGACTTCAGCGGTAGTCAGCAATTATTCATTAGATTCTTACCCTAACCTAACATTTTGTTGTTGTTTAGTCATTTAGTTGTGTCCGACTCTTTGTGACCCCATGGACCAGAGCACGCCAGGCACTCCTGTCTTCCACTGCCTCCCGCAGTTTGATCAGACTCATGTTGGTAGCTTCGAGAACACTGTCCAACCATCTCCTCCTCTGTCGCCCCCTTCTCCTAGTGCCCTCCATCTTTCCCAACATCAGGGTCTTTTCCAGGGAGTCTTCTCATGCGGTGGCCAAAGTATTGGAGCCTCAGCTTCAGGATCTGTCCTTCCAGTGAGCACTCAGGGTTGATTTCCTTAAGAATGGATAGGTTTGATCTTCTTGCAGTCCATGGGACTCTCAAGAGTCTCCTCTAGTACCTAACATAACTAAGGCCAAATAGTACGTTTATTTCACTCTGTGGGGAGATAAAAATACAGTCAGTTCTTCTTGGATAAGACACTTGAAAAAATATCTGGAAAAAATAATTATTATTGTGTGCAGTTTATTTATTACACACTAGATTATGTTTCCTGGGTGTGTCATTGTTTCACTTACAAATGAACTAGATGGCACCCACCCACCAAATAAAGCAATTTTTATGCTTATTTAATTTTTCAAATAATTCTGGCTGGGAACTCTTTTTTTTTTTTTTTTTTTGTAACTGTAAATCTTTTTCTGCAATGCTCTGTTGGCTTTAATAAGTACAATAGTAGCCACTGCTGGGTTTTACTTACTGTTGCTGAATGTTAAGCAGCAATGGAAAATGTTAAGTTGTGAGATAACTGACTAGTTTCCTAAGCACTTTTTAACAGGAGGGGGAATTAACAATGCTTCTCACCTCCTCCTTTCACACTCCAATAG